AACAAATAGGTTAAAAAGATTGCTCTTATTAAATAGTTTATAGTGAAATATTTAAAGTACTGTATCTAACAGAAGAAGATTTTGAAGATCTGAGTATAAAGAAAAAAGGACAGAAAAGAAGTAAGACATTTGCACAATAAAAGATGTAAAAGAGAAGAAGCAGAAAAGGAGACACCATTTGGAAATAAACATATCAGCGCATATAGCAGAATATACATTATTAAAGAATCAATAACATGTAAAAGAATAGTAATGCAACAAGGAATATAACAATGATAATTAAAAGAATACATAATTATAAATGACAAGAGATTAATGAGATTCATAAAAATAAATAAGTAATCAATATTTGCATACACTAACTTTGTTTTAAGGTGTCATGTTACAGTGTAATTTACATGTATTCATTTAGCAGACGCTTTTATCCAAAGCGAATTACAAATGAGAACAATAGAAGCAGTAAAACTAACAGTAGGACAACAATACGTAAGTGCTATAACCCCTCTCAGTTTAATTTTAGTGCAGTTTTTTTTTTTTTTTTTTTTTTAAGAATAGAAGAGAAGAGAAAGTGTTAGCTTTCTCTTTCTAAGCTACTGAATCAAGTGCTGCTGAAAAAGATACGTCTTCGGCAGTTTCTTGAAAGTGGCTACTGACTCAGAAGTTCTGGTTGAGTTAGGCAGATCATTCCACCAGCAGGGAACAGCCATGGTAAATATAATAATACATTAAGTAATGAGTAATGTTAATTACCAGAATGTACTTACTATTAGATTAGGGTTAGTTACATGTAATTACATATAATTTACTGTTATTACTAGAATAGGTACATGTAACTTATGTAAAAAGGACACTGTAAAATAAAGCGTTCCCTAATGATTAGGTGAAAGCACTGAACCACTGTAAACACCTCAATCCTCAATGTTGTTTAAGTCATGGACATACCTGACAGTTGTCACGTTTGATCCCAGGTGAGAGAGTCAGAGCTCTCCTCCGGTCCAGAGTTAAATGACAGGAATCAGAAAGAGGGTTGTTACGGGGTTTTTCGTGTGGCATTCTGCAAAAAGATGTTTCAAGGCCTCTTTGAGATCACAGATAAAGCTGTGAGAAGACGAACAATCAGGACAGGATAAGAACCTTTATATACTACTTTTTAGATTGTTCCTCAATTGTAAGTCGCTCTAGATAAAAGAGTCTGCTAAATGCATATATTTATTAAATGTACCGCTGCAACCCGTCTCAGTAGAGCTAAATCCGATTATTTTATCATAAGATGACTTTAACTAATATACTGAGTCAAAAATCTGCACATCGTAACTCTTCACATCTGTCAGTGCAGTAAAACAGTCAGTAATTTACAATGATGCACATTAAAAGTGATCTTAACCGGCCTGTAGCTAAATACAAAGTCCTATTATACCTTCATCTGGTTTCAGTGTTTATATATTGCACCTACTTTTTAAGTCCAGTAGTCAGTTTAAGCTGTAGAGCATGGCTAATGAAGATAATTCAGTTGCAGAACAGAAACGAGCACATGAATATTAGGATTAGATTCCTCGATTAAAAACTTCCGCCACTCACAGGAAGTCGGGTTCTCTTCTTCTCTTCTCCCCACAGGGTATTGTGCGCCATCTAGCGTCATGGACAAAATGTTGTATAAGTTCCTGTTTTTACTAAGGTTGAATCATAGACTGTACGAAATGACAGAGAATGAACAAACAATAGTATTCTGACACTCAAACAATATGTCTTTGTATATATAAACATTGATCTTATAGGAAGCTGGTTCTCTCTAAACACTTTCTCTGTTCTCTCTGTTCAAAAGCTTTTATGTTGGAACATGGCAGTAGGGATTTGGTCCCATTCAGACATAAGATCACCAGTGTATTCAGGCCATGACGGAGTCTCACAGTCAGCAATACAATTCATCCTATAGGTGTTCAAACTGGGTTTAGGTCTAGACTTTGTTGAAGTTTGCATTATCACACCTGGGTCAGAACATTTGTCTATACACAGAGACATTGTTATGCTGGAGCAGAAAACACCCGTCCTCAAACTGATTATACTGTAATATAATATAATATATGTATAATGTAATGCAAATCTTATTTGCTTTAGTTTTTTGCTAATATTTATTTTTATACTTAAAAAAAATTATTTATATATATATATATATATATATATATATATATATATATATATATAGTTATAAACTTATAGTTTACATTCTGTGACACAAAATCCTTTCCCTGTTAACATTGTTTAACATGACCATGAGTTTTTATCTAAATAACACTTACAATTATACATCTAAATAACAATACACATATTATCAACTTTCATGTTGTTTAAAATAAATCCTTTGATTACGGAGATCATGTCTAACCCTGTTAAGGAATTATGTCATTGTGATGTCATAATTTAAATACAGAAGTGTGTTTATCTAATCAAAGAATGGAGGTTCATAGAGTGGACAAGATATATGAAATATTTGAAGAATGTTGAGTGGTTTAGGAAGAACACAAACAAATAGAAATTGGAGTTTCACAATTTTATTAGTTGTTTTTATTATAACAAACATGAAATGATCTTAAAAATACCCTTAAAGTTAATTTTAGCTACAGTAATACATGTTCATTCAGTTTGTTAGTGAGTATGAATACAAAAGCTGTAGGCAAACATCAGGTCTGAACCGCCCCTGAGGCAGAGGTTGATGAACAGATCTTCAAAAACTACAGCTGAAGGGGAAAAGAAAAAGAGAGAGCAAGGAAACAGAGCCAGTGTCGGCAACTGAGAATAAAGGTCACGCAGAGCAAAACTGGTCTGATATCAGATCTTTGTCACAATCTGCCTTCCACATCTGTAAAGTCTTTGTTGAAGACTGGCTTAGATGCCATTGTTGGAATACCAGCATGCAAAACACAACAGATGCTGATGTCCAGTAAGGCAGTTTTTTTTTCCAGATTTGCTTCTGCGTGACCTTTAACCTCAGGAACCACATGTCTGTAAAGCTGTCCCTGTAGGTGCAGATGACCCAACAGCACCCTCAGACTCTGGAGCTTCCATTAATGCACTGTCTGACGCATTGCTCTTCTTTTTACCTGAAAACACAAACAAGTCCAGCAACTTTAGTGACTTTCGAAAACACACTCTGTGCATTAATTTATAATCTGTGCAATGTGGATAATATTGCACACTGATGTACTTTGCCTCCTTCAGATAAGGCTATTGAGTAATAAAACACTGAGATACACCAATATACATTCTTTGGATACACTTTCACTCTATATACTTTCTAAGTAGAGTGCAACACATGTGCTCCAGAAGTAAGAACTTCATTCATTTTCTTCATAAGGACAGATTTTGAATGATAATTTAAAACCTTAACTACTAAAGCAATAATATTATAATTGTAATAAATGTATTATTTATTATAAAAATAAAAAAAAATAATATTGTTTAACAATGGAATTGCTGGTGAAAAATTACATAACCCATGATGATGCTGTACAGAAAACTAAAACTATCAATCAACAATAAACAATCCGCTCCAAAATAGATATTTAGCCCCGCCCACACCCATTTAGCTGTGAACTACGTAATCGTTTTTAATTCGATTATGCTGTTCGCAATGCTTGATGGGATTGTAGTTCTTTCCCTCACTGCCGCTACCATTAAGTACACAGTCTTGTACTTTTCTCTTTTTGTCCGATTTTCAAAAACATTGGCTAGGTTCATCGTTCATTTATATAAAGTAAAAATAAAGTTTTTTAAACTTTCGGAACCAGCGCCACTGAAAAGGGGGGCGGTACCTGTTGAATTTAATTTACATAAAAATATCGATCAATATAAACTCACCTTTAGCCAGGCTACATGGTGTGAGCACAGGTTGTTCTGTTTGTTCTCCGTCTTTAACGGACGCCCTGATCTTGCGCACCACATAGACGGTGGCTGTAAAGGAAATGTTGCAAGTCATCACACCAATACACACAACACAAATCACTACACTGCTATACTGTGTACTGACTTGTATAAAGCACAATTCCATATTACCATAGGCCTACATACAATTGTATGTACAGTACACGAAACCAACTCAATAACATTAATAGGCTTTTCTACCGTAAACAGGAAATAAATGTTAAATGCGTGTAAAGAACTAATAAGTCTTACCTTTTATCAGAAGTCATACCATGGTGTAGATAGAATGTAACGGAGCCTACAGTTTCTACTGTATTCCGTTTCCTACCCAGCAGTTTGCCTTGAATCACACGTCGTCTTTACAGGTTATGGATGATACTGTTGTTTTCCGGGAGTGCCCTGCCTAGTATTCGCCAGCTGATGTTATGAAAATATGTTACGTATGGTTACTGTTGCATTTATCATCAATGTTACAACGCACTCTTCACTGATTGGCTCCCTCGTCACTTCCGAGGAGTTGTTCACCAATCGCTGTTAAATGCGCTTAGATGATATAACCCATTACAGCCAATCAGGAAAGCAGAACAGCGAAATAGCAGCTCTCCTTTTGCTTATAGTTTACTGAACACTTTGAATTATATTTAAATACACTTTTAGAATCAACTTTTTGGATTCGTATTTCATAAAGCTAGATATAGAGCGATAAATATAGTTAATTTCTGACGAGAACCTAATGTTCACACTTCTGTTCTGTCCACACGGTGTCAGTATTGTTTAAATTAGATTTCGTAAAACGTTACACAAACAAGACTCAAACTCTTAAGCTTATATCACTGTTTATATCGAGGAGCTTTTATAACGCTCTTATCATGGGAAGCATTTCTTACCCCACAGTGCTTTCTCGTTAATCATCCTGACTAAAGTGCTGGGATTCAATATCTAGAAAATAACTCATTAGAGTGCTAACTCATTCCAATAGGCAAAATACACAAACACAAGAGAAATGTTATTAGATTTGTATTAAAAAAAAATTTGAATACGTAAACAATACAAAAATATAGCATACATTTTTATAAATATGATAGTAAACAAGCTCAAATTTTCTCAAAGTATATAATTTCTGAAATATTCAGAAGAGGCAGTCTTTAATTCCATTATTTACAACCAAATATATTACTTTCAGGTGGTACGCTTTCCCACATTAATACAGTACAAACAAATGCTATGATACTACCCATCATTAAAGGCAAAGGAATACGTTCTATCAACCATTTTCTTTTCTGCTTTGCAATAATCGTAATACATGTTTTAAAATGTTGACAAAAGCTGCAACAAAAAAAATCTGAATGCAACTCTTTAAAAGGCACACACATACACACTTCTTTTCTAAACACTTTCCAAGGGTCCCCTGTCTTTTAAGATCATGTTCGGACTGTAAAAGATGACATTGTTGTCTTCATCGTCAGAATCGGAGTGTGTATCAAGGTCATGTGTGTATCTTACATTCGTGGCATGGTACTCTCCAATCCTTGTGCTGTCGCACAGCCGAGACTGGATCGCCATCTGTGGAAAACAGATGCGTTACGTGAATGAGAAATTGAACTAAACCGCAAAAATGTGTCTGGTTATGCTGCCTAGTACCATAATGATACAGGAAAAGGACTGTCTGACTGACATATAAGAAGACCAATCACAGCCATCCATAGCTGAGACCAGTGAGTGTGAACTGTACCTTTATTCCTGTTGAACTCAGTTGACTCCAGGTGTCCTTACTGAAGACAAGAGCATTTGCAAGTCCATGCAATGGTGCACTGAGCACGTGCAGTAGTGTCAGAGAAAACACAGGGTCCTCTGGGTAAGCAGCATTATGAAGTCTGCAGAAATACACATCATGTACACAAGCACAAAGATGCATCCACAACTATAAGGTATGTGATCAGCTAACATGTGGGACACTTCATTTCAGAAAATATGGAAATTCATATAAATACAGATCACATCCATGAGGTTCAGTATGTAAAACGTGGCAAAAGAAACACACAATTACCGATTTATGAGGGGGAAGATAGAGACAAGCAGATAGACAGAGGGATACCACTTCAACGGTCTGATCTCTTCAGCTAGAGAGATCTGCAGGAAGAGGTAATGATACATTACTGATGTATAAATCAGTGGATGGCAGGACTATAATACATGCACATGCACTAATACACACGCTTACCTTCCTCCTCTCTCTTTCAGGATTAAAGGTGCCTAACCAGGACCGCATCTGAAATAAAAGACAGTAACCTAATGCATGGATCATAATATGATGATGTACAATGCTCAATGCCCCACCATAAGACCTGTGCAAATTACATGGGCGTGTGCACGTACATGAGCAGGTATAGCCTGATTTATTGCGTCAGTGTCTGGAAGAATCTGCAAGACGTGCAAAAAGTTCACTTTCAGCCTTACCGTGGCACGTCAACATTACAGAGAACAGGGAGTGCTTTTCTCAAGATGAATTTGAATTAGACACACAAGTTGGACCTAAAATTGCCTTGCAATCAAATTAAGGAAGTAGTGGGACAATTTTTTAGCTGATGTTTGTGAGCAGTGTTGTGCATGTTATTTTAAAAAAAAAGTTACTAGTTACTTCTCACAAACAATAACTGAGTTAAATCATTATAAAAGTAACTAATTACTAGAGAAAGTAACTATTGTGTTACTTTAAAAAAATAGGCAAGTCAAATAACTTGGATGCACCCAATATTAAATATGTTAAATTAATGAAATGGACGCTATAGAATAAATTATTATTATAAAACATTGTACACTAATCTACACTATCGTAAAGTTGCTGTGGGACAATATGGGAGACACCAATAAAATTAAATATATTATTTTAAATATTATCCTTAATATAGTAGAACAATAACACATAATTTTAGGTTTAGGTTTAGAACTTATAATATTTAATATTGCACAGACCACAACTAAGTCAAGCTTAAATGTACCAAAAAATAAATAAATAATAATAACAAAAATATATACATACACTGTTTGTAGTGAAAATTAAAATGATAAAAAGTTTAACAAGAAGTGCTCCCAGAACGTTCCCTGCTGGTTATTTTTTAGGTTTTATTTGTATAACCATGTAAATTAATTAAAACGTTGCAGATAATACCAATAGGCTACAGAGATTATTCTAATGCTGAAATGTGTCATTTATTTATAAACAAACTATATAATGCTCGGACACCCTCGGCCTCTCTCACGCTCTCGGACACACTATCTCGCCCATTGTCGAGCGTGCTCGCGGCGTTCGCTTCGGCGCCAGTCCGGCGTCCAGTTCAACGTCCAGTCCGGCGCCTCATAAACACACACACACACCAGAGAAAAAACTTTGCAGGTCCTATGGCGGAGAGAGAGCCAACTCGGATGGAAACCGCTTCAGTGAGCTCAATTAGGCTGTAACGGTAACGGCGTTGTAACGTGGGAAACAGTAATTCGTTTGATTACTTGTTACTGAGAAAGATAATGCCGTTAGTAACGCCATTTATTTATAACGCCGTTATTCCCATCACTGTTTGTGAGTCACATTCACTTACCCTCTCGTTGGCCACACAGATGATTCGAGCATAACAGCAGATCATGAGGATAATCATGCTAAACAGAGGGATGTACCATCTGCAAAAAATAAACAAACAAATACTTTACACCTTAAACAAGACAATACACAAACAAACAGTATGTATATATACGCAACATTGGTAAACACTGGCCACAGATTTATTTAGAAACCTAAAATGAATGAATGCTTTTTGCATTACATCTCTCTCTTTCTCTCTAATGCAAAAAGCATTCATGCATTTTAGGTTTCTAAATATGAATATCTAAATATATCTGTGGCCAGTGTTTACCACTGTGTTCAATAGCATCACATTAAGCTTTACATAGAATGAAAAATATTCTAAGCTGCTCCAGCATGCAAAAAAACCTGTCCGATTGAGAACGGAAATTCCTGAGATTCAAGCATGATGAGCTGCGTGAACCTCTGAAATGTGACGAAACTAACCCAGATTCATCCCTAGACACAACACACATTTTATTTCATACACATGTTGAACATTACACACTTACATGCCAAATCTCCACCGAACATGATTATCTGTAATCCAACTGCAGGAAAGTAATGAGATATTAAGGACTGATGACTACTGTAGTGATACAACTGCAATTAAGAATATATAAAAAAATGAAAGGTCATATACCACCAGGCTCCAGCAGGACCGTAGTATCCAGCCATCAATGGGAGGGTGGACATGAGCAGAGGAATACCCCACGCCACCACATGGTACGGTCTGAGAAGCACATGCAGATGTTAGGAATACTCATATATATTTCACACAACTAAATTTGTGTGTGTGTGTGTGTATTGTATATTGACTCACGTCTCATAATGTTCAGTTCTGATTTCTCTCACCAGGTTCAGGTAGAGATTGAAAGTAATAAGACACACCCACACCAGTGCAGCCCAGTCTGAAACAAAGTAAAAAACTATAACAACAGCAGCAATTTGTCATGACATCAGTCAACAAAGGATGTCATCTTTCTATTTTGATGCAATGCAGTTTCTAGAGTTACTTCATATTCACAATTGTCTGGAATAAATTCACATTTTATTCACAAATATCATACTGTGTATGTTTTTTTGGTGTGAAATTTGGGGCTAAAATGTCTTCTGCTAGTTACAACTCCAAATCAGAAAAAAGTTGGGACATTTTGTAAAATGCAATGAAAACAAGAATTTGTTCATTCTATTTAACCGTACAAAAGTACAAAGAAACATTTTCCAATGTTTTCACTTTTTTAATTTTGTAAATACAAACAAATTTTGATTTTGATGGCTGCAACACACCCCAAAAAAAGTCGGGACAAAAAAAAGGGTGATGAAATCTGAGAGCTTTCTGTCTCACCATTGACAGCTACCACTTTGACGCTTCAAAAAGTTCATAAAGAGATCGTAAAATGAATCCATATGAATTGAATCCAAACTTTCTTTATAAGATGAACAGATTGAATTTAGGCTTTTATTCACATTCACAGTTATTCACACAACATTCATCAACTCACACATCAGTTGTGGTAAACGGAAGCTCAAGCATGTGGTGACGTGGTGAGGTTCATTCTGTAAGTTACGTAGCACGTTTGAGCTTCTACTACAAGAACCAATGAGGTTCATTCTCATGTTACGAAACACGTTTGAACTTCTTCAAGAACCAATTAGGTTCATTCTCGTCTTACGAAAACACCTTTGAACTTCTTTAAGAACCAATGAGGTTCATTCTCATGTTACGAAACACCTTTGAACTTCTTCAAGAACCAATGAGGTTCATTCTTGTGTGTTTATCACGTTTGAGCTTCTGCGAGAACCAATGAGGTTCATTCTCGTGTTACGTAGCACTTTTGAGCTTCCGCAAGACATTTGTTATCGTGCACCAAGCAGGTTCAGTTGAGCTTCTGTTTATGTTTGCTGAAGTTTGTGAATAAAAGCCTAAATTCAATCTGTTCATCACATAAAGTGATCAAGTCTCTTCAGAAAATTCGGACTACAATTCTTAATTCTTATGGATTACTTTTACAATTTGAACTTTTTGAAGCATCAACGTGGTATTTTCGTAGTTGTCTGTGGATGAATGAAAGAGGGGGAGTAATTAATGCCTTACACATTGTTTGCTGAACTGACCCTTTAATATGACTGTACACATATAAACAAACATCTTTTAATCAGTTGCAAAATTTACCAAAATATGTGAGCCACCACGCTTGAAAATTACACAGAGAACCCTCTGAATGAGACTCTCCCTGCAGGTGAGAGGAAAAGAAAAGGTGCAATGAAATAAAGTTATTAAAGAGGTATAATTTAAAAAAAAAAAAAAAGTCTTCAACAAACATTTAGTTTGAATAATTACTCTCTGCCTACATATGCATCTCTCTCTCAAACATACTCACAAATGAATCAACACGACTTACCATAACATATGCAACACTGTCAAAAAATGCAGCTACTGTCAGACTGACTACCATTTTCTGGAAAAAAAAAAGGAGAGAAGAGAGATTATAACATGCAGATAAAAAGAGATGTGTTATTTAAAATAATTCATTATAAATCAACAACATGACAGAACATGACATTAACTAGAACTTTACTGAATTGTAAATTATGTGGGGTAATTACAAAATTCAATTCAAAAGTTCGGAGTTGTTTGTTTTTGAACGAACTTTAACGTTGAAAATAGTTGTGCTGCTTTTTTGTAACAAAACCTTGCTGAATAATATTAATTTGAAGAAAAAAATTAAACAAAATAAAAAAATCTTACTGCCAAACATTTGAACAGTAGTGTAGGTATCTTGGCAATTCAAATCAAACACATACTGTACCTGAGCCAAAGAGTTATATCTGCGCAGAAGCCATATCACAAAGAGCATGAAAAAGCTACAGATAGGAAATTTTAAGTTAGTTAAGAATGCTCAAAAATCACCTTAAAACAAAGAACTCAATATAATAATATAAATCTGCATTAATATTAATAATATAATGTGCAATATAAACCGACTCACCATGCCACTAATGAAAATGTCCCTGTGGCTCTTTTCACTTTAAGAATCACATCCTGAGGATAAATATACATAATATAATGGAAAAAAAAATGACAGCCAGTAAGGAAAATTATAGGATATTAAAGGGATAGGCCTAGTTCACCCCAAAATGTAAATGATCTCATCATTTACCCACCCTTGTGTTGTCTTAAACCTGCTTGAGTTTATTGAATGTTTGTAACCAAACAGTTGTGGGGCACCACTGAATTCCTTATTTTCCATACTATGGAAGTCAATGGTGCCCCACAACCATGTGGTTAATACAAACATTCCTCCAAATATCTTATTTTGTGTTCAGCAGAAATAAATTAATATAGGTTTGGAACAACTTGAAGGGGAGTTAAATGTTGACAGAATTTTCATTTTTGGTAAACTATCCCTTTAATTTCATGAAGTCCTACTGTAGAAGGCTTTCAAAAGCATGTTCACATATTTTTCTTTTCATTTTAAATAGACGTTTTGATTCCCCTATAATTCTTTACAATTTTAACACTTTGAGATACTTTGCAACGGTTCACTAAAGAAATGTAAACCATTTTCCTGCTCGTGTGTTGGGTGTTTTGTCCCATCACAGCTCAACTAACCTATTTACAAATTAACTTGCCTCACCATGAGACATCTAACATTTCCACAAGAATGTTTAAATGTTTAACTAAAATTAAATTATTATCAATTACCTTACTTTCTTACTTTCACGTCAACTAATAAACTACTAGCAAAAATCACCATGCCTGGAAAGGATGATGTCATGTTTTGATTAGCATGATGGCTAACAAGTTAGCATTACATTAATTTTTAAAACAACTTTACACTTACACATTGATAGTCATCCGGCGCTGCGTTAAAAAAAGTACAACGGGAGCTGCTAGTGTTGGTAAGCTGAACTGGATGCTCATCTCCCATAATTATTCTTCCTTTTTCTTAAATAATGTTTTGATGTGGACAACGCACATGATGAGAACACCACATCCCCATTGACACATAAGGCGTGCACACTGGGACAAACAACACCACGATATACGAAACGCAATTAAGTTTTTTTTTTCTCGCAAAACGTTTGTAGTTTCCATATTAACATTATATTTTCTAAGGATTTTGCTGTTGTTTATACAGTGAGGTCATGTTATTGATTAATTAATTTTATTTTAGTCAAAAAAATGGATACGACTATATTCAGCGTCTCTGTTATTGATAGATGGGATGATATTCATTTTGTGGAATGTGTGTGTCTTATGTTTTCATAACATGGCCATTTCGTAGGGTGAAAGCAAGGTGATTTTGATTCATCCAAGGTGGTGTGGCTGTTCACTTTGTCAAAATGTTTGTTTAGATTTAGGTCCAAAAAAAAAAAATTGTGCAATAAAAACTTCAGTTGCTTAAATGTAGATATACTATAAAATAAATTACCTCCATTGTTCAAATTATTGTATTTTAGCAACATCGTGTGAATTTTGATCACTTATTCACACGTTTAAATTGGTCCTGCAGACCCTAAAAGATGTGTAGGCCAATTTGTAGACCTTTGGCAAATTTCTTGAACATAAATAATATTTGTATGTAAGAGAAATAATCTGATTATTATTTAATTATTAAAAGAACCTGATTGTAATCTGGTCTTACTTAATGTAGGCCTATTTTCGGCTTGCAGACACATAACAGAAATTGAAATGCTAAATATGAATTTCATTTTGTTAGATTAAATGAGAACTGTCATTATCGCTAATTCATCAGTCTCAGAAATGAAAGTTATTTAAATTATAGACTTTTGTAAGAACTAAGGAATGAGGAGTGTAGGCTGGAGCAGGGCGTGTGTGTGTCAATTATGGATTTTTGAGCATGAATGAATAATAAACAACAGATATTCAAATTACAAAAGTTTATTTTGTTATATATAAAAAAACAACAATTCAATTCAAAACACAGAAAATGTTTTTTTTTTTTTTTTTTTTTTTTTTTTTTTTTTTTATCATACTGGCATTCAGGCACAATTAAACCCAGAATCTCATGGAACTCATCATGACACAAGCAGTGATTTTCAGAGTTGTCCACGTCATTGATTCACAGGATGATCTACAGATCAGGCCATTAACAGGAAACATTCCCAGGAGGTTTCTACAGAGTTTCTGCTTCATCTATAGGAATTTTCACAAACAAACTATCATACATTTTGTTCTTAAAGTCATCAGTCCTCTGAAACACACAGTAACATCATAGGACAACAACTATAAAGAAGAATTACAAAATAAAAGCTTATAATTATACATAATCCATAAATAGATTTAAATATCAAGGTAAGGCATGGGAGCCAGCCATTTGAACGGAGATTTTGTTTCGTTTTTGTAAAAAAAAAAAAAAAAGAACAGAAAAAAAAGGAAACTGCCAGTGCAAATATAACGTCATAAAACAGGAAGCAGCCCTTAAAATTTGTCAGTGATCAACACCAATAATAATACAAAACCCAGTTCCCCCTCTCGCTTTGCCTTCCATTTGAACTTTTGACAGTTTAAGATCTGTTCGGTCATTCCCCATTGTCTCTTCCACAAAAGCAGAATAGATCACATTAGATCAGAATTGTGCATCAGATTCAAAGACATCGATCCTTCATTTATTATGCAGTTCACTGTCCCCAGCCAGCAATGCCAATCTCCTGCTTGTATCGGTTGGTCAGGTTGTTGGCTTGGCTTGTAAGTTTGGATAGCACTCCATGCAAACCCTTCAGGTGGTACTGCAGGAGCTGCTCCAGATCCGAGTCGTTGTCCGGTTCTGTGTGCACTGACTCCGGCGCAGGAGAGTCTTTCTTGCGTCTCTGCTCCTCTGCGCGCAAGACACCCCATTCGATGTTGTTCCGGATGGACTTGAGCTGGCTGTAATAGCTGTACATGTCGCCCTCAGCATCCCGCAGATAGCTACCCATAACGTCGGTTAGCTTCTGCTCCTCGTTCTGTTGGTCCAGCGGCACATCTCTCAGCAAGCTTGGCACCATGACCGTCTGGTCCATGTTGTTGACGGCGCCGATGAAGCGGTTCATTGCTGTGAAGAGAGCGTTCTTCTGGCTGAGGGGTTCGGACATCTGCATTTTGGTGGATTATGAGAGTTAATTCGAGAGTAGTTTACTCTGTATGTTTCTCTCTGGTGTGTTTAGCTTTCTTCTGAACATCTGTAGTCTATTCCATATTTATACCAGACATTTCCAGCTCCTGGGCGTGACCGAAACCTGTTGATCTGGTATGGGATGTCAAGTCGCAACTAGATTCCAACAGCAAGACAGAAACTTCCGCACGGCCCATAGATACACAGGGAGCGGCTCAAAAGTGCTTGCATGGACCAATTTTGTTGCATAATTATTTAAGCTACATACAAACGTAATACAAACAAAATTCTGCTGTGAGGGCATGTAATGTAATGTTGTTGCACCAAACTGAACTTTGATTTTTAAGATTTAGCCAACAAATGATGCAAACGTTAATAGGTCTACTTCTATAGGCTATAGGCCTAAATGAACGGTCAGGGGTCAGGCTAACAACATTAATAATGGTTATCCCTTTTTGAGAAAGTAACTAGGCCTTCGTCCCCATAACAAAATCTATAATCTTTCGAATTCTTTTCTGATTAGTAACATTTTGAGGCCAAAGGTTGCATAGAATAGGCCTATTATGAATAGGCCTATTATTGTTTGAAGTCATTATCATGTCACATAAGCAAAAATGAATGAACCCAACAGGAAGGAAAACTCACAAATAAGATATGAGATTATATCTCAGTTGTGTCTTAGATGGCAATGAGATCCAATAGAGAGAAAGAAACTTTTGCTTTAATCTGCTTACAGTTTTCTCCTGAAGAAGAGTCTTCTGAAGAGTATTAGAAGAGGTCTCAACAATGTCTCAAACTGCCAAGATTTAGCCATGACTTTTGTGCAGTCTCAACATTAGAAGATTTTGGTATAAACTATTTAAACATTTATCAACAGATTTTCTCGTTCCATCACATCATCATCATCATTTTATATTTTTTCAGGTATCCAAATTAACATCTGAGACAAGGCTGATCCTGATGGAACATACAGTAGTTAAGAACTCAACTAATGTCTCCTGAGCTAAGAACGACCAACCTAATGATTTTCTCTGAAAAAAATAAAAAAAATAAAAAAATAAATATTGATTGGTTTGCAAGGTTGATTTATTTGCAAAAATGTATAAAGTACTAGAAACCCGGACTTGAGTAAAAGTACAAGTGCTCTATCAAAAAAGTGACTTGAGTAGACGTTGAAGTGCTCTTTAAGCACCACACTTAAGTAGAAGTAAAGTATTCAACATTTTTTGTACTTAAGTATTGCAAGTAGTTTATTTAAAAAATCACTACTTAAGTACTAAAAGTAAAAGTACAAGTGTTGTGTCATGTAATTATTAAAGAAAAACTAGCAATCAAATAAGGTGCTTTGGCGGAATACAAATTTGCCATACAAAAATGTCATTGCAGGACAACCCCTGCATTAGTCGTCAATGTGTGCGTCAATCAATACCATTACCCTATAAAACTGGCGTGTGAAGGCAGCATGAAAGCCAACTTGCAACGAATGATTCGTAATTTTTTTATAATTGTAATGCATAGACTGTGCTGTAACGAGTAACTAAGTAAAAGTATTAAATTCATCGAAAATATCTACTGAAAAATAGAAGTATACGAGAAAAAAACAAAACTCTAGTAGAGTACTGATACAGTATTTTAGTACTTAAGTACAGTACTTAAATAGTTCTACTTCATTACTATACATCTCTGTTTATTTGTGAAGCTATTAAAACATTAGGCTACATTAATACTTTATAAATTGACAATATGTCTTATCTGTATCCTTAAAATGGGTTTTGGGGGCATGTTTCTGCTTTCCACTTATGGACTTGTAAAATGCTCTAAAACTGTCTCCTTTGGCCTGTAAAATGAATCTGAATGCCCAGAAGGGATTTGGTTTGATGGCCAATTTAACAAATGAACACAAGAGGATTATTCAGGTGTAAATGAAACGATTAGATTGAAAATCTATTAGTTATGTTATAGTAAAAAAGGGTTTCTCTTTTTCTTTTCACATATTCAAAAACTAAAATACACACTTGGGCCTAATAAGGTCTCCGCAAAAGGGTTAAACCAGATAAGATAAGAGATAAGGTCACAGTAAGGTTTCAGTTTAAATTATTTTTGCATACCAAGTCATAGAAAGGGAAGCTGAGAAACCTTTGCAATGACTAGAATGTCTCGAATGATTTAGAAACCGGTTCTTCTGCTCTGCCACGCACCTCCACCCTTGTTCTAGGTCCATCTATGCCTCACCCCAAGAATCACCGAGAATTTTACCATTGTAAATGTATGATCTGCAAAATTTTACCATAACATTATCTCTTTTTCATGCAATGTGTCTTCACTTAACTTCATTGTTGATAGTTTCAGTCTAAACCTTCCCTAAACATCTTTTGACTATTTTGGATATCCAGATGGGCATTATGAAAATGTATTAAAAAAAAAAAATACCTGTATCAAAATAAAATACTAGATACTGTGTGGGAAAAAATGTAAATGAAGAGTTCAGATGCAAAAGCCTCTAAAAGCCATTTTAAATTTTCTTCTTTAATGATGATTTTTATCAAACTTGTATATTTAAGTTCAGTAATTTCACTCAAATAACAATTAATAGGTAATTATCATTGTCATTTAAGTAAAATCACTGAACTTAAATATACAACCTTGATAAAAATGATCATTCTAGAAGAAAATTTCAAATGGCACTTAGAGGCTTTTGCATCTGAACTCTTCAAATGCAAATACAATATTTTGTATTTTCAATACATGTGAAATGGGCATTCAGTGAATTATCACTATCAACTCATGCCTACTAAAAGCCTACTAAAATATAAACAATATAGAACAAGTTAAACTGATCCACTCTACATATTCCCAATGATCAAGTAAATATCATAATATCGCCCAGTCCTATAGCAAACCAGAATGCTTTAACACTTTTGACTAGATTGATCAAACAAACAACCAATTAACTATCAAGACTGACTGGCTAACACTATTTTCGCCTTGGAAGTGCTCTTTTATTCCTTCATGTTAACTGAAGGTAAATCTGAATAATGCTGATATTTAAACTTAATCAACAAGTAGGATCAACCGTGGCATCTTCACCTTATTTTATTCTTTATTAATGCAGAAAATCTGCTCACTCGATGCTAGTCGTAGCTGCAGCTCACATGCAGGAAAGTTGGGTTTGGGGGATCTGAACAAGTTGATTATTTGATAGTTGATTTTGTATTTCAAATACGTATTTTTAATACATGTATCTGAAAAACTGCCCATCCCAGTGCATATCAGTCTGATCTCGCTCTGATCTGAAAATGCAGGGCAGCTGCCAGTGAAAAGTCATAGGGAAACTAAAACAACAACAACCACAATAGCATGTCCAATGACTCTACATTCACGCTAAAACACACACATTTCTTATTATGATAAGATCAGTAGAAGTAACATGAAACTACCTCAGTGTTTTTAAAAGCATGCCCACACTCTTGAATCATGTTACACTGCTGGACTCTATTGTACTTCTGTCCTTTGCAGAGCATGCAAGAGATGACCTGAGAGAGTCCATCTGATCTGTTACAGTATGTATAATGTTTTTAATCAATTTAATGTGACATGAATGCTGCGTTACATAATTACTTTTAAACCCTACGAGATACAATGACAGCCATTATAGAAAAAAGAAAATTAATTGAACTATTTATTTATTTTCATTTAGTGCACTTTGCACTAGATTTCTGTTGTAAAAAATAACAGTGTTCATCTGACCCCTTGTAATTTAAAGAAATTAGAACATTTCAAATGTTTTCTCATACCATTTCACACAATGTCGCAGCACCCTCTATAGGCCATACGGGTATTTGCACAACTGAAATACTTCAATACTGTGTTGTGAAAAGTATTTGTTATGACGAGTACATGAATTTAGAACAATTGATTGTTTATTTCTCCATTAAACCGCCCATTTTCAAAGAGTTTTGAGACACATTATTACAAATTTTGTTTTGTTTTTCAAATTTTTTTAAAATTTGAGTTTGGGAATTTGCGGCCTATAGTCTGTCAGGATGCACACCATCAAACCCTGAAGAAAACACAAAGAAACATTACTTAAACACAAATGCATTATTAATGCTCATTAATGCTCATACACTTTACCATAATGGTCCACTTGCGGTTCTCAGCTTCTGTAAACACAAGGGAACGTGGTGAGTAGAAAACTTCATCGTCTACTTCCTCTGCTTTACGTGGGAGACAGTGTAGAAATGTCCAGTCTGGTGCAGCCACACTTCCTGCCTGCATGTCAACAATTCAACAGAAACATTTAAAAAACATCTCCAGTTACTTTCGTAACCTTGGTTCCCTGAGAGGCAAGGAACGAGACATTACGAATGTATGGGAACTTCTCTCCTACTACACTTCTCCAGAAATCGTATAGGCTAAAACGTGAGCCAAGCTGGCCAATTGACGCAAATATGCAAATAATGAACATGTTGCAGTATTAATGCAGATGCAGCGTCTCAGAGCATTCGAAGCCTGAGTAGTTGAGGGCTCAGTGAATAGGGCAGGCAGTGAAACAATCTGCGCTTTAATTGGGTAATGAGTGACTTAGGGATATAACCCGGCCTCGGCCTGAACGTCACATTACAGTTTCCCGACCCAAAGCGAATACAATCTTCACTCACAGAGAAGGCCTGTAAATCCCCAACCCGCTACCCTGATGCGAGCGCGAGAAGCAGAGCCGTTTTGACAGAAAGCTCTTTAATGCCAATTTAAGCCAGAGGCTCGAAGGTCGATGTCGACCGCACTCAATCACTCGAAGGGCGGGTGCGACAACGCCTCCAAAACCAAAGCCAAATCCCACGGTGGCACCGAAGGCGGCCGTGCAGGGCATAACCTCCTGTCTCCTTTGAGGAACCCGATCATGACGCATGTCTACCAATAGACTTCCTGTCAATAAGGGGGATGAAACGTGGCGATAGCGGCCACATACATTTTCAGAGTGGATGGAACTCTCCCCTTGTCCATCCTGTATTGAAGAAAGCGCAGGATATCCGACTCAGAACAACTCCTTGGGGTGATATCGACTTCCTGACACCATTTAAAAAAAACTCCCCACTTTAGGTCATACAGGCGCCTGGTGGATGGGGCTTGCGCTTCCGCGATGGTGCTCAATGCTCACGAGTGCAGTGCGTCCAGCTCGCTCAGCGACCCTGCAACGGCCACACATGGAGGTTCCACAGCCCGGGACTGGGATGTCAGATTGATCCTTTCGCCTGAGACTCTTACCCAGACGGTCAGGATGGCTTTTTGAGTCTCGCTGGAGACGCGACGGCTTTCCTTGGCAGGCTCCTCTTGGCCACCCGCTTCTTTCCCATACCCTGCCACTGGTTGTTGCGCCCTCTGCGAGGATCCAGCTCCTGGCGAGGTGCTGACTTCTGTCTGGCTGCAGCCTGAGGATGGCGGCCAGAGGCGGATGACGAGCAAGAGCGAGGCTGCGGTGGAGGCGGCGGCGCCCTGTGAGGGATCACGTGACTCGGAGTACCACTCGGTGACTTTCTCGACCGCATCTCCGAACAAGCCCGCTGTGGAGATCGGTGCGTTCAGCAGCGTCTTCCTATCAGCTTCCTGCACATCAAAAAGGATAAGAAACAGGTGTCCACGCCTCGTCCACGGGCGCAAACATGGCCTGGGTGGAAGTGAGGATGTGCGCCCCGATTGCGGGTCCGCCCACAACTTCACGACGTGTTCGTGCGCATCAGGAAAGAACGGGGTTCCTGTCTTCGAAGCGGCCTGGCAACGGCTCGGCTGAAGGAACGACGTGTTGAGCTTGCTCTTCGAGGGTTCATCCGGGGCCTTCCAAGAGAGGTCCAGTTCCTTGATGGCCTTAGAGAGGATGCGGAAAAGCTCGTCCTGTAGGTCCGTCAGGGTATCCTGGTCCGAAACCAGCTCCAGGGCGGTCTGCTCCGCGGCCCGCCATCCTTGAGGGCTGACTCGGCGTGGGCCAGCACCATGCACGTGATGCAGAAAAGGTGTGTATCCAGGGGCACGATGGGGCCTGAGCACAAGTTACAAATAGTTGCCATCGGATGCAGAATAACAATCGGATGCAGCGATAATTCCTTAATAGATGTAGATATAGTCCCAGATAGCAGACTGACATTGAATCAACGTGGAAATATGACATCGAAACAACGTTGATCTGACATTGTTTTGCTCATCGAATTAACGTTGAACCAACGTCAGATGCGTCATTCTTTCAAAACTAACGGAAAATCAACTTGAAATCAACGCGTTGTTTCAACGTTATGAAAGCAAACCAATTTTAGATTTCATTTAGCTTTGAAGAATGCCGCGTCTGACATTGGTTCAACGTTAATTCGATGAGCAAATCAACGTTGTTTCAATGTCATGAGAGACGTCGTTTCCACGTTGATTCAATGTCAGTTTGCTATCTGGGGTATCAGCTTTCTCGCACACTATTTGAGCGTGAAGAGAGAGATTGTGATGAATATTGATGCTGCAACTGCTTCAATACAGCAACGTATTGAGTATTTGCATATTTGCGTCAATTGGCCAGTTTGGCTGTCGTCAGCCTATAAGATTTCAGCCGAAGTGGAGTAGGAGAGAAGTTCTCATATACAACATTTGTAATGTCGAAGTTCTGAGCATTGATAGGGAACTGCATAACACTATTCAGAAGCAAGTTTTTAATTTCCACAACAAGGCTGCAAATGCATTATAATTCAGTAAATCTTACTAACATAATGGAATGAAAAGTCTTGATCTAACTAGACAAAGTTGATGGATGTTTGTCTACCTGCATTGTGATCTGGTAACCATGGAAATCTTTCAGTCTCTTCTTCTTCTCCTCCTCTTGGCCCATGCTCACCCAAGTGTCAGTAACCAGCACATTACTGTCCTGTGCTGCCTCCATTGGATCTGTCAGGAATTGCAACTTGGTCCCAAACTATAGCATGGAAATCATGATTAGCTAGATAAGCAATAGTGAACATAAAAACTATCTATAAATCAGTTTTACACAGATGTATTGTGTTGTTAAAGTCAATTATTAAAGAATCATTTCATAGACAAACACATAGGCTATGTCTATAATGAAAATCCATTATATAAATCATACAATATAAAATGAAGCAAACATTATAAAGAGAACATTGTATTGTAGGGTAGTCTATACCTGCTTAGAGAGACGCTGAGCCTCTTGAGTGATGTTAGCATCTGGCTCATAACCCTATAAAGATAAGAGGTTCATTCAGAAAAAAATCATTTCAGAGCGGTGCGAGTTAAAAGAAATAAAAAAACGCATTATATTGTACATTACATTATACATTATATACATTATACTATATATATATATATATATATATATATAGAGAGAGAGAGAGAGAGAGAGAGAGCCTTTTAAAAGTAGGTATGATTTCTTTTTTTTTTCTTTTGAATAAAGAATCTAATGCTCACCAAGTAAATTCTTTTTTAATTTATTGCTGTGATGGAATGTGATGTTTGTTTCTGTATTCCAGTGTCACTTGAAATCATTCTAATATGCTAATACTTAAATACAATTTCTGATTAGTATCAGCTGAAAACAGTTGTGCTGTTTAATCTTTTTGTGGAAACTGATACATTCTTTATCAATTTTTCACTGTCTTCACTGAATAAAAGTATTAATTTATTTCACTCACACAAAAAAAAAATATTGTACTATGTGTTACCCCAAGTGCTCTCAAGATGAGTAAAGGCAGGATTCGTGTGCAGGGGAACTGAATTAAAGCAAAGGTAAACCATAGGAGAAGACCTGATAACATCAATGAAACGTTTAACAAAGGACAACACCAGGCAAAGAACATGAGAAACACTGGGGTATATATACACAAGGTGAGATTGGCAAACAAGACACACCTGGGAACACCAGGAACTAATCACCAAGAAAAACTACAAAGAACTACAAAAAATGGCACAGTTTTGAAAGTGGCGCAAACCTTGGGTGTGGCCACTTTTAGATTGACACCTAGTTTGGTCAATGACATCATGAAGGAGTGAAGAACATTGTTTCCATCACCTATCCAAGCCAGAGTGAGGCCTTTTAATGAGCCATAATGCTCCTGTAAGAGGGAAAAAGAAAACATGAGTACTTCAATTGAATACTTCAATTCCACATTGAATACTTCAATTTCTCATTAATGCAATTATCTAATCAACCAATCACATGGCAGTTGCTTCAATGCATTTAAGGGTGTGGTCCTGGTCAAGACAATCTCCTGAACACCAAACTGAATGTCAGAATGGGAAAGAAAGGTGATTTAAGTCATTTTGAGCGTGGCATGGTTGGTGGTGCCAGACGGGCCGGTCTGAGTATTTCACAATCTGCTCAGTTACTGGGATTTTCCATTTCTAGGGTTTACAAAGAATGGTGTGAAAAGGGAAAAACATCCAGTATGCGGAAGTCCTGTTGGCGAAAATGCCTTGTTGATGCTAGAGGCCAGAGACTGATTGAAGCTGATAGAAGATCAACTTTGACTGAAATAACCACTCGTTACAACCGAGGTATGCAGCAAGGCATTTGTGAAGCCACAACACGCACAACCTTGAGGCGGATGGGCTACAACAGCAGAAGACCCCACCGGGTACCACTACAAATAGGAAAATGAGGCTACAATTTGCAAGAGCTGACCAAAATTGGACAGTTGAAGACTAGAAAAATGTTGCCTGGTCTGATGAGTCTCGATTTCTGTTGAGACATTCAGATGGTAGAGCAGAATTTGGCGTAAACAGAATGAGAACATGGATCCATCATGCCTTGTTACCACTGTGCAGGCTGGTGGTGGTGTAATGGTGGATGTTTTCTTGGGACACTTTAGGCCCCTTAGTGCCAATTGTACATTGTTTAAACGGCCTATCTGAGCATGGTTTCTGACCATGTATATCCCTTTATGGCCACCATATACCCATCCTCTGATGGCTATTTCCAGCAGGATAATGCACCATGTCACAAAGCTCAAATTATTTCAAATTGGTTTCTTGAACATGACAACGAGTTCACTGTACTAAAATGATCTCAACCCAATAGAGCATATTTGGGATGTGGTGGAACGGGAGCTTTGTGCCCTGGATGTGCATCCCACAAATCTCCATCAACTGCAAGATGCTCACCTATCAATATAGGCCAACACTTCTAAAAAATGCTTTCAGCACCTTGTTGAATCGATATCACATAGAATTAAGGCAGTTCTGAAGGTGAAAAACACAGCATTAGTATGGTGTTCCTAATAATCCTTTAGGTGAGTGTGTGCGTAATAGGGGTGGCACGGTACATGAAAAAACACCCGAACCGTTCGGTTCGCTTGTCTCGGTTCGGAGCGCGTGTGCGTCTCACGGTTCGACGCATGCGCAATGTAACCTCGTGCACGTATGTGACGTGTGTTTTCTTTTCGCGCGACATCAACTTGTTCGACTTGGACCGGTGCTCATCAATAACATCAATCTAGCGCGATTCGGCTCCGTATGCATTCATCACTTTCGCGATATTTGATGTCATTACCGATCGCTCTGTGCAGCGCCGGTTCAAGTTAATAAACAAGCCAGTAAAAGTGGAGTATGGAGCGCTGCAGGTCACGGCACGCGGAGAAATGGCAAGTGGGAGAGATGAGGGAGTTGGAGGATGCGCCAGCGTCGTATGAGTCTATGGTATAAGTCCGGTGTGTGGGAACATTTTGGATTTCATGTTATGATATTTTAATTTAACTACAGTGGCACTTTATGTATAGATAAGAGCTTCAGTCATACGTTTCCAAACCCTGCACTTTAATTTTAAGTGGAAAAAAGTACCCTCACATTTTGGGAATAGAAGCATTGTTGATACTGTTTTTGTGTTGAGGTTGAATTTCAATTTCACTTTATGTTTATGGCCTTTGCTATTGCTATAGCTTAATTATCTATAGGCAATGAGGTTTCATGTATATTGACATTTAAAAGACAGTGTTTTAAGAGTTCCTCTCTTTTTCTTTTAAAAGATAGAATTTTGGTAAGAGCTACAAAAGTTAGCAGTTGATACATGACAGTTAATTTCTTTTTGTAAATAAGATTTATGTGATAAAAATGCACAAGTTCTTGTAGAGATAGTGATACACATTCTCCTTTTTTGCCAAATAAACAAAAAGCATGTCAATTTCTTCTCTCTTGCTGTATCTAAATCTCACCTAGCTTTCCTCTGAGATAGTCCCAAAATGTGCTTAAAGTCAAAGAGTCAAATTCAGTTTGTGCATGATTGCATGAATATAATATATATTTTTTAATACTGTATCCTAAAGTGTGGATAATTAAGCTATATATCACATGCTGAAGTACATTTCTGGAGTGTTAAAGATTAAAAGAAAAAATAACAAGAACCGTACAGAACCGAAAACCGTGACCCTAAAACCGTGATACAAACCGAACCGTGGGTTTTGTGAACCGTGCCACCCCTAGTGCGTAAGTGTCAGTGAATTTGTACCTGCAGTGTCAGTAGGTCCGCTAGAATCTGTATAGGGTGGTAGAGATCAGACAGGCCATTGATGATTGGTATAGAAGCATCTTTATCCAGGAGCTCCAGAGATGAGTGACTATACACCCGAGCTAACACGATATCTGCCAAACCAGAGAGCACCCTGCCATACAAACACACCCACATTTAAGACCATGTCATGGCCTCACAGTATTGAGTCTAAGCAGTGTTTACAATGTGTATTCAGACCTGGCCGTGTCTGTGGTGCTTTCATTGGTGCCCAGATGAATATCTTGGGGTGTGAGAAAACATGGATGGCCACCCAACAGAGAGAAGCCTAGTGAACGAGAGAGAGAGAGAGAGAGAAACTGTCTATGTGTCAAATCCTTTGTTCTGTATCGTTCTATTCATTCATTTTGTTCAGGGACCGCACTGTTAAATATAAGCCCTTGATCACAAGCTCGAACACTGAATGGCACCTGTTTCAGTGGACATGCGGGTCCTAGTGCTCCTCTTTTCAAATATCATGGCAATAGATTTGCCTTGAAGTACTGGGACATACTGTGCATAAAAAGAGGAATAAATGAGCATTGTTTATAAGTCCTGAAATGGAGAGATTTCCAATCAGTAATTTAGCAGATGCAATATATTTTGCAGTACCTCGCCCCTGTGCTTTATTCGATGCTTAAGGTCAGCAGAAACCCACAGGATATGTTTAATTTCCTCTGCATTAAAGTCCTTTAGTGTTAGAAAGCTGCTGCCTTTCAGGTTAACACTCTCTAAAGTTGCTTTTCCCACTCTGTGGACATGAAATACACATGATACAGACGTAAAACAGCTTAAGTATTGGAAAAAAGAAGAGAAAAGAAAACAAACACATTTTAGGAAAATAGTTTATGCAAAACAACATTTAAAAAAACATTTTCAAATTATCATTTAGATTTCATAAAGTCATATATTGAAAGAATAAATTGAATGGGTTATTTCTATAAAATATAAATGGTTAAAAACTTCAAAAGTATCCTAATCTAAAGCAAAGAATGTTCCTTTATTAAAATACATAAATTCAAAAAATATGTTAATATTTAATTAAAATATCAGTGTTATTGGCCAATTACTCATTAATTAAAATTTAAGTATTTTTTTATTTTGCTTAACAGATCAGTGTTATAGGCTACTACACATTACAACGAGGACATTATTCAAACTTTCACAGCAATCATGATGACTTCTTAATATTTAAATTAATTGTCTGTTTAGCATTATTCAATTGAATAATATTTGTTAATATAAATGATGAATAAAATGAATTTCTTGTTTATGGCAAGACTTTGCGACTTACCTTAAATTCCTGCTCTGGCAACATCTTGCAAATTTCAGACTACAAAATATTCTGTTTTTGAGAGCAAACATTTTACTGACATATGAATACAGAAAGCTCAAAGCTGGCACAACCAAATCAATGCATTTCCACATGCTCCCTGTCATACAGCATTGTGGGCGTGGCTAATGGGATGGAAACGGGGAGGTACCAGGAGGAACAAGTAACTTGGCGTGGTGACTGGTGACGGACAGCTCTGTGCTTTTTCTCATTAATCCCACACACTGGCATCGGATGCTAAATTTACTCACTATCTCTCTCTCTCTCTCTCTCTCTCTCTCTCTCTCTCTCTCTCTCTCTCTCTCTCTCTCTCTCTCTCTCTCTCTCTCTCTCTCTCTCTCAATGACTATAATGTTTCTTTTCTTAATTAAATAATTATATAAAATTAAAAATAACAGCTGAAAGAACAGAAATGTCAGGTATGTCATCATCTGAAGAACAGAGGTGAGGGTGATGACTGGAGAAACAGACACAGACATTCCAGGTAAGATGTGTATTTTTATAGTGACATCTATCTATCTATCTATCTATCTATCTATCTATCTATCTATCTATCTATCTATCTATCTATCTATCTATCTATCTATCTATCTATCTATCTATCTATCTATCTATCTATCTATCTATAGATCTGTCTATCTGTCTGTCTGTCTGTCTGTCTGTACGTGTAATTTAGCATGTGCTTGTAAGACTCTCTTTGTGTGACACTATAATCATGCATTTGAGCTCCTAGAGCATTATACCCACACAGGCTATTCTGGGAAGCTGGAAGCTTTCTAAGGATTTAAATGGACCGTCTTGCTGAGCATGGAAGGTTTGCTCTTTGCTCCGGATGTGAACAATTGTGAGATGTTGTACTGAACATATGTTTCCTCATTGCAGATACAGGTGCTGTATTTACCTTTGGAAATAGTAAAATAGCCAACAATGTGCCCAGCAGGTTATGGTTAAAGAATGATATACCTGTGCACATCTCATGTGGACAGTCACACTCAGCCTTTGTAACAGGTTGTAATCTCTCTATATTATCCTTTCTATATTATAAAAATAAATGCTATATTTCAGCTCTTTAATGATCTCTTTTCAGAGCAGGGCCGTTTGTTTGTGTTTGGAAGTAATGACAGCGGTCAGCTTGGTCTACAAGCTAAAGGTCCAATTAAAAAACCAATCTGTGTTAAAGGTTAGACATAAGGGTGTTTACAGTATACATTTATTTATATGTTTTATAAAGATCTAGCTCTATGTTGTGTTATTTATCTTCTTAATTGTCCACACAGTTCTTAAAGGGGAGAGAGTTCAGTTGGTTGCCTGTGGGACTGATCACACGCTCGTAAGCACATGTAAGCAAAGCCTTTTACTGTAGTTTCAGACACTATTGTTAAAAAGATTGGCATCAGTAAGATGCTTTAATGTTTTTGGAAGAAGTGTAATATTATTTTAATTTATACTGGCAATATTTTGAAATATAATAAAAATAAGTAAACAATTTATATTGATTTTAATATGTTTTAATTTCGGTTATGACAAAGCTGAATTTTCAGCATCATACTCCAGTCTTCAGTGTCACATGATCCTTCACTCTAATATTCTGATTTGGTTACTGTAATTTGCTTACTGTAATATTTTTTTGCGAAAACCATGATTCATGATTCTTTGATTAAAGGAATGTTCAAAAGAACAGCATTTATTTGAAAAAAAAAAAAACATTTAAATGAATGGTACTGTCACTTTTGATCAATTTACCGTAATGTGTCCTTACTGAATAAAAGCAAGCAGTTTTTTTAAAAAACTTACTGACCCCAACATTTTAAACAGTAGTTTATATTTTAAAAAGAGAATTTTAAATAAAAGTTTATGTGGGTTTTTCCAGCACAAAGGGAGATTTTTGTAGCCGGAGGAAACAGTGATGGACAGTTGGGACTGGGCCATTGTAATGGCAGTGTCTCTTTCCAGTGCCTCCGCACCTTTTGTGACTATGCTCCAATAAAATTGCTCTGTGCAGGTGACCACACCTCTGCTGCACTTACAGGTAACAATGATATGCAACTGAAAGTCTCCTTCATAGTAGATATAAACCTACTATTATATATGGAAATGCATTTACATATTTAAATAATAAATCTGCATATTTCAGAGGATGGCAGGCTGTTTATGTGGGGTAATAACTCGGTTGGTCAGCTTGGTTTGGGGAATGACAGTCATGCCTTGTTGCCTAAAGAACTGAAATTGGGACTGCCCGTTCAGTCGGTCTCATGTGGATACAGACACTCAGCTCTGGTCACAGGTGAGCACCTGTCAATCAACACTATTCAGAAGCATGAATAAGACCATGCTGTTATTTTTATTTTATTTATTTATTTATTTATTTTTTTGAGGGTTCACTGAATAAATACTTGGGAATTTGGTGTGTTTCAGATAATGGGGATGTTTTCACTTTTGGGGAAAGTGCAGATGGACGACTGGGTCTTTCTGCTCATCTGCTGGCCAATCACAGGTGTCCCCAGCGAGTAGAATCTCTGCACGGGGTTCTGCAGGTGGCATGTGGAGGCAAGCACACTCTCGCCCTCACAGGTGATGGAGATGTACACAGTGCCTTAAAAACATGTGAATGAATGTATATTAAATATATTTTTCTATCCATTAGAATTAGGTTTAAAATTGAAATGCCACTTGGTTTGATATGTTGTTATCTAATTCAGTGACATTAATACATTTTTTTAAGTCTGGCTTAAAGCTACACTGTGTAACTCTTTTAGTTTATTCTTAGCTAAAAACACTTAGTTCTTTCAAAAATATGTCCTCATTAATGTATATTAACTTTGTTCAAGTAATAAAGTATTCTCGTGAGTGTATAATATGCCATTGAAAATACAAAGTACTTACGGGTAAGGGGTTCTAATGTCGGTCGCCATGTTGCCCCTCCATCTTGAAAGTACATTAGCCAAAGAGGGACATACCCATTAATTCAAGCTTCGCCTTTCACATTTACGTTTGCGTTAACACTCATTGACGAGGTCGAACTGGAAGCCATGTTAATCTTGGACTATTGGCCATCGTAGGAGTTAAAACGAAATTGGAATTGAGAGGAACAGAAATTAATATTCACTGGATGGTCATATACTAGTATTGATGGTTCGCACTCGTCAGTCCAGGAGGCCGGCCGTACTCGGGCTGGCGTTGATGCGGAGCTTCTGCACCTCCTCACCAAGGCCATCGATCAACTTCGGCCTCTAGTGGTCAGCACCTGATGAGCCCGCACCGAACAGGCTCGACGGATACTTACTCCATCGCCGCCGCCAGGCGCTCGTATCCAGGACTGTGGCCTTGCTACCGGAGCTTTGCCGAACTTTCTCCGCGAGAGTCCGCTCGCATGCCTCCTCAATGCTCTCTCAGGTTGACGGCACCGTCAAGAAGGGGTATAACTATATTCCCCCGGTTGAAGAAGCAGTAGCATTGCACTTTTGCCTGCCCTCTAGATGGCTTTCAAAGGCTGCCCTCACCTCTAAGGCCTGCAGGACCACTTCAGCCCTTGTCAGCCGCGTTTTCGCCGGCACCGGACAGGCCGCTTCAGCCCTGCACTCTATGGCGGTTCTACAGATTCTCCAGGTCAATCTCCTCCGTGAACTGGACGACCCGTGAGCTCGGACCCATCCACCATCACGGATCTTCGCAGCGCGACGGACTTTTCCCTTCATGCGAACGAACGGTGGTGGACGGTGGATGGACGCCCTCTTGGACGGTGCATGGTTTTCTTAACAGTCACGGAAAGGCACCTTTGGCTGGCGCTCACCAATATAAGGGAATCCGAGCAGGCTGTTTTCCTCAAAGCCCTGCTTTCCCCCACCGGCCTCTTTGGACCAGTTATTAGCGGGATTGTGGACTGTTTCTCGGAGGTGCAAAAGACAACGCAGGCCATGCAGCTCTTCTTGCCGTGTCGTTCAAACTCTGCTGCACGCTGCAGTCGGGACCAGCCTACACAGAGCTCCGCTCAGCGTCCAGCCCAGCTACCGCCTGTGCTAGATCGTGCTCAGCCAGCCGTCATAGGCCGTCTCCACGCTTACTGAAAAGCATTTTATCCGTGGCAACTCTCTCGTGTCCTGTTCCTTACATGATATGCTCCCCATCCAAAGCCACCACGACCTCGTGTATAAATCGGCTGCCCATCGCTATAAGCGAGCCGCCGTGTTCCAGCACCGTAAGCATGCGCACTCCACCTGCGCCCCAGGTTCAGATCCTCAAGCCCATAGTATGAGGCGATCAGATCCCAGAGGCCATTTGGCCCCTTGCTCTACATGTAAAAGCATGGGAAGCTATCCTGGGCACCTCAGAATGGGTGTTGAACACAATAAAGAATGGCTATGCATTGCAGTTCGCTCACCGTCCCCCGCGCTTTTGAACGCAGACCGAAACGAGAGTGAATGGGGAAGTAGCACACCTTTGTGCAGAAATAGCGAAACTTCTGTGCGAGGGTTCCAAAGAGCCAGTACCCCCTGAGCGAGTCAGGCTTTTACAGCCATTATTTGCTCATACCCAAGAAGGATGGAGCCCCCCCTTAAATTAAATGTATCTCTCCCTTTTCTGTAGAGGAAGAGTTATATTCTTTTGGCCGTGGAGAGTTTGGTCAGTTAGGGTTGGGGACGATGATGTTTGTAGCAGACACACCTGTTGCTGTCGGCCACTTCAGGAAAGGCAGGGTTACCCATGTGAAATGTGGTGAAAACCACACAGCGCTTATAACAGGTAAGATACACACACTGTTAAATGAGCGATGTCAGATGATTAAAATGAATTATTAAATAAATGATTAAAAGAAATTATTACTTTGTCATTTACTAACATTCTCCTTAATCCCATAATCATAGTATTGCTAGTTCAATATGTTACCAGACGAGCTATTATTCTGATCAGTCTTTAAAAGAATCAAACAGTTGTGTTGTGTAAATGTGTTGACTACAATAATTACATATACATTCGACATTTGACTTCACATTAACCAGTTCCAAAAGACATGTATTTGTGGTTTATATAGTTACACATCTCATCTAAATGCACTCATTTCTCAGATAGTGGTCTTCTGTACACATTTGGAGATGGCCGTCATGGGAAGTTAGGCCTTGGAGACGAGAACTTCACCAATCAGTTCTGTCCAACTGTGTGCCAGAGGTTCTTTGATTATTCTGTCATGACTGTAAGTTATTTTTTTTTTGATAGTTTATTATCAAGTTCTTGTCTTTTTCTGTATGTATAACTAAGGAAATATAATTATATTTGTGCTTATGTGCTGTAGGTGGCATGTGGTTCTAGTCACATGCTGGTGTTCGCACGGCCACGGCAACAGGAAAGTGAAGAAGTTTGTTTAGAGGATGAAGATGTTACTTACTCTTACCTGGACAGGTGTTATACCTCAATGCTACAGGGGGAACCATTAGAACATATTCCAGGCCCAGCTCTTGTCTCACAACTGACCTTTCTCCACCCATCTCTTCCAACCTCTCACCGCTGGAGCCTATCAACACGGGCCAGACGGAGACTGAGGGTGAGAAGCTGGTCCCTTGGGTTACATCAGTTAGATGAATGAAACTCCTTGTGTTCTATGAAGGTTCTATGGGGATGTTTACAAAAAGGAGATATATGGAGGCGTTTTTTCAGCTAAGCCCTTTATGAACCAGGGGTGGATTTTTATTTGAGATAACAACTCTGTTTAAGAAACGTAACTCTTTTTTTATAACATGAAGGTCACATTAAAACGTGTTAACCGATTTCTGTGCCTTTAATGAATAGGTTTTGAATAGATTGTCTCTAATCTATATTTTCAAACTTAAAATAAGACAATCGATAATACAAATATGAATTATATTTACAACTATGAGCATCCAAACAAAGAGTGAATATAATACAGTATATAATTATAGATTTACCATATTTTGACCACACCACACAATATTTTGAAAGTTTTTTCAAATGATTAGTGTACTTGCTTACACAAGGGGCATTAGTGTACTTGCTTACACAAGGGGCATGATTGAAATGAAATATGAGACATGTGATGTGTTATGAAAACAAAGAAACACCAAGGAAAATCTACAGAATTTTTTTTTTTACCTGTGTGAAAAATGTGTGTGGAAATATTATTTAATTGTGTGTGACATTCTTAATTTGTAAATAATGTAGGGAGACTGGCAAAATATTTGTGTGCGTGTGCTTGTTTATATGATTTACAAGGACACAAATTTATATAACGCCATGGGTATTACACTGTAATTACAACGTGTTTTTTTTATTAATATAAAAAAATTGATATATAAATATAATTGTATATATCACATCCCCTATCATAGAATAAATATAAATAACATACTATTTTCTGTTTTTTTTTTTGTGATGGGTAGCTTTAGGAGTAAGGTTAGGGGATAGAATATACAGTTTGTCCAGTATAAAAACCCTTTCACCTATGGAATGTCTTCAAAATGATAGGTACATCAACATGGTTGTGGGTATGTGTGTTTCAGAAGAGCTCATCTGCACAGTTTGGTCCAGAATTTTGCAATCTTCCTCCCCTTACAACTGGCTTTACTGCACTAGCCCTGACAGGCAACATCCTTCAACCCAGATCTCCAACAGACACTCCTAAACGCTTCAGAACTGATGTCCCTGTGGAATCTTCTTCTACCTCAATCACACTGCCTGTCAGGACACTTCCACGTAAATATTTGTCTATGTTCTCCCAAAACCTCTCTTTCTAGCCATCCATCTACCATCTATCCAACTGTGATGCTAATATATCTTACCACAATTATATAATCACTAAATGTAGTCATTCTAAATTAATTAAAAAACACTAGCAATAACCAAACACTTGATTATCAGTATTGACCAGCTTTTTTGTGAATACAGTCACACCCATCACTAAGAGCACAGGGGACTGCCATAGTGTTGGAACATCTGAAAACAGCCTGTCAGAAAAGGTGAGCTAAAGCTGTCACTGTGCTCAAGATGATTAAATTATTTATTAGAAAAGTGTTTATTTAACTGAGGAATGTTTGATTTTACAGACACGTGAACAGCATAAGAACAAGATGGCAAGAGCCTCTTCTAATGGGAAGGAAGAGAACGTTCCTCAGGATCTGCCCACTGAAGTACAGACTGGTTCTGTTTCTCATCCGTCAATGACAGAATCTCCACCACCAAGCAGTCTTAAACACAAGAAGCCCAGGTCTGGAGACCCAAAGAATGCTGCTACGCAGGAAGAACGTTTTAATGCTACAGTATCAGAAAGCAAAATGCAATCCAAAACATGCAAAAAACCTATCCAGAGTACAAATAATAAATCTAAAGGTCAAGCAGTAGAGGTCAGATCATCTCCAGAGAGAATGTCAGCTAAAGAAAGGGAGGCATGCAGTGAAACATGCAGTATTAATATTGATTCAAGGCCCAAAGTTTCAAAACCAGATCCCAGAGATCAAGAGGTCACTACTCCTGCTGAGATGAAGCACAAGACCAAGTCGAGTTCACTTAAAATTCAGAATACAAGTTCTCCAGTTCAGGAAGCCATGCCTACAAAAGTTTTAGAGGTCAAATCACATCAAATTAAAGAGGAGGGTATTCCAGTAAGAGCTACAAAAAGGGTAAAATCTCCAGTCAAGGATCAAGAAGTCAACTCTGGCAGGATGGAAGTTAGTGTGGTCGAATCAATACTTCAGGCAGGTCCTGCTCAAAAAGACATCATGCCATGCCATGGAAAGGCTCAAGAGGTCATATCAACACTGATCGATACACAAGAACAGGAAAAGCCGTCAGTCAAAATTCCAGCCAAACTGCAAGACACTCCTAAAAAGGGAAATCATGTTGACACAGAAGAAAACCCTGGTGAACTTACACCAAAGAAAGCTAAGAAGAAGAGATCAGAAGTGGAAACACCCAGCCCTCTATCGGTTTCCATACCAACACGAATGTCTAAAGCAAAAAAGGGAAAGCCTGTGGAGGCTGAAAACTCAAATGTCCAGCTTAGAACTGAGATGCTAGCACAAGTCAAAAGGGAAAATGATAGTAAAACACCTCAGAACTCCAATATATCATTTCCCCCTCTAGAGAACAGAAAATCAGGAGGAGCTGCTGAAATAAGCCAGTCCGCTTCCAATCTGCCGTCTGAGCAAACAAATAGCCAGTCACCCTCTGATAAACTGCTTACTGAACAGAAATATGAATTTCCATCAATTAAAAGCTTAACTCCAGAAGGAGGCCACTCATTTTCCAGTTTATGGTCCAATAACGAATCAGCAACCAGGAAATCTTCCACCATAAAAGAAACTGAATCATCATCTGCTAATTTGTTAAATCTATCACCACAATGGAGGCAGTCACCACTAAATGAAATTAAATTAGATGGCAAATCAGTTGAACCTGAAGAGCCAGACAGGAAGCCACAGGCTGAGCAGAGCATTATGGGTAGTGTAGTTTCACCACTAGCGGCCATGGCTATAGTTAGTGCTGCACCACTACTAATAAAAGCTGCTGAAGTTCTTTCGGAAACTTCACCAGAACAAAGTAATAAGATAGAACATCAATTGGACCCGGACAGCACAGTTCAGGATCTATCAGCACAATATGTACAAAACAAGCTTGTTTCAGATGAAAACAGAAAAATGGAGAAAGAATCTGATGTGAAGGATAGCGAAACAGAGAGAGCAGAAGAGAGAGGTGAAGAAGAGACTCTCGCTGAGGATGAAGAAGAAAGTGAGGGGGTTGGGCAGAAAGAAGAGTACAGTGGTGTTGAGGATGAAGAAGAAAGAGAAAGCGATAATGATAAAGACGGTGATCAAAAAGGAGAGGAGGGAAGTGAGGAAGAGGAGGGAGACGAGGACAGTGTTGTTGAAGATGAAGAAAGAGAAAGCGATAATGACAAAGACGGTGATCAAAAAGGAGAGGAGAGCAGTGAGGAAGAGGAGGGAGATGAGGATAGTGATGTTGAAGATGAAGAAAGAGAAAGCGATAATGACAAAGACGGTAACGGTGATCAAAAAGGAGAGGAGGGTGGTGAGGAAGAGGAAGATGAAAGTGAGGGGGTTGGGCAGAAAGAAGAAAATGATGTTGAAGAGAAAGAAGAAAGAGAGACCGATAATGATGAAGACAGTGAAAGTGCTCAAAAAGGAGAGGAGGATTGTGAGGAAGAGGAGGGAGAAGAAGAGGAAAGTGAGGGGGTTGGACAGAAAGAAGAGAGTGATGTTGAAGATGAAGAAGAAATAGAGAGCGATAATGATGAAGACAGTGAAAGTGGTCAAAAAGGAGAGGTGGATGGTGAGGAAGAGGAGGGAGACGAAGAGGAAAGTGAGATGGTTGAGCAGAAAGAAGAGAACAGTGTTGTTGAAGATGCAGAAGAGAGAGAGAGCGATAATGATGAAGACAGTGAAAGTGCTCAAAAGGGAGAGGGGGACTGTGAGGAAGAGGAGGGAGAAGAAGAGGAAAGTGAGGCAGCAGGGGAGGAAGAGGATGACAGCAATAGTGGACAGAGCAGTAAAAGTGAGGGAGAGAAGAGTGAAGAAGGTGGATGTGAAGATGTGACTGAAAGAGAAGAGGAGAATGAGGGTGAGGATGGAGAAATGGAAGAAGAGAATAAGGATGAAGAGAGTGGTGGTGAAGATGAGGAAGAAGAGAGGGAGAGCTGGGATGGAGGGAGTGAGGGAGAGGAGAAAACCGATCCAGAGGAGGAGCAGGAAGGAGAGAACAGAACGGAGGAGAAAACAGAAGTAGGGGAAAAATCTGACAGTGAAGATGAAAATACAAATGTGAGATCAGATGAAGAAGAGGAAGGAGAGAGCGAAGAAAATGATGGGCGTGAAGAGGAAGAGAATGAAATAGAGGAAGGAGAGGAAGAAAAGGGAGACGAAAAGAGTGAGGAAGAAGATGAGGAGGAAAATCAAGAAGAAGAGACTGATCATGAAGAGGAGGAGGAAAACAGAGATGAGGAAGAAGAAGAGAATGGCGAAGAGGGTGAAGAAGATGAGGAACAGGAGGAAATGGAAAATGATAATAAATTGAAAGACAAAAAAGATGGAGTAACAAACAGTGAAGAAGAGGAGAGTGAGGGAGAGAAAGAAGATCGACAGAATGACCTGGAATCTAAAAACGAAGAAAAGTTTTCCAAGAAAGATGGGGATGAAGAAAGACAGGAAGGAAGTGAACAGGTTGAGGAAGATGATGGAGACGTGGACAGAGAAGATGAAGATGATGAGGTAGACAAGCTGAATGAAATGATGGAAGAAAAGAATGAGGAAGAGGAAGGAAGTGAGGAAGAAACAGAAGAGGAGGAGAAAGAAACAGACAAGAAAGAAGAGAATAAAAAATCAGACAGAAGTGGGAGGAAAGCGAAAGAATCTACTGAAGAGGAAGATGAAGAAGAGAGTGAGGAGGAGGATGAGGAAGAAGCAGAGCTGAAGGAAATGAAAATAAAAAGGACACAGAGAGAAACTAGTGAAGAAGAACAAGAGGAGGAAGAGAGTGAGGAGGAGGAAGAGGAGGAAGAAACAGAGAGGGAAAAAATTGATATAAAAACTGAGAGAAATAGGATGAAACCGAGAGAAACTAGCGAAGAGGAACAAGAAGAAGAGAGTGATGAAGATGAGGAGGAAGAAGAAGCAGAACAGAATGAAATGAATATAAAAACTGAGAAAAACAGGAGGAAACAGAGAGAAACCAGTGAAGAGGAAGAAGAACAGGAAGGAGAAAGTGAGGAAGAGGAGGGGGAAATAGAAGAGCAGAAAGAAATTGGGAGGATACAGACAGAATCTACTGAAGAAGAAGAGGACGAAGAAGAAGGTGAAGAGGAAGAAGAAGAAGTGGAAGATGAGGAAGAAGAAGAAGGTGAGGAAGAGGAAGAAAAGACCAAAAAAGTACCAAAACAGAGAGACAAACCAAATGTGTTACCTGCACGAAGACAGACAAGTGCACAGAGAGACAGGCAGAAGACTAGACAAAGAGATCAACAGAATGTTAAAGGGAAGAAGCAAACAGATGGTGCTCAGGACCCTCAGTTCTGGGACAGTGTCTTACCACAGTATCTGAACCTTAAATGACCCCGAATCTGCACACTACAAGTTTCTTACTTCTTTAAGTGGATTCTTGATTATAAAGTGCCTTGACTAAATTATTCCATACATATTCTGTTACAGTATTGTCATAGTGAATGTTATTTTTTAAGCACAGATTTATTTCAGACTTTGAATATTTTCATGTTCTGGTCTATTGACATTCCTTTTCCAAGACCTGGTCTGTTATTAGCAGCATACCAGACTACTGTAAATGATAACTGCAATTTAAAAGTGCAAGAGACAGTCACGCACCTACATTCTTTGATTGAAAAGTGGATAATATTTTGCTGTTTTGTTCAAGAAACTATGAAATACAATGTTCTATCTTTGAGATGTTTATTTGTTCACTGTATATATATATATATATATATATATATATATATATATATATATAACTTATTGATCATATATATATATATATGATCAATAAGTTATGACAACATCAAAATAAGCAATTTTCAACTTTCTTATGACAAATAATACACGATTTTACTCATTTTAAGTCAGTCTAATGTAGCTAATTTAAGTTAAAATGACTTAAACAAAAAATGTGATTGTACTTAAAAATATAGGCAGCAATTTATGTATTTAGTTCTTTTTGTATCATTATTATTATTTGTTTTACAGTGGGAGTCTGGCAACTGAATTTCCCTTTTAATGATGGTTCAGAGTCAGACTAAGACAAACTCCACTTTTACTTTTGAGGACATTACTTAAGTGTCCCAATAGCCTACTTTTTAGGGTCACTGTAAGCAGCACTAATAACAGTACACATTTTATACATGTATACCAAAAGTCCCCGCGCCGCTCTGTGCGCGCTCTCGCGCTGGATGAAGAGCTCTCGTATTTCTATTGAGGAGGCGGGCTCGGGCTTGTGCTCTGGTTCTATTCTATCGTAGGAATGTACCCGAGGTCTCCCAGCAGCTCCTGGACTTCCTAAAGATGGACACCTGGATATGTGTGTATGTGATAGTGGGACTGCAGCTGTCCGGAAGCTTTGCGTATGACGGTAAGAGACCCATCCAAACGGATCCTGTTTAGTCTCGCGCTCTGACCTTTAATCATTCAAAATGTTTTGAGCAATAACGTTACTTATCAAACTAACTGCAAAGTTGTGCAAAAATCAGAGGAAATAGAGTATTTGTGCATGTGAGAGTTCCCTGTGCTGTTTCTTCTTGACTTTCTGTATTAGGCACAGTAGCCTATATTTCAACAGAGCTCAGAGTGTTTACGTGGACGTTTTGGGGGCTGTTTGGGGGGAAAGAAGGGGGCAAGTTTCTTAAATCCAGGGAAAAGACACTGAACTCTTTCATATGAAAATGCACTGATGACTTGTCACCAGCAGGACACCGCACGCCCGGTCTAACTCCATACTGATGGGACATATGTTGAATGTTTCGTCTTTAAAGTATCTGTGATTAGTGACACAGTAATAATGTAAGGATGTCTTCTGGACAGCAGGTCAGCAGTGTGCTCGTTGAGTCAGCAAAGGTTTAATTCTAAGCATAGACATGTTCAACAGTCTTTTGTCTCAAAATCCCTTTTGGACTTTAGCAGGAACATTTATATTAATACCATGCACTTTTAATATTAAGTTTGTTCATTGTCCTTCATTATCTATTTTCAAGTGCCTATCCCAATAATCTTGCAGATCTAAAGATTGTGTTATTCATCATGAGTCTTTTCCTTGGTTAAGTCTCAAGTCAACTGAATAAAATAGTATATGAAACAACGACATTGAATTTACATAAGAAGTTATACTTGCAAAATATGAAACAAGTAAGTGAGAAGCATCGGTGTATTAATATGCTGGTGGTGTTGTGCTACTCACTGTCCCTCAGGCTATGGGGGTGTGGGGGTCTGTGATTGTTATGAAATGTGTCTGATATGTTATTCACTTTTCATGAAAAAAGTTGTTTTAACTAAAAATCTAGGATTTTGTGTATCCAGAGCTAGAGACTGTCCACTTATCCATGGTTGCTAAGCCTGTACCTGATGTCACTAATATATTCAACCAATTTATATAATAATTTGAGGAATCTGCACACCACATTTTAATCTACTTTGGTTTATGTTTGATTTTTTTAGTATTGTTGTTTGTATCAGGCTGGTTGACTAATGAGACTCTTTTGAAGTATTTGCTGTATATTAGTGAGAGATAAAATGCATTTCAATTTGTGAAACATTGTGATGAAGTAATTTGTTTATATTCCAGCAGAAGCAGTTCACACTTGCTTACATTCACCATGTGCACCTTGGTCCCTTCAAACCTTCATAGTTTCTCACTCCAAAATTGTATTTGTTTAGACTAGAGAATTAATGAAAAAGGAGTCTTGCCTGGACTCGCTTAGGCATGCAAGTGTCCTGTTCTGCTGGAAACACACAATTGAAAAAGCTGAAGAGATGCATGATGTGGTGTGGTGGTAGAACTAGAACTAATTGCTCTAAATTACCAATCTCCATTTCAAGCACTGTTTGAGTGAGACCACGGCTGGGAATGTAATTCAATGCAGAATTACTGCGTGAGGTTGTCGTCCTGTCTATGGGTTTTAGGTTGTGCTCCAGGTTACAGTTTGTAAATGCACGAGAGGTCCAATTTTAAAATACAACAGACCATCAGACTCACATATTGGCTTAATTTGCATGTGTAAAGTAAACGCCAAATAAATGATGCATTTTGGTAAATTACTTCAAATGATGTACATTGTTTATTCTCAAAGACTGGGTGGCTATTTGTGTTTGTGTATCTTATGGCCTTGTGAACACAAACACAGACTCGTGTTGGCTAAAATTTTAAGACTTGTTACAAGATTAAGAGATTGAACAAACACAGACTGTCCACACTGTCCTGACTTGAACTAGTATGAGTGAATGCATGTAAAACAGCCACATGTCCAAACTCGAATGAACCGAACATTCTGAGCTATCAATCAGTAGCTATCAGAGATTTACTCTTTTGGATGAGCAAAGCTTGTTGCATATGAGAGAGAGAATTAATGTTGCTTTATACCTGCATTGATGTGAGGGGACAATATAGTTTCAAACTAAAATGTAAAAAAATAAAATTAAAAAAAAATAAAGACAAACTTTGACAATAAAAGATTTTAAAAAGCCCAAAGACTGTTTAGGCGGTGTAGTTTATATGTGAATATATGGGCAGTTTTTGAAATATACGTGTTTGAATATATTAAAAGTTTGTAGAGAGTTTTTGTGTGTGTGTGTGTGTGTGTGTGTGTGTGTGTGTGTGTGTGTGTGTGTGGCTACAAGCAGTTTTTAAGTGGTTGCTACGGTGTTTTGGATGGTGGCTAGGTCAATGTGTTATGGCTGATGGATTGATATAAACATAATTAGTCTGTAATTCCCCGTCAGTAGAATAAGGTTAACTAAACTCCATGCACATAAGAGCTGTAAATCTGAGACTGGAACTGACTGTTGCAGACACTGAACATGGGGAGCCTGAGGGATCTTGATTTCTAATGACTAATATCTGCAAAACGTCCATCCAAATCCATTTTTAAGATAAACATTGTATAAGTTGTAAAATCTTTTCAACAGAAGCTATGTTTTAATTGACAACGTTTTCTGTTAGTGGAAACTCCCTCCGTTTGAAGTATAAGTGTGTGTGTGTGTGTGGTGTGTGAGAGAGAGCAGATCTAAGCCAAGTCAGTGAGTATTCTGGGTTACACAACGTTCTGCTGAGCTTAACAGAATGGAACAGGAAAACTCATCTGCCAAATGGAGCACACACACACCTACACACATGATCCCTATGGAGTCTTTTCCATGATAGAAGTTGGAAAACTGTGGTCCTGTCATGATTCACTTCTAGCTCTGCATTAACATTGTCTGTGTTGGCTATGTGTTTGCTGCTCTGTCTCTCTCCCAAGTCTCTCCCAACTTGTTACTGCTTCAGAGTGAGCTTTGATCTAATTTGCTGTGTGATCAGCCATCCACTCACTTCACACACACACACACACACACACACACACACACACACGCACGCATACACAAGCCAAGAGAACAGAACTAGAGGGAATAAAACAGCGAATCAGTGTGAATGCAACCTCTTGTTTTTTGTGTGTGTGTTTGATCCCAATCTAAGAGGGCAAAATAATGGAATTTTTCCATGATTTCTTGAAGCAAGTCTTGTTTTAAGTTTCATTGGAGTATGGATCACTTACTTTCATAATACAGTAAGTACAAGTCACCGAATTACATGGAATAGAAGAGTGAGTGAAACCTGTTTCTGTTGGAGAGCATTACTGTTTTTCCTGCAGCATGGTGGAGGATGAAATTACACAGTGAGTGTTGTGAAGGAGCTTCTGTTATGACACTGAATGTAAATAAGAAAAATTGGCAGCTTCTAGTCTGACCTCTGAATAAAGCCATGCCAGCATCTATTCCATCTTGTCATGTTCCCGGTAGAGCATGTTATCCTAATTTAGTGTCGTATGTTATTTTGTGTGGCTGCCATTTTCACTGCATCGCAACACGACACACTGTAATTCACTTCATTACCCGTAGGGGTCATTGTTGCATTTTATGCTATGTCAATAAATACAACAAACCCATTTCAGTGACAGCCTAGCTGGAAGCCTGTTTTAAAAATGAATGTAAGAATAAAAAGGGGGGAAATAACAGTCACTTGATAAAGATACAGTAAAAAAAAAGTAGTGCAGTAGGCTACTATTGATCAAACGTTTTGGTTCAAGATAGATGAGATTATTTTTTGTGTGTTTTTGTCTTTTAACACACTGTTTTTGTCTCATATGCTCACTAAGACTGCAATTATTCGATACAGTAAATAAAAAATAAATAATAAAAAAAAACTTCTATTGTATTCCTGTAATATTTTCAGCATCATTAGTCCAGTCTCCAATCATTCTAATATGCTGATTTGGTGCTCAACAATATTACTTATTACTAGCAATGTTGAAAACATAATAATTTTCTGAAAACCGTAATACTTTTTCCCATGTTTTTTTGATGAATAGAAAGTTCATAAAAACAGTACTTTTTACTGTAATTATACATGTTTTGAGCATTACTGACTGTACACAAATACCTTTTTTATTCTGAGGCTTCCATAGTTAGCAGACTGAACATAAAAATATTAAATCCAGATATTACAACAAAACCCAAACTGTGGTTTGTTTTGTTCTAATATAGTCACACAGAATACAAATGATTCTAGCTGAACTAAATCTGAAATTCTGCGGTCATGCCAACTCTTCTTGCTTGTGCTGTCCTAAACTGTTTTGCAGGCTCTGGATACTGGCCATACACTGATGATGAAGATGTGCGACACACAGGTGAAAACATGCAAGGACATACTACATTAAATCCACATGTTGATCCCAAAAACCCATTACACAAAACGTAAACCCATCTTCTCTCAGTGAAACACTCTTACCACATCTTAACACACTCACAACACAGAAGACACTACATCTCTGACTGCCTGCTTAGGCTTCACACCTCTGATTGCTTCTTCTTCTTCTGTGGCTGTGCTACTTTATCTTTGTTCATGTTTTCTCCATTCATGTCTGGATGATGCCAGTTGTCAAGGTAAGCTTTGAAGGTCATGTTTTGTTATGACTCAGCGTCTTTCTTCAGTGCATTTGCGTACATGATAACGTATGTCTCTTTTTAGGCGTGCCGTGGTGCGCCCCAGTGAAAGTCAAACACGGTCAAGTCAGCTGCCAGACACCACGCGGAGAGCGGTATAAGAACGTTCTGGGAACTCGGTGCAAGATCCGCTGTAAGACGGGCTACGAGATGCACGGCAGCAGCGAGATTCTCTGTATGGCCAGCAAACAGTGGTCAGGAAACTACGCCTGCAGAGGTCAACATTTACTCAACTCAATTATAAGATCATATTGCCTAAATGCTGACGTGTTAACTCACTTGAATGACTCTATATTCTTGAATGGTTATATATTTTAACACAATCATTTTACAATAATTTTTAAGGCATTTGTCAATCAACTCATAATCACAAATTATTTGTTTACTCTTTTTATTTGTTATTCACATTATACCGTTCAAAAATTTTGGAGTCAGTAAGATTAGGAAGTCTATGCTCTCCAAGAATTCATTTATATGATCAAAACTACAGTTAAAAAAAAAAAAAAAACAACAACAGTAAAACAGTTTTGTGAGGCAATATTGGGAAATATTATTACAATTTAAAATAACTTTTTTTTCTATTTGAATATTTTAAAATGCAATGTATTCCAGTGATGGCAAAGCAATAATAAAGCACTGTGAAATATCACTGTTAAATTTTTTCTATTAATATATTTAAAAATGTAATTATTCTTATAGCATAATCACTCCTCTCTTTAGTGTCACATGATCCTTCAGAAATCATTCTATTATGCTGATTTGCTGCTCAAGAAACATTTCTTATTATTATCATCATGTTGAAAACAGTTGTGCTGATTAATATATTTATTAAGTATATATTATTATTATATTTATTAAGTATATATTTTATTATATATTTATTAAGTGTTTATTATATGTATATTAGGCTTTTTTGATGAATAGAAAGTGCAAAAGAACAGCATTTATTTGTAAATGTCTTTACTTTCACTGTTGATCAATTATCAAAGATATTAAATGAGTAGTTCAGTTTAAAAAAAAAAAAGTTTGCTGAAGAATTTACTCTCCCCCATGTCATCCAAGATGTCCATGTCTTTCTTTCTTCAGTTGAAAAGAAATTAAGGTTTTTGATGAAAACATTCCAGGATTTTTCTCCATATAGTAATGGACTTCAATGGGAACCAAACGGTTCAAGGTCCAAAAGACAGTTTCATTGCAAACTGCAAACTGTTCAAAGGCTTTAAATGATTCCAGACGATGAATAAGGGTCTTATCAAACGAAACGATCTCTCATTTAAAAAATAAAATATAACAAATTTAAGTTTTATAAGCTCAAATGGTCGCCTTGCTCTCCTGTTCGAACTCGTTCATCAAAATGAACAAATCTTTTTTCGTGTCATTTAGTTCATTCAACGAACGAAATGAACGAGTTGACTCAGGAAAAGATTTGTTAATTTTGATGAATGATTTTGAATAGAAGAGTCACCAATGCGCATCACACCCTAACCCTAACAGAGCAAGGCGACCATTTGAGCTTATAAAACTTAAACTTTGTTTTTTTTTTTTTTTAAATGGATGATCGTTTCGCTTGTTAAGACCCTTATTCATCGTCTGGAATCGTTTAAACCCTTTAAACAGTTTGCAATTTGCAATGAAACTGTCTTTTGGACCTTGAACCGTTTGGTTCCCACTGAAGATCATTATTATGGAGAAAAATCCTGGAATTTTTTCATCAAAAAACCTTAATTTCTTTTCGACTGTAGAAAGTCAGACATGGACATCTTGGATGACATCGAGGTGAGTAAATTATCAGCAAAAGTATTTTTTTTTTTTTTTTTTTAAAGTGAACTACTCCTTTAACTTCTTTAAAAAAATTCTTTGGATTTTGAATGGTAGTGTCTTTTTTTAGGTTTTTGATAATTTTTGATGACCATTTTTGCTTTTTATAATTCAATTTATCAGTTTCTCAAATGACTGATTCCTGAAGAAATCTCAAGCTTTAGTACTTGCCACAATCAGCCACATGTCAGTCAGCAGCTGAATGACACATGGATTTATTTGCATTAACAGCAGTGATTGTCCATTGAAAATCCATTTTCACCAGGTTATGAATTATTACAGAAGTCCGCTGTCCTAAACTGACCATGCCATCAAACGGAGGTTTCAAGTGTTCAGACGGGTCTTACTTCAACTCCCGCTGCCAGTTTTTCTGCTCACCTGGATACACACTCCGTGGAGTCCACAGCGCCACCTGCCAAAGCAGCAGAACATGGAGCGGGGGCAACAGTGTGTGCCTGGGTGAGTGAAACAGTCATTGAGCACTGACCAATATTCATTTACAGATTTGGATTGATGACATAGGCGTAGTATTTAGGTGGTGAGGCATGTAAAGGTGCTTTCTGTCTCAGATGTGGACCCCCCAGTTATTAAGTGTCCTAATATAAAGGAGAAGACAGCTGAACCAGGAAAACTCACTGCCAAAGTGACATGGGACACGCCAGAGGGCAAAGACACAGCGGATGGCATCCTAACAGAGTCAGTGAATCAATTTTATGCTCACTCGGTTATGTGGTCCTTATTCAAAAATAATTGACATCTCAATGCCAAGACTGACCAAAGAGAATCTCTGAATTCACATCTAATCATTGTCTAGATTCTTGTTGTGAGAAACCATTGTTGTTGTTGTAGTGTTATACTGAAAGGAAAGCCACCTGGCTCGCACTTCCCAGAAGGGAATCATAAATTATCATACACTGTGTTTGACCGTGCTGAGAACAAGGCGACCTGCAGGTTCAATGTTCGAGTGAGAGGTAAGTTCTTTAATGAGATATTTAATGTTTGAAATGTTTAATCATTTATTCATGATTTAAGTCAAGTTATTATTTGAAATTGCTTAGCCAAACAAAGAGCAACTAAAAATGATAGCTACAAAATATACATTTAAGCTCTTTAAGAAGCCAACATATATTTAAATATGTACAGTTGTGGTCAGAATTGGCTGTAATGGCTGTAAAAATAAATCTGTATTGTTTATCCTTTTGATCTTTCATTTAAAAAATGAGCTAAACTCCAACCTTTTATTGAAGTAAATGAATTGAAAGTGGGGGGAAAAAATCATGAAATATATTGTTTTTTTCCTCCAAAACACGTTGGTCGTGGCACCCTTTTAATAATTACTGCCTTTTCAACCTCTTTTGGCCAAGATAACAGCTATGAGTTTTCTCCTATGCCTGATAAGCAGTCCAGCAGTATATTTAACCGTGGGCATAGGGTCCTTTTTATCACTGTGTGCACCAAACCCATCTGGTGGGTTTGCAGCCAAAAAGCTCATTTTTTAATTTCATCTGACCATAGAACCTCATCCCATTTTAAATTCCAGTCGTGTTTGACAACTGAAAATGCTGGAGATTGTTTTTGGATGAGCAAGGAGGATTTTTCTTGAAACCCTACTAAACAACATGTGGTAATGTTGGGGTTGTTTGGTTTTTTTTTAAGGCTTTTTGATCCCAAGGCTCAAATAATCTCTGCAATTCTCCATCTGTGATCCTTGGAGACTAATTTGGCCACTCAAACTCTCCCCCTCACCGTGCATTAAGACAATATAGACACACGTCCTCTTTCTGGCAGATTCATAACATCTGTAGTTGATTGGAACTTCTTTATTTTTTCCCTGATGGTGGAAATGGGGATTTTCATTGCTTTAGCTTTTTCCTTACAGACACTTTCTATTTTGTGTAGCTCAACAATGTTTTGCTGCACATCAGAACTATATTCTTTGGTTTTACTCATTGTGTTTCAGGGAATTTAGCCTTTTTGTTTCCTCATATTTAAACTTCTGTGATACAAACAATTCATAGCTAGAAATTTGTATTGTGTTTAGTCACCCTGGTGTGATAAAAAATGTAAATATTCTTGAAAATATACTTCAGAGATATTTTACTCAAAATATTCTAGGGGTGCTAATAATTGCCAATGTGTTTTGGAGATTTGATTTTGTGATTCCCCCCACTAAATGTGATTTAGTGTCACATGATCCTTCAGAAATCATTCTAATATGCTGATTTGCTGCTCAAGAAACATTTCTTATTTTTAACATTGTTGAAAATAATTGTACCGATCCAAATTTTTCTAGAAACCTTGATAAAATTGTTTGCAGAATTCTTTAGAGAGATCAAATCAAAAGCACTTATATTAAATATACCTTTTGTAAAATGATTAGTTTAGTGCATCCTTGCTGAATAAAAGTATTAATTCTTGAAAACAAAAACTGACCGCAAACTTATGAACGGCACTGTGTGTTACTGAAAAAGCTAACCTTGTTTTAATTTTTTTGAATTGCAGAACATTGCATAATGTGTTGGCATAGGGATATATGAATGTATGTAAGGTAATAAGTGTGTATTATGTACACGTTGTAGTGCGTCGCTGTACACCTCTCTCTGTACCTGACAATGGCTGGATGAAATGTGACAGTGCGGGTGATAATTACGGGGCCACGTGTGAATTCCGCTGTCTGGGTGGCTACGAGCTAAAGGGCAGCGCCGCCAGAGTCTGCCAGTTTAACATGGAATGGTCTGGCCTGGAGACTTCCTGTGCCCGTACGTGACACACATTAACATCTCACAAACAGCTTAGCCAGAGATATTCCTTGCATTAAACATTACACGCCCTTAAATGCATGATTGCATAGCATTCCTAAATAAGAATGATGCTGCTTATTCTGGCAGAATATTTATAATATTGTGAGGCAAAATGCTTTTCATGACAGAATTATTCACGTTATTCTTATGCGATTAAACCCCAGTTTATGTAAAATTCATGATCTTACCCTTACTTTCCTGCCCTCTGGTGAATAACATCCAAATGCTTTGTTTTATTAAAAGCCATGAATATTAATGTCGGTGTGCGGTCCGCTGCTGCATTGTTGGACCAGTTCTATGAGAAACGGCGCATTTTGATCATCTCAGCCCCCTCGGCTGCCAATCACTACTACAGATTCCAGATGACTAATTTACAGGTACAAGATTCATTTCTGCCTCTTTATTCCATTTATTATACAAAATAAAGCTTAGTCTGAATGTTTTACAGTAAGTAGTTTGAAAAGCTTTATGTTTTAAATAGTTTTACATTTGGAGAAGTTTTAAAAGCTTGAAGTTTTACAGTTTTTACCAACTGCTTACACACAAAATCTTTTCATGTCACGCGATTTTTGAAACCTCAAAGTGCAAAACTACATGCCAAATCTTCAAAACAGCTTTTGACTCAGTTTCCGCTTGCATAAAACACTTTTTTTTTTCAAAACACAACACACAATTATCTACCTAAAACACAAAGATCTACCAGGAAGTGACTTGCTTTCCTTTTCCAAACACCAATCAAAACTCTACACTCATTCACCAGGTCACACAAACACACTCCTCACATGTGCAAACACCAATTGCTTACATAAATGTAGTTTTGTTGTATGCTAATGTATACAACAGTAATGCAGTTAAGCAGTTGGTAAATACTACTGTAAGTTTAAAGCAGAGCTGTAAAGTCCAGGTTCAGAAAGTAAAAGCCCTCCTCAGGATTTTATCCAATCACCTGGATTTGCTTATAGGCTCTATGCACAACTTACTTCCGCATCAGATCAAATCGCTTCCGGTTCAGGTCTTTTGTATGTGCTTCATGAATTTTTTTCTTCTTCACAGTAACGTTTAGATATTTAAATGGAATAAATGCCAATAACAAAGTGAACTAGGTAGGTTAGCTGATTACCTTCAAAATCCATAGATATCGTAGTCAGTTCTTACAGCCGTTAACACTTTCTCTGACGAGTGGATGCGATGAGACACGTTTTCCAGTTTGGTCACGTGACGCTTGGCATAAAGCCTATTTGCACAGTTTTTTAGCCTGGAGATTAATTAGTGAAATCAGCTGGCTGAGTTCATGGGTGGAATAAATATATGGCATATGGACTTTTACTTTCTGACCCCTGGACTTTACACCTCTGGTTTAAAGTAGTCAAAAATAGTTAGTTCAATATCTCTCTCTGTGTGTGTGTGTGTACTTGTAGCCTACAACTATCTTTGTGATGACTAGTTTAAGTTTTAAGGCTGGGACACACCAAGCCTACGGTCGGCTTTCGGGCAATGTTGGGCTGTTTTTGAGTGTCGGTTGGGATAGTTTTTTTACTGTGTTCCGCTCCGTTGGCTCTAGTCGGACCCCGTCCAGGTTTTTTGGGCTGATTTAGCATGTGGAATTGCCATTGGGCTGCTGGTGAGAGAGAGAACTCTGGCTGTTCAGCTTAGTGAACAGAATAAAAGTGAAAGTGAAGCGAGAAAAAAAGTCAAGACAGTATAGACAGAATGCTGTTATAATTTTTAGTCATCTCACCTAAGTCATCTTAATAATATTTTCATAAAAACATGAAAAACTGATTAGCTTTATTGAGGCACTGCTTTATTTACTGTTTGTATATCTGCAGTCCGAGTTTTGGTTTTCCTTTTTGAATGATGAGAATATACTATTGATACCTGCTGATATAGACAGTTATTTACTTGTACGCAGGCACAGAACACACATGCTAGTTGACAGCCGCCTTTAAGTCCTTTTGGTGTGTTGGCGAGAGGCGGCAACACAGTCAGCTTTCGGCACCACTAGTTCTTTGACTTTGGCTTGGTGTGTCCTGGCCTTTAGACCATTGGAGGTGGGACAAAGAGAGTAAAGTGAGAACATTTTGACTGCTCTTTACTTTCTGAGGCCCCTTTAAAGGCCTGTTTGGGGGTCAAGACCTGGTTTTACAGTAAGGGTTTGGGTTAGGCTCTTAGTTGTGATGTGTACTCTTAGGATAAGGAGCTAGAGATTGCATTGTGTCAATGAATGTCCTCACAAAGATAGATGTACAACAATGTAAATGTAAAAATGATGGTATAATAAATACTTCCACACATATTGCAAGTAAACTGGATGATCTGTATTGTGCAGCATGCTCAGTGTGGTCTGGACCTAAGGCATGTGACGGTGATCGAGCTGGTGGGCGTGTATCCAGTTCAGATCGGCCGCATCAGACACAGACTCATCGCTCCAGGGCTGGCTCTACAACTCAGGTATTAATTAATCTATTTCACGTACTTGATTACAGTCTTTTGTAGAAAAGAACTTGTGAATTGCTCCCACTAGAAAGCACATCCTGATACGCATCATTCTACTGAATGTGCAGTAAATGTGTGTGTGTTTTGTCAGGTTGCTGCTGCAGCTGTCTCAGAATTCCTTTAGCATGGTGCTGCTGGACAAACAGGGCGTGGATAAGCAACGCTACACGTTCCCCATCACAGCAGCAGAGATCTTCACCACCATTGACACGTTTCCCCTCCGCACTGAGGAGGCCATACTACAGAAAGAGGCTGGACAGAGCTGCTAGATGTATATTTACAGTGCACACATTTACACATCATTTTCTACTGGGTCTGGATAGAGCTGCTACATCTTATCACATATTGTAAACATAAACACATGCACACACATCTCTCAATATGAATGCATGAGTGAGTCTTTGTTGTTTGTCGTTTTACGAGGTTCTGCTCTATTTGATTTGTCTGTTGTCTCTATTTATGTCAGAGTGGACGTCTACTTTTCTTAAGAAATACTACCAAAGCAATATTAATGTAATAAAAGCCTGTTTGATGATTGAAATTTGAGAGCATGAGACTTTTTTAAGGGTTTATCTGAGTTCTTTGGTTTGGTAAATAAATATGGTGAGTACATTAGAGTTATGATTAATATGTTTTCAATTTGTGAATTAAAATTAGGTGAAGTTCACAAGAAAATTTCGGGAGGAGTGAACCCATCTAATCTTTCAATTAACTGCCGGAGCATAAGCCGCCGCTCACCTTGCTCTGGCATCATCCCTCCACTTCTACAACTCCACCAATATAATTTAGGCATCCTGCTACCATACTCATCATCTATATATCTATAGACTATATATCTAATATCGCGGGGAATATCTAAGCTAGAGTTGAAGCTGCTTCCTCAAGCTTCTCCGCTGCGGACAGCAAGCCAAATGTGCTTATTAGCTTAAAAGATGATATGGGCAAAGGAACAAATTTATTTTGTAGAGATTGATGTATTAAATGTCACAGTGGGGAGAAGAAAGTCTCAGTATAAGGCTAAAACTATTAGAAGTATTTTGGCGTAGTGTTATATTATGATTTCTTACAGTGAAGTGAATCAGCTTTGCTTTCAAATATACATAAAGTATATTTGTAATGTTTGAAAAGCTATTGTAAAAGTCATCGGAAGCCATTTTGTTAGACTCGTGACCAGTCAAGAGAACAATAATGTGATCTTTTTAACCAGCTAGTCTAGCTACTTTATTAAAAAACAACAACAAATGTGAGAGTAAAGAGAAAGATATTGTTAAAAAAGATTACTATTTAAAATAAATGCTGTTCTTTTGAACTTTCTATTCATCAATGAATCCCGAAAAAAATTAAATTTTTCCACAAATATTTAAGTAGCACAACTGTTTTCAACATTGACAACAAGATGACAGCAAACCAGAATATTAGAAGGATATCTGAAGGATCATGTGACACTGAAGACTGGAGTAATGGCAGCTTTGCCATCACAGGAATAAATTACATTTTAAAATATATCGCAATAACTCACAATGTTACTGTTTTAGTGAATGTTTGATAAAATAAAAACAGCCTTGGTGAGCAGAAAACTTCTTTCAGATAATATATCAATACAGCTATGTATGTATTTAGAGAGAAAGAAAGAAGGGTTGAGAATAATAATTAAGATGTGGAAAAAGGAGAAATGAAGCAGCAAGAGTGGTTAAATAATAGTATATTCTCTTTCTGAAGATGATAAAGTACAGTACAGCTGATGATGGAAACAGTACACTGAACATGCGGTGAATCAAACAGCTTTAGACAATATCAGACATGGAAACACTTGGATGTCAAACATCAACATTGATAAAGCCTTACATATGCCACACAATTTATTATACAGTGTGATATAAGGTCTATTCACTTGACTGATTCTAACAAGAGCATTAGGTGTAAGACACATTATTCATGGAGACCTTACAGTGACATGATGGCTCAAATGAATCAACTGGGGAATTGACTATTAAACTAACCTCATAAATCAATAACAGGTCCTGTATGCATTGTGCTTATACAATTTGTGTGCCTATGTATGTTTTTTTTGTGTGACAATTTGTGCATTTCAATCACTCTTTTTTCTTTTTATGTCCAAATAGAACCTTAAACCACTTACATTTTTATAGATCACTTTATTCTTAGGTTTTTCTTTGTATTTTCGGTTGTGGTAAACATCACGCATTTGTGCACTTGACGCTGAGGCTTTCTGTGTGACAACATTGGTGATGGAGGGGGGGTCTACCTGACAACAATCATGTCATTGTAATTTTCATGCTGAATTGTGACTAGTCTTTAGAAAACAGGCTTAAAGATGTCTTAATAGAAATATAATCTACTTTATCCACTTTACATTTGGGGTTATAACTATTATTTTACCAAAAACACTGGATTTTCTTTGAGGAACTGTAAACTTAGGTAAAGATAATGAACCACATTGTTCCATGCCACACACCTATTTTCACATTCCAAAAGTGGTAAAACTAGCTATGAAATTACAGTACATTGTTCTCAGTTAGTCTGCCATTTGTACAAGTGTTATGTGCAGGTGGTATTTGTGCAAATTGGATATAAAAAAAAAAATCTCGTGTGTGTGTGTATATGAAGGAAGTGCTTTGTGCTTTGTTCTTTCTGGACAACTGTGACCTTTGATTGTTGATAATGCTCACTATGCAATTTTAAAATAGTACTCATGTGCTATTCACAGTTATGACCAATGTGTGTGATTGTTTTAAAATATAAGGTTACACTTTATTTCAAGGTGTCCATGTTGCAATGTAAATATACATTTAAGTAATGAGTAATATTCTTTCTTCAGTAAGCCTGATATCAACTAAATTTGAAGCACACTATTCCAAGGATTGCTTAATGCAGGTACTCAACTAACGTGAATGAACTAAATAATTATAATATTTTAATATATTTGGGAGAGATGGTGTATCATTTTTTTTTTGCTCTTCCCGTGTGCTTTATCAACACGAAGTACCGTACTGATATAAGTGATATATGATATATCTATGTTATACAGTACATGTGGATATCTATATTATATATAGGTGATATATGATAGTGATTAAAATCCAATTCCTTGTGGTCACAAATGAGACATGTTAATACCATGTGTAAATGGGACCTTATAGGTCCATATGTGTATGCCACAGGTGTGTTTTGAGAATTTAGAGAGCATATGCATCTTGAAATGAGAATCTAGGTGGTGTGAGTACTGCCAAAGAACATAAAGAGCACTTTAAAGTGTCTAGAGGTGATCAGATTTGATGCGTATTGCCAGGGAAACTGTCCCTCCTCTTCTCTCTATGTCTTCCTCTTGGCCATGCTGGATCGCAGCATCAGTGTGCACTCTAGTGGGACTTCAGGGTTGTCAATCATGCGTTGCCATAGCCTCTGCTCCTCGCCGTAGGAATCGTTCCAATCTACTTCTTTCCCATAACTCAGACCTGCAGGACACAAGCAGGTCATTTGATTGCTCTGTATGTAAGATCTAAACACAGAGATTAGCTGTACTGCTCAACTCTCAGACACCCACAGTGGAGTCATTTCAAAGGTTGCTTAAAGAAATAAAATATATTTTATACATATTTTTTGGCTGTTAGTGTTCCACCATTTTTAAGCAATTCACACCAAAAAGCCCATTTAGTATATCACAGAGAAATTCTCAATTAAAATTGCAATAATGGTTTGTCATGAGGCTATTTTGAAACATTTTATAAAACAAAATATCTTGCCAAAATCAAAATGTATGAATTTACAATAGATGGTAAGTTTTTTAGTGTTTGAAAATGAGTTTCTTATGCTCAACCAAAGCCTGCATTAGTAATATTGTGAAATATGTTGTATATTGCAATATATTTTTAAAATAAATGTATTTTTTTGAAGCTAAAGCTGAATTTTCAGCATCATTACTCCAGTCTTCAGTGTCAGGAACATGTCACGGTTATGTTTGAACCATCAGCACATAAATACTGTATATCACTGTCCACATTTAGTTTGTCAGCAATTACATGTGAAGAGGGTTAGCCAATCCTAATAGGGCTCATTTATTTATAGGAGTCTTAAAGGTGTAGTAGAAAAATATTAAAAGGGCTAGAGAGGTTGGAAATTAGTCATGTAAACTGATTTTAGTGCAAGAAACTGAGTAATATTTGTAATTATAAACACTGTAAAGAACCCCTTTGACACAATCATCAAAGACAATCAAATGGCTCATGAGTGAGTGAAGATCTTAATAAAACATATTTGTAACAGTAAATTAGTTTAGCATGCACACAAAATGTGTCGCAGAAACTAATGCTTCATGTTTAGTTTAGACAGAACATTACAGTGGAAATTATATTCAAGAACATGTGGGACTGAATGATTATCTTAATTTGAGTTAGAGAACATTGCACAGTAATGCACAATATCAAATCTGCCCTACTAATGTGGGAAATATAATTGGATGTTTCAGAAACCATGTTTCAGGATGTGCTGTTCCTGACAGAACTTGAGTGCTTTGTGATTGACTTTCAAGTGTTGTTATTGTTAACTAAAAAAAATTGAAATTGAAAAAGGCAATAAAACAGATAGTTGAACTATTTAAATGATTAAAATTAAAATTGAAATGAAAATAAATTAAAGCTATATAGAAATATATATGCATTTTTTTAAACTTAAAACAGAAAAGCACAACAAAATGACTAAAACCTTTATTAGAATGAAAGTATATAGCTAATTCAAAATATTACGAATTCAAAATACTATAATATACCCATTGTTTGCGTAAAACGCTAAATTAAGCATGTATGCAGATCTTAAAATACATACTGTGGATTTTTGATACAAAAACAGAGATTGAACTGAAAAAGGCTAAGCTAAAGAAAGACTGACCAGTCCCTGCTCCGAGCCGCACACCCCCCAGGAAGACGTTGCTGGCAAGCGGTTCCCTGTCCCACACTGTCAGCTCCAGACACACGCTGTCCAGATCACTGTGCTGCAGGCCGCAGTATGTGAAGGTGTGATTCCAGCGTGGGTTTATGGTACGCTTCACCACTGCGGTCTTGTGCTTTGTGCTTTTCTTGTCATCAGGCAGTAGGTATCTGATACACAAGCAGAAAACCAGGAGTGTGAGTTTGCGAAATGTATATGAATGAAATCAGGAGGAATTCAGCTCACCCTTTGACGAATGGGTCAGAGGATCCTCCTTTAACAGCCGTTAGGTTTTTTGCCTCTTTAACCAGCAGCTCCACCATTCCTCCTTTAGGAAGAGTGATGGTCTTCTTCTTTCCCTTCAGAAATCCCCTTTTCACTGAGAAACAGAAGAGAGCTTGATTACACACTCCAGTAGCTCAAATACAAGCTTTGTCGATGACACGTTAAACATACAGTGTCCCGTTACAAAGTTTAATTCATTAGACCAGTAGTTCCTAAACTGGGGCGTTTTTGCCGTTTAATTTAATTCTACCCCACCTTAAAATGACATTAAAATCGATGATATGTATTTCTAACAGGGAAAATGCCGTAAAAGGTCAAATACATAGCATCCAATCAAATTACCTGACTGCATCCACACATGCACTGTGCATGAGAGGTTATGTGCAGTCATTTCTCCGCATTGTACCTTTGTAAATGTACGGATTTAGCACTTACTAGCATGAAGAACAAATATAGACACAGAGAGTGCATAGAGATCATTTTAAGACAAAATTTTGAACGAATCTGGAAAGTCAATATTTCATTCATAAAAGACAGTCACTGGCTTTATAACAGAATGATTGAATGACCCGATGGCTCAGGCATTAAGACAGGGACTTACAGCCACCTATTGGCAGTTTTAGTTTAATATTTAAAGGACGATTCTTTATTTATTCACCCTGAAGTTGCTCCAAACCTGTACCAGTTGATGGATCCCATTGACTTTCACATTATGGCAAAAATACTATATACTAAAAACGAAACATTTTTGGGTATACCGTCCTTTAAAAGAATCACTTTGCATTAACCACCATTACATTTATTGAACTTACTTAAAACATCTGCATTAGAGTTTTGTTTTTTTCACTGTGTAAACTATTAGATATGTTAGATTTACATACCTATCATAAAATTAGCCTAGCATGAAAAGTACCTAGTTTTTAAAACAAAAACAAAAATGTTTGTAAATTTACTTTATCCATAAATGTAACCTTAAACAAATATGTCTTTTTATCATTTTATTTTTGTTATTTTTTTATATAACTTTTTATAATATTTAAATATGACACAAAGTGTTTTTCAGGCAGCAAAGCGGTATGATATAAGGTTTTCAAAATAATTAAATACTACTAATAATCACAATAAATAATAGTTAACCCAACTCTAGGCTGTTTATGGTTTCGAGGCAACATCATCATTCACGATCAGTCCATAAAGAAATTATTGCCACATTAATATTAAATTAATATGTTCAGCCAACGAAAATGTACATCTTCACCTTTTATTCAAATACAATTAAAAATGTGTGATTTTGTAAGCATATCATGTAGTTGTGCTTGGGGACAATTTTGCTTTATTTGCGAAAACGCAATGAAACATGCCAAATTTTGGAGACATTTTTTTTTTGCAGTTTTTGGCCTGGCTGTCATACAAAGAAATAAAGTACACATGCAAAAACCAGAGAAAACCAACAAACTTTATTTTGCACAGTAAAATAAAACTTCTAGCAATAGTTTGTCTTTTTTAGCCAAATCAATTTTGTCAAAAAAAAAAAAAAAAAAAAAAAATCCATAACCAAGTTTAGTGTTTTGTTGCTCCCTCATATATAAAATACAATTTAATATTTTTTGATGGTTTAATCAAACTTTAAGTTAATTAAAATAAAATAAAAAATCCCCACTTTTTGCCACTACTTTAGGTCATAGGTTAGGTTATCAACAATGAAAAGGTGAAAGAAATGCAATAGAAATGATTTTTAAATCATACCTTGCACTTGGTCCAGAGGCAGGGAGACATTTCTCTCTGCAGGAATGTACTTCAAAACCACTGTAAGTTCCCCTTTATAGTGTATCACCGAGTCCACATAAGACTCATTCTGACACAGACACACACACACATTTCAGTATCACACTTATCCATGTCGACATTTCTTTTTATCTCTCGCTGTTTCTGTTTGTGTGTGTGTGTTCAGCTCACCCTAGGCTGTAGAGAGAACCATTCCTCTATCTGCGTGTCAAACTCCCAGGAGTCAAAGCTCAGCTCCGTCTCCCCCAGGAAGTTGTTGTGTCCAAAGCGATCATGGTGCCACACAGAAACCTGCAGTGTGCGCGTCTCCAGCTGAGAGTGACTGACTACATACTACTCAAAGGGACAGACAGATAAGAGCCTTTTAATCAATATCTCGTTTACAATATCTCATCAATCTAAATAGAAAACCCTGTGAGGCAGGACTGAACCCTCTCTTACCCTCAGGTTTTCATTGAAGACTGGGTTAGTGGTGTTGCTTTTGATGCTGGTTTTTCGCTTGCTTTGACGGGACTTGTCTGGCAGGAGATATGTTTTAATATAGCTGTAAACACACACACACCGATTTTTTTTGCTTCTGTACAATATTGGTCTCTGACGCATCAGTATTAAATTGATATCTTAGACAACAATTAATAATTGTTAATAATAAACATTTTTTAAGAATATATGTGGATACTGGACAGAGTTAGATTCCTTTATCTTTCAACACATACTGTATTTAATTATTAATATTTCAGCAAATATTTCAGAAGATTTTCAGGAAATGTCAGGTAATCAAAACTGAAAATGACTGCATTAAATGAAAAGGTCACCCATTTTGGGGGGAAAAAAAGTATTTTCAAAAAAATAAAAATAATCCTTCCATGCCCTTTTTCTAAAGCCATAGACTGAACATGAAAGCATTAAATTACAGAAAATCAACTATTAACAATTGTTTCTGATAATTGAAATACAAGTTGAAATAAAATAGATATAATGAAAGACTTAAAAAATTAAACTGAAATAAAATACTACTAAAGTACTAAAACAAAAATAAATTATAGCAAAATATTTATAAAAATACCAAAAGCACACGCAATTATTAAAACAAACTAAAATGAAAACAAAATATAAAACTAATAACTAATCGAACATTTTAATACATTTTTTCAAGTGTGTAAACAATACTAATGTAAGGAATTATAGAATTTACATTTAACATTATTACATTGAACTATCCCTTTAAATACAGTAATATAAAAATATACTACTTATGAACCTAAATGTTAATATATGGAGACTCCAATTACATGCAGTGCAGGGATGCTCTGCCAGGGCTCAAAGTGAAGTGTATAGCTGTCTCTCTGTGTGTGTGTGGCCTTACGCATCCGTGCGCTGTCTCCTCTCATCCCCGGTTGCTAGGCAGCGGCACTCGCGGACGAGCACGTTTAGTGCCCCTGTTTTATAGCTGTAAGAGATGTTGAGAAGGATCTCCCCGGAAACCCGCACATTGCCATAGTCCCCCGTCTCACTGTACACGCTCATCATACTGTTAATGCTGGTCTGGAGAGAATATAAGGAGAGTCTTTGGCTGTGCATCTTTCACAGGCTTGTGTTTAAATGTATGTGTATGTATGTGTAATACAGAAAGGCAAAAGAGAGAAACTGAAGCGAACACAGCAACATACACACACACACACACACATACACACAGAGAGAGCTGTACTCAAACGCACTGAACACTCACAGTGTCAGCATCTGAGTCAGGTACATTAAGGAAACCCCACTTTCTCTCCGAGGCAGGTGTGGAAGACTGGAATAAGACAGGAGAAAGACAGAGTAGAGAAGATTGACAGCATGAAGGCAAACAAGGAAAAAAAAAAACAGAGGGAAGAGAAGTAGAATAAGAAAACCTATGTGACAGAACACATCGCTAGAGCCTACGAGGAACTTTTTTACATTTGATTATTGATTATTAGCTGTTTAAAGTCTCAGTTCACCTAAAAATGAACATTGCGTCCTATTTACTATCCGTGATTATTAATTTCAAACCCATTTGCACTTCTTTCTTCCATAAAAAGACATTTTATTTTCTAGTAATGCACATTTCAGCAATCAAAAATAGTAGTTTTGAGGTAGTAGTTTTAAGGGGACGAAACCATTGACCAAAAAACATCTTTTAATTAGCATTTCTCAGTAGCCGAATTGGGTGATTAAAATATTGAGAACTTCACTACGACTATCCCTAATTTATCACCTGAGAACACAAATCCACAACAGCGTATCAAATTCAATGACCAAAATTAATCTACCCATACATACATTTTAGATCTGGTTTTGGGCTAAATGAAAAATGTATTTTCGGTTTACTTTTGTTAAAAAATGTATTCAGTGCATCGCTACTCTTTTCCATATAATGACACTGAATGGGAACTGGGGATTTTGGGCTCAAAAATGACAGGAAAAAATGTAGCATAAGGCATATGAATTAACATGATGATTAAATATGATTTAAGAGCTATGGCAGAAAGCAAGATTTTCAACAAGTAATAAATATTGTATCGTGTCTATTCTTTGGAATATTTAATATTTATACTTGGACTTTATCACACAAATTGAATGGAGCAGCTTAATGGTGCTTTCGGTCATTCACTTTCACTATATGTAAAAGAGTAGCATGCACATTTTGAATGACATAAGGGTGAGTAAATGATGGCAACTTTAATTCTGTGAAAACATGACTGTTTTGTTTTCAGTAAAAGCCTGTCTTCGCTAGTTTTTCTTCTATTTTCTTGTGAATAGAGCTAAATGAAGAGGAAACACATCTGACTCATCTAGCTATTAGAGACTGCGAGTGAGCTATGAGTTATGTCAGCTGTTTTGAAAGAGGCCACTTGTCTTCATGTTTGCCTGAATTATTTCTCTTTGTTGTGTCTTAATGCACCACCTGCACCTGTATGTGTGGCCAACAAGCGGGAACTATGACAATGATGCACTTTGGTTAGTTATTGGGAGTTCTATCTATGCTAAATTGTGTATACATGAGATGCGATAAAAAAAAATGCATGCGTGGGTCTACCAGGTGAGTCAACAAATTAAGTGATCTTGTGTAACTGGATATTTTGCCAGGAGGAGGAAATGCTAATATTCACAAGGATATACATATTTATATGCAAAGGAATAGCTGGAACGAGTTTTATAGGGTAGGTTATACGTATTGCTGACTCCCTTTATATAAGGCACACAAACATACAGCACACAGAAAAGGGAACAAATATATTTTGTGTCAGTCAGATAATTGCACAAAGCCAGCAAACACACACTGCAGCAGAGCGCCTGTGATTATGTTGTTTTTTGTGTGCGTGTGTCTATGTAAATCATTATACCATTGATTGCGCACTGCAGACACTCCGGTTGGTTTTATAGTGTTCTGATAACACCGCATCAATGTCCTCATCCGAGTCCTAGAGCACAAACACTGCCATCAACGAATATCACATTGAAACAGCACTGCTTTTCTTTATGCAATCACTTCACTCAGTGATATGATATCATAAAAATCACATTACAGAAGGCTGTCTCTTATCATTTTAACTCCCTATCCGGAAATCTATCTCATATCCTGGTACACACAGAAAAAAATGATAAACATGATTCCAAGTGAGAAGTGGTTTAAGAGACTGTGGCTGAAATCTACCCCATCGTTCAGTCCTGGAACTGAGCGGCATCGACTTATCAGAGGATCTTCACTGAAGCCCTCACCAGGATTACTGAGGTCCATCTCAGAGCGACTGCGATCTGTGAAGAACAGAAAACTAGATATTCGGACTATTTGATATAATCTAACACTAAGGACATAGAGCGAGCCTAAGACCACAAGTGAAAATGCATTCATTTAGCAATTTTTGGAATATAATATTTACTTTTTTCATTACAAATTAGACAATTCCCATAATTTAAGCAAAAGGTTAAACTGAAACACTAACACAAATTTGGCATGTTTGTGTAAACCCCGATGGTCATATTCTCCAGCATGATTTGAGAAAGATCCGAAAAGCATCTTGTGCTTTAATGGAAGCAAGAACATCTGACAGTCTTTACAACAACTTCGCAGAAGTTGTTCTCAACCAGGGTTGGTCCCTCTAAGGTGACTTAAAATTATTTTAAATAAGTCTAAACAAACATAATAAGCTAAAGCAAGTAAAGGCAAGCAATATATTTTATTCTATTTTAATTCACTGCTTCAAAATTTGAATCAATATTTTAATCAATGTCCTAGAAATAGAGCAGAATCTTGAATATTTCTACATAGATTTGTTTTACTTTCTTTTTTAATGATTTTTCAAGAAAATGTTTTGCATAGTATAACAAAGAAAAAAACATTAGAAAAAGGGGTAGACATTCTGTTTTTGAGGTAAGTGTTGGTTTCCAAATTCAAAGACACTTATTATTGTTTGTTTACATGACAGTATTTCCATTTCTTCTACATATATTTCAATGTCAATGTTGTTCCATGTTAAAAATGAGATTTTCAGTGCTTTTATATTATTTTTATTAGAGTAAACTGACATAAGGACAGTTTCGCATGGAAATGTTGTTACTGGTGTCATTGGCATTAATAGATTTTATATCAAGTTGTTGCCATGGTGATACCTGATGAGAGGGAGGCTCTGGATATGGCGATAGAGGGTGTGCTGGAATCTTTTTGTCTCCGCCCATCCGCCATCTTTTCAGAAGCGCCGTCACTGCTTTGTATACTAGACACGCTCTCTGCTCCATCCGGCTGAACAAACACAAGGACACGCACAGGCAGTAAACACTGCTTTCTTGTCAAACACACAAGCATGTATATAGGCACATACTAATATGTATATATCATGTGTTACCCTGTTTCTTGCCTCAGTCTGGGTTGGTGTTTTGACCATTTGTGCTCTCATGTTATTGGGTACCGTTGGTAACCCTGATGGCTCCACTGCACCCGCTCTGTTCCTAAAACACAGACACTTAATGAGAGTGAAACACAGACAGTCTCAATGAGAAGACACAGGCTTGAGTAGAACGAAATGTTAGCTTATTGCACTAAAGTATATCCTGCCTATTATTTTGTGAAACAGTATGCAATATGCAATCATTTCAAACAGCGATATGCTACATTCTTGTCACATGACCAATACAATGCATGTTTAATGTTTAAACCATTGATGATATTACTGATTAATTTCTAATGGTTGAGCATTGCACTGTTGCATACATTGTTTATTGTGTTACATTTAAGCAACTGTAGTAGGTCTTCCTGTTTTTCCATGCTTGAAGAAAAAGGCATACGCTTCACTGCATAATTACTATTAACTCCAGGAATTGTATCGAAGTAAGTGATTCCAAGCATAGCAAAGTCAAGCTCAATGGACTGTAAATGATGCCTCTCACCCTTTCCTGTTCTTCCCTGTCCTTATCTGGAACTGAGACGTAGGCGATCTCTCGTACTGTGGCGTGGATGATCTCTCCCTCTCTGATGGTCTGGGAGAAGAGCCTCCATCTCCATAAACAAAAACAAATATTCATAATAAGAATATCAAAGCCGTTAAGCTAAATAGACAGTCTTTTGACCATCTGTTTATTATTCAATAGTGACCAATAATAGTTAGGTAATTAAATTTGAGGATTTGATCACTGTATTCTGCTCTGGGTATAGTGTTATCAGATGATAAATTAAACCAATCGTAGTAAAGCTCTTTGGTGACAATATGTCAGCTGAACAAATTAGCCTATTGCTTCTTTAGCTTCCTTTTTGGTCATGTTGAAGTGCGTCCACACTGACATGTTCACCCGATTTTGCTTATCCACATTGTGTGCATGACATAGATGCTAACATGATCACTTTTCAGTCAATAGTTTTAGGCCTTCAAAATTATTCTGGCTGCAACCATTTTTATCGTTTCTTCTTAATATTTTTGGATGTGGACATTGTAGGTGCATCACTATTAATTAACACAAACCCTGATCAATGCTGCTGTTCACCTGGACATAAACAATCATAATATAATATATCTATTGGGTATACACTGAAACATGTAACTATTCCAGTTTTAAAATCATTAAAAAGAGCCTGGAGAGGAAAACTTGTCATCGTCAAACTTGAAATTATGTCAGGGCAGAAATTGTGTAAAATGTATGGCAATATGTCCGGGCATTGGTTGATGGATGTTAGTGTTGACACAAACTCTGAGTTGATCTCACCTGGAGGACTGCTGAGGATTGACTGTTTGATTACATCACTGGTGGGTGCACTGACATGTTGAAACCTCTTGGATCTCTCTTCCAGAAACCATTCTCCTGTAACCACCTTCAGTTCCCTATGACAGCAAGTCGCACACAAACAACACTGTGTAAGCCACAATTATAGAAGTGACAAGCACAGCTTAATTGGTTCACCTATTAAAGCTCATATGTTCAAACTGCAACTTATTTGAAATAAGTTGGTACAGAACATGTATTAAAAGCCAAAAAATGTATTTCATGGTGTCTCTCATCTTTTCAGAGTATGTATGGATGTTCTGGGTGACTCACGCAGTCTTTGCACACACAGTGCATTTGCAGTTGCTGCTTGGAGGCATTGCCGTGCAGAAGTTGCAGATGCGCCGATGACAGTTGGTACACACATTACCCCTCTGCAGGATGAGACCCAGCGCACGAAGACATACGGCACACTCACGCTGATCAGTTGAACTACGTCGCCCAGCTCGCTTCATTTCCAGAAGTTCATTTTTCAGCTTCCTGTGAGGCACAACTGGTATCACTGTTGGGGACTAACTAAACGTAGCTAGCAACCCTATAGATGAGCTACAGTAGGTCAGTTTCTTATTACACGGTTCATCTATTCCAAAAAGAAGCTGCATTTTACACAGAAAATCCCCAGATTTGAGTCATTTTAAGTATTTCTTAAGCAGAATATTTAAGCTTATTATAATGTATTTGAAATATAATGGTGCGTGATCAGTTACTGTCGGGGAAACTGACACGCCCCATCCAGTGTAGACAGCATCACTGACAATAATGAGTTCTATTTGCTTTTGTCGTTCTGCAATATAATTAAAACTGATGTAATTGGATAGTTATACCTATTTTAAGTAGATTCAGTGTAGTTAGCTATTCTATAAACTTCTAAAAAAAAGTAGCTAACTACTTTTGCAGAGAAAAAAAGAACATGTCTGCTTGGGATAATCGTTACCTGATGCGTTTCTCCTCTCGTTTCCTGACCTTCTCGTCTTTCTGGAGAACACTGAGGATCGTCTGCTTTTCGTGCTCCAGAAGAAAGGACAGATTAAGGGACCCGGTTGTCTTCGCCATGACCATTTAAAGAACTGCTCACAGAGCTCAAGGAAAACTCAGCCAATAAAACTGGCCACAAACCAATCAAAATTATGCTTCATGAAGGCAGCTCGAATCCTTATGAATTAATGAAGGATTGCTTTGGTACATCTACATATCGACGCAAAGGTCATCTGCCCGCTCCTTCAGACGATAACAGTCACCTCTCAGCAATTGTGGCAGGTCTTGTGATCCTATTGGTCAGTGCATTAACCCTTTCACCTGCTGAATGCCTGCAAGAATGACATCCATATAAAAAAAAAATCAGTGATCAGAGTATTTTATGTGTAATACTTACAATATACATGGTAAATCATGATTCATGTCTTCTGACCTAGTTAATAGTTCATGATCTTTACAAAAATATTCAATATAATACAAAACATAGTTACGTTCAGAAATAAAAAAAGATGCGCCCAGTACAAAAGAAAAAAAAAAAACTTTTATTGAAATAAGTTGGGAAAAAAAATGATTCTGTCACTTCTGTGTTTCCAGTCTAACTGCAAGGGTCAAAGAGAGAGAGGGTAGAAAATCGTAATGAAAAACCTATTATTACTCTTTTAAAAAAAACAAAACAAAAAAAAGACGCACATCCATCTTCACACACCAATCCATATATATATATATATATATATATATATATATATATATATATATATATATATAATTTAGAGGCAAAATCAAGTACTTTTGATCTATCTGCTTTGTTAATAGACTGACAGTCCAGACGTCAGTATAAGAGCCCAGCGAATCCGATACAGCTACAGCTACAAGTCACCATTTAGGTTTTTATCTAAAGCGACAATACACTAATTACAGTGACAGTCTGCCAGCAGCAATCTGAGGTGAAGTGGCTTGCTGGAGAGCACTAGAGTAATAGAACAGGGCAGTAATCAGTAATCACTGTACATCATGCATGGTTGGGGCTGAACCTACAACCTCTGCATTAATAGCTGCCACTTTCCAAACAATAATAGGGCTTGGAATGGATGAAAACGTAAAGTTAATTAAATAATGAAATCCTACATCCTTGGCTGTCGATTTTCTCTTTATTTGTAATCCACTCAAATATAATAGAGGGAACGTCATGCCATAAAAGGCATGCCTGATGTCTAAATTGTGACTTACATTTTGACTTACATTTTTGGTAAAAATTAATCATTACAGATATAATATTCACCAATAATTCTAGAATGGATATAAATTTTATAATTATTCATTTATTTTAACTTTTAGCTGAAGTAATATTCAATCCCACTATTACTAATGTGTATTATAATATTTTAATGATTATTATAATAACATTATAATATCATATTCATGTTTTTTATTATTTTTATTTTTTGTCAGACATTCATTTTATAACCTCCAAAGGACATGGACATTTTCCTTTTATTTGTTATAAATAAATTATATATATATATATATATATATATATATATATATATATATGAAGAGTTCAGATGCAAAAGCCTCTAAATGCCATTTGAAATTTTCTTCTTTAATGATGATTTTTTTCAAACTTGTATATTTAAGTTCAGTAATTTCATTTAAATAACAATTAATAGGTAATTATCATTGCCATTTAAGTGAAATTACTGAACATAAATATACAAGTTTGATAAAAATCATCATTAAAGAAGAAATTTTCAAATGGCATTTAGAGGCTTTTGCATCTGAACTCTTCATATATATATTAGAAATTGCCATCTCCAATCCATAACCATTTTAATCATGTGCAGTTGTTTGTTCAGTTACTGGAAGCCCCAGCATTTTACTGGCCTGGATCTGTGGAGGACTTTTTATGGGTCATAGCCATCTCTTCTGTTTGTATGAACTAGGTTGATATGTAGTATTTTCTGTATGTGTGTGGTATCTCATTTTTGTTGCAGGTCTGTCTGAAATTAATAGTGAATGACAAATGTACACACAGAATACAGTGTGTGTGTGCGTGTGTGTGTGTGTGTGTGTGTGTGTACGACGTGCTTTCTTCTATGTTGTCTGTCTGACAGAATCTGATACACCATGTTTAACAGGCCAGCCTACATAATCAGAACCTTCAAAATATGTTTTTCACACCATACTTGACACTTATTTAGAAAAGCGTCTGACATTGACACAACCACATACCTGCATGTGTCACACACAGGTGACAAATAATTTGTAATGTCGCAGACAAATATCGCTCTAGACAATTCCATCTGTGTATGTTTGTGCATTTGTGTGTAACTGAGGTTATTGTTTGATTAAGTGTCTGACTCAACAGGAAGACATGGAGCAAAATGAATTCAAATTTCTCATGCGAAAACTATTTACAGTGACACACAAATACATGCAGATTAAAAGTGTAACTTCAGTATCTCCGCTGAGGCAAAGGACAGCATATGCCCGCAATATCTAGCAGCACTGGTAATTAAAAAACAAGCTCTTCTGCGTGTTACTGCGTCATTGTCAGGCAGTTGTTATATGCGCTTGAGTCTGAAGTGCTCATTACACTCCTAAGGCAAGGTGTAGCCTACTGCTGAGATGCTTCAATAAAAACTGCAGGGTTACAAAAGGTGTGGTATCTCCCTGGATCCCACCCTAAGTACACACATTAGTGTACACAAAGCCCTGTATAAACACACCAACACACAGTTCTCTTATGTTGTTAAGCGATATACACTAGTTATCAAACATTTGGGTCAGGAATATTTTTTTATGTTTTACAAAGAAGTCTCATGCTCACCAAGGCTGTATTTATGATGTGGTGACAAAGCTGGATTCTCAGAAGCCTTTTTTCCAGTCTTCAGTGATCATGATCCTTAAAAAATCATTCAAAAAAGATAATCGTGACTTTTTATCTCACAATTGCGAGATATAAAGTCAGTATTAGTGATATAATCTCCAAAGTCCAATTCTAAGGGAAAAAGGCTGACTTTTTCTCAGAATAGCGAGTTTTTACCTCACAATTCTTTATAACACACAATTGTGACTTCATACCATGCAATTCTGACTCTATATCTCCCAATTGCGTGTTACAAAGATAGAATTGCAGGTTTATTTCTTGCAATTGCGAGTTTATATCTCACAATTCTGACTATATTGTGTAACTTCCTTTATTTTTTTTTATTCTCTGGCGTAAACAAGCTTCCATAAAATACACAGTCGAAGAAGAAGCAGAAACCAGCAATAGCATATGTAAGCAGACGCATATGTAAAATAACACAATCATTAACATTAAAGAGCAAGCATATAAATCATGAAACTTTCCCCATTCAAATTTTGATTAAAAAAGAATGCATGAAGCTAGGTTAGATCATTCTTTTGATATATTGCATGTTCAGATCATATTCAGGGCCATGAAACTTTTGTGAAAATGATCAAAAATGTTAGTGCTGGCTGGCAACTTGTTTCGAAAACGCTGGCAGGGGAATTAGTTAAGACGCACAACAATAATATAACACTAGATCAAAACGGTTAAGTCATTTGTACCTCAGGCTCTAGTGCAAAAGAAGACATCAGACAGGAATAATGCTGCCTTCTAATTCTCCTGGGAAATTCGTATTTACCAGCTCAGAAGTCATTATTATGAGTTTATGGGGACAAAAGGATAAGATTTCATATTTCTTTATCTCTTTAGTTACAAAAAACAGGAAGCTTTTCAGTCATAGTGCAACATAATGAAGCACAATGGATGCGCATTAGGTGTATAATTGGTGTAATCTGTGTATTTTAGCTTTCTCATGCTGAAATGCAGTTGTACGAGCCCTAACAGTACGCTGAATGCATGCAAAATAAACAGTGTCAATATTCAAATAAACAGTGAAGTCAATATTGAGCAATGTTTTATTTGTGACATGCCTCACAATCCTGATTTTTCCACTGGTATTTAACACAATGTGGTGCTGTTCATGTGTGTAAATATGATCATCCTGGCATGACCTGAAAGCATGAAAGATGACAACATATTGCAAGAAGCATGGGAAATGTAGTTCAGTGCATAAATCTCAAAAAGAACAAGTCAACAAGCTGTCAGTCCATCTCTCAGCTCACAGTAATTACTCCTCTAATGATGGGAGACACATTCACCAATAACACCTGGCTTAATGGAGATTAATTTCATGCATGTGTTATGCCTTCCAGAGAGGTGCATTAGCATAATAAAAAAGAGACACAGCTATGAAATGCAGATTAGCAAGACAAATTTGAGTCTTGGGTATGGCAGTGGACAACCAAAAAGAGATTATATCAAAATCTCGAGAGCAGGGTAGCTAATGGTAATGTCAGTAAACATGTTTAGTTCTAATTTAATGGCAGAATTTTTTTTTTTTTTTTTTACAATTTTTTTACTCAAAGAGCTTTGTGTAAAGAACACAATGGGGAACAACTTCTCAAAATCACCATGCATGGCAACAAACTGATAAAAGTAGAAGATGTAAAGGAAATGTTGTTTCCAGCCATCATACACTTTCAGAATGCGTATGAAGTGTACCCTGGACTAATGACTAATGACATGCAATGTAATGAAATATAATGATGTTCTTCTCTCCAGCTGTGCCCCGTTGAATCTTTAATGCATGCCTCATCTTTAAACACATACACCCAAATCAATACAAAATGTCACTTATGGATAGTCAATTGTTAGTGTTAAAGTCCTTCAGTAGAATGATATGCAGTACATCTCAGTTAATCATATGATTATGAGAGCACAAAATATATAGGGGGATATTATCTGAAAATGACAGATTTTGGTCCTTCTATCTGTGAAGTCATCCCACATTCTCTTTTTTTCAAGACCAGTGCACATTAAAATTAGAAAAAGGCCTTAAAAAATTTATGAGTTTGCTTTCAGTCTTTTTTATGAATTTTGTTTAGTTTTTATGATCCCGCTGCCACTAACGTCACTGTCTATAGCTAATAATGTAAATATTTCTATCTTTTAGTGAAGATAATATATATATATATATATATATATATATATATATTGTGTGTGTGTGTGTGTGTGTGTGTGTGTGTGACCAGTATGTATCAGTCACTCTTTTACAAATATGAAGCAAACTTTGGTAACACTTTACAATAAGGTTTATTAGTTAACTACATTAGTTAAAATCAACTAAGAATGAACAATAGTACTTCAGCATTTGTTAATCTTTGTTAATGTTAATTTCAACATTTACTAATACTTGTTAACATTAGTTAATGCACTGTGAACTAACATGAACAAACAATGAACAGCTGGATTTGTATTAACTGATGTTAACGTAGATTAACAAAAACAGTAACAAATGCATTGCTCATGGTTAGTTCATGTTAGTTAATACATTAACTAATGATTAATAAAAGAACCTTATTGTAAAGTGTTACCCAAACTTTATATATGAATACACAAACTTTGTTTTGTTTAGTTTTTTGTTTTGTTGTGATGGTTGAAATTTATTTCAAGAACCACCAGTGAAAGGACTTCCCAAGGAAAATAGAAATGCAAATTCTTTAATATCTTCATTGTTTCTACTAGACTACACTGTCTGAAACCTCTACTAGTGTCTGGTGGAATGAGCAGTCAACCCCCACCTGATCTGTTGAGACGTCACAACCGAGGACATGTCTCTCTTCTTTAAGCACTTAACCAGGGCTGGCATCTTTAGAGTGAGAATTATGGATTTTTCGGGGGTGTTTAAAAATAATAATAATAATAATAATAATTACAAAAAAACTTGTGATCGCCAAAACATTTGGTAACTGAACATAATTTCATTACGTTTACCAACAACATGTACATGGGACAATGATTGGTACTGTTTTTATTAGGGCTGGGTTGACACACATTTCATGATTTGATTCATAAACTCGACTTGAATCTCACTTCAATATCAATATGGAAGTTTTTTCAATAAAAACATTATAATAATTAAAAAATGATCTAAGAGTGAAAATATAATGAACATGTAAAACAGTGCATTTATTTAGCCAAATGTTCCTCTCTCTCTCTCGAGCAAATGTTCCCCTGGCCAGTCAAACTGATTTGTTGTTCCTCAGCTGCCTTTTATCTTGATTATGCCTCACTCGTGTATAAATAGCTAAAGCTTCTGAAAACAGAAGTGATTTACTGTATGTTTTTGCTCATAGTACACAAAAGACGACATACCACGCCTTAATCCATTACCGGCATGTGATATAAGGCTAACATGCTTAGAGGCATTTTATCCATCACTGCTTTTGTCACCTCCGTAAATAATTGGGGCTCGAATCTGCGTGTATAACTTGCACTCTTCTCTTCCACTCAAGTGAGTAGGCATTTACTTGTAGTTCAGTACACCAGCAGGAAGTCTGTTCTGGTTCTCAGTGTGATTACCACTGTAACAGCAGTAAAAAAAAAAAAAAAAAAAGACAGATAATACTGAACAACAACATACAGTAGGCTACTAGTGGTCTGGTTTTGCGCTCATGATGTCATAATAGCCCTGGACAGCTTTCCGCTTCGTCTCATCCTAAAGGATAAACCCAGTGCACTGGCATGTGCTAAAAGCTGTAATCATGTGGAAGAGCATCTTATAGATCACCTTACAAAAATCCACACTGTGCAAGATTATTCCCCTCTCTCACATAGCCTTCAAAAGCTATAGGAAATATAGAGGAAAGGTCGGCAAGTTGATTTCTATAATGCATAAATTGCTTAATTGCTTGATTTAGCATTGGTTTTGTATGTTGGATTCAAACAACTAGGCCTACTTCAAAACTAAATTAGGTAAATTCAATAATTTAATTTAGTAATTTATATCCCACATAAATATCATATAAATGGTCAAATGCACACAAAAGAGCCACAATGGAACACATTAAGATGTTGTGTCCCTAGGACTTTAAGGCAAGCATGAAATTCACTTTCAAAAGTAACGTTACACCCCAATTAATTTTCACTGTGGTGAAAAGTAGGACAACTACCCTAATGTGATATGTGACTGATATGTGATGAGATGTTCAGTAGCCTACAATGAATACCACTGATTAGATTGTAGCACTTTTGAACTTTAACAAAAAATATCCAACACAAATTTAAAAACGACTTCAGGCTGCATGGCTCGAAAAACAATTACAAGAACGCTCTACTGCATTGCACCTGTTCAAACACCTGGTGAGACGACATTATATGTAATGTCACATAACAGCGTTAAAATTGGCTTGTTTGTCAATGGATATCTTCTGATTATGACTTTTGCGGGGTTTAGAATGTTTTAAGATGATGTAACCGATATATAAAAGAAGATTTCTTGTTAAACACGAGAGAATGGGAGCATTGAAGTTCCTGCGTCCATCTCACCTTACAGCTGCGTTATTCCCTTAACCCGCATAAATGAAACACATTAGGATATAAACTGTTGTCCTACCTGCCGCAGGATTCGTACATGAATATCCTATGAACTGCAGTGCTGTTACATGGTCAAGTCAAGAGCAGTTTTGTAGTGGTGTGTTCATTTCAGCCCGAGCTCCGAGCGAGAGGCAAACCCCCCCACGCACCCGCAGCTGGAGATGTTCATAGCGTGGGTGGAGTTTGCGCTTCCACGGATTCCCCGTGACCGTGTACACACACACGCGCGCGCACACACACGCAGACGCAGTTTTTTACGTGTTTGCATCAAGACTGCCATAGGCTACTCTCCCAAACTGTGCAACTGAGGCTAGAGAGGGAACATCCTCAACATATTAGTCAAAAAGACAGACAGACAGACAGACAGATAGATGTAGACAGACAGACAGAAATAGACAGACAGACAGATAGCTATGTTCATTCATGTTTTTTATTTTTTTAATCCGAGTTTTACATCTGGGTTTTACATAATTGATATCGTATTTTGTAAATAGCCTACTCTACTGTGTTTGTCACAATTTGTTTGTAGGCTACTTATAGTGTATTAAAAACAAAACAAATAAACAAAAAAACAAACAAAAAAAATCATGGTAGGCTACGTAAAATATGTAGATTCTTAAAGCCACATTTGTAGAATGCGATTTATCCCAATCTACCCTATAAAATTATGAGGGTAAAATAATAGTATCTGCTGCCATCTACTGGATAGTTCAGTTATTTTTCGTTCGTAAAGAGTGTGACTGTAGACTGTGTGTGTGTGTGTTATTTCAACAAATGAATAGCCTGTGAATGTATAAAAATATTTATTACAAAAAGCAAAGATTAAGTAGCTACATTTATACAAAGATTATTTACAGATAAAAATGTGCACATAATGTTACTAAAAGAGAAAGATCACGGAAGAGTGTTAGGATAATATTTGTGTGTGTTTTAATGATAGAGAAGATAACAGTGCAGGATATGTGGTAAGCAAAGCAACTTAGTTTTGTTGAGTCCTTTTTGTCCCAGTGAACGTCGAATAGACCATCTGCACAGTTGAGAAAGAGAGCAAGGACCTGCAGAACCGATCACAAGCCAGTATCAGTATACTTGCATTAATACAGCATAATAGTAATGGGGCATACTGAACATTTAATTTGTGTTTATTTACCTGCAGTTTGCAAGAGATGTTTGATACTCTGATCTGTAGTCAATTCTAGAGGTTTCTTTCCCTCAGAGTTCCTTGGTGTCAGATCAGCTCCATGCTCCAACAGTAGCTCCACCTCCTTTGCTCCGCCCACTCTGGTTGCAGCATGTAAAGGTGTCTCAAGACCCAGCCCACATTGCACATCAGCGCCTGGAGAGAGAAAAGGCCGAAGCACTTTACTGTAATTGCATATTATGCATATTATATTTAAACTGTATGTATGATTTAGCTTGGATTTGATTTTACATTCTCTTACTGATTACGTCAATTTAGTAACTAAACAAAAAGAAAGAGACAATACATGATCCATAGGATTTTTTGTTAAAGTACTACAGTAATGTGCATGTGAGAATCATCTTTGAGATTACACAAAACAAAACAAAAATGTATTTATTAACCCATGAAGGGTGGTGTGTGTGATTCTGACCTGAGATCAGCAGGCTTTGAACACAGTCTGTGCTCTTGGATTCACATGCACAGTACAGCGGTGTTCCTATGCTGGGCAACTCCATGTCCACATTCACACCATGAGACAGCAGCAGTTCCACACATGCTGTGTGACCTAAAACATGTACACACAGACATCGGTTTTACTGAAATCCAAACGTTTACAGTTCTCTGTAAATTCACAAGAATCATCACATATACCTCTCTTTGCTGCTTCATGAAAAGGTGAGCGCAGCAGATGAGCCGGATGGTGGACAGAGCTGTGCATCAGAATGAGGCTAACGAGAGTGGGGTTTCCACTCCAGCATGCATTGAAGAGAGGAGTGACTCCATCAAAGGAGACGGCATTCGCCTGAATGCATACATATTGCAGCCATTAATGCATGTTAAAGCAGAGAAAAAGAAAAATAAAGGCATACATATTGCAAATAAAGAGAAAGTAAGGCCTATATACATACATCAGCGCCATGTTCCAGAAGTTGTTTAGCACAGGTAAAATGGCCTCCAACACATGCTTCATGCAGTGGTGTGATTCCATTTAATGTAGCCACGCCCACATGGTATCCCTGTAAAAATGCAAACATGGACAATTAATTCCATTCATAATAACCGTTTGTTTTAATACATAGTCTGTCCTTAAACCTCAACATGTAGACCAGTCGGGCTGGTTTAGTCCAATGACATTCATACTTATTTTAGTGTGGATAAGTGTCCAAATACTTTCTGTAAACTCATATTTAGCTATCCAGTTTTATCCAGTGTTTCTCCCATTAGTACCTGTGAAAGGAGTCTTCGCAGTGGCAGCAATCTTCCTTGCAAAGCGGCATCGTGTAGAGGTGTTCTGTCATCCCAGGAACCTAACAAATCAGAAACATACATTAATATTTAAAATGAAGATGTGCAATATCACATTTGTTGTTTTGATATTTAAATAATAGTCAGTGTTGGGGTAATGCATTACAAGAAACACCACTTAATCTTAAAGGTATGTAATCTGATTACATTTTTTCAAGTAATTAAAAAAGTAAATCAGCAATGAATTGCAGTTAAATGTGAGCATACATTTACTCATCTCACTTGCACAAAAACAGATTCAGTGTTTTTCAAAATGAACAAAACTGTGAAATGCAAACAGAGTTGTTTTTAGAGGCAGAAAATGGGTGAACGGCAATTAGAAAATGACCCAGGGCCAGATACAAAAATCTGAAAGACAGATGTCTTATAGATGTTTAGAGGATGTGCACATTTTGACCTCAAAGAGTATCCAGGGAAAGTATCCTCCAAGTACAGACAATTAAACCCACACTCAATCCCTTATTTTTGAAGTTTAGCACTTAAAAGCAATTTAAACAAACTATTCAAAATCAGTCCTGCTGTTAAGTCAGATTGGGTTATCTTCTAGATCAACATTCCAAACCAATTGGCTTGGCTTGTAATGTGGAATTGGCTTTTTCTATGTCCATATAATTGCAAAATGTAATGGTCTGGAATGCTGACTTGATGCTATATAGTATGTTACTATCATACATGTTTCATGGTCCAATGGTGACAAATTTGTTGATATAAATTTAGGGATTTTTTAGGGTCCCATAAATTTTAGTTTTTTGTGAAATTGTGAAAACAGAACAAGCTTGGTTCTTGTTGTAAACCTGTTTGACCACTAAAAACATTCAAGAGTGACATAATAACAGAGGTAGAGGAGGAAAACTCACCTGCCATTAGTGTATTACACACTTGTCCTCCATATATGTGAAAGCTGTGATCCCATGGCTTACCCCAGACGCTCACTTCAGCATGAACCAGAGCCATCTCCAAACTTCACAAGAAGACAACCCGCAGGAAGAGAACAATAGTGATAGTGGTGGACAGAGAAACTCTTCAGAGGAGTTTAAATGGCCTTCAGAGAAACAAGAACCCCCTTGGCAAGAAAGCACCTCCCACTGTTATCAGTGATATGTGCTTACACACCCCCATCTCCCCAAACTCCTGAGGTGAGCATCCCCCACATGAACAATCTCCTCAAAATGAGTCGAAGGGCCAGAAGAGATAAAACATTAGATGCAAAAACATGCCACAGCAAGCACCTTTAACCAGTTTCAGAGAACAAATTAACGAAAGACAATACGTCCCTATAAAAAGTAACTAAGTAAAACTGATCTACAACTTCAAAATAGATATCATTTTGTATACACAGCAAGAAAAATAGCTAAAACTTGAAAAAAGAAAATGAACCATTAACCAAAGCCAATGCAACTGCAAATGTAATTGGTGATACAGTATCTGCCTCTCCAGCAAAACATGATTTGCATCCAGTGTTATGCAGAAACAGGATCGCCCTAGCTGGATAGAGCGGCTATTGAATGTGCATGTGTGTGAAAGCAGTCAGAGAGGGCGATAAGTGTTTGTTAACGACTTCTGGATTTAGCCTTGAATGTTTGAGGGTGTGTTTTATCAGCCCTGTTTGGGTATTAGCATAAGATTCCTGATCCAGAGACCCTGACGGTTATCTACAACAAAAACAACTTTATGTAAACATAACATGCCTCATTTATCCTCAACAGTCACACTTTCAAAGTAAAATTTCATATATTAACTTAATTTAATGTATATTCTTTAGTTTGAATTTGAATTCCGATATTTTAAGTAAATTCTTCCAATTATTTTGTGGACAAAATTCACAAAGCACCAACACATGCTCATGTCAAACAGTCATGTCAAAGCTGAAACAGTTATAAAAAAATGTGTACAGTACTTATTGCATGTTAATACAATTTATTGTAGATTGTGTCAACAATTGTGAACACATTTAAGTTAACACCACTTTCAGGTAGTATAAACGTTGTGCGTTATAACCATGATCATCATACTCACAGAAAAGGTCAATATAAAATAGGTATAACATAAAAGAAAGCAAATATGAAAAGTGAAGTATAGTGCCTTAAAATGAGTGTGTTGCATGTGAAGTAAAAAGAAAATGGGGTGTTTGGGTGTAAAATAAATACGTTCATGTTACTATCCAACAAACATTTTAGTTCAATTCATATATATACCAGTTTGAGATCACATCTCAAGCATACAAATTGTAAGATGAATGTAAAGGTGATAGAGAAAAAGCCGCCCCTGTTGTCAGTTATTTATCTTGAATACAGATTTTTTAATGTGTTTGTGCACAGATTATTATCTGATGGGGGTTCATTGTGCAAAAGCAGGCGCTGGGCTCTGGGATTGGCTGAGGAAAGCTCTTAAAAGCTTTCTCTACACCTGAGGTCACTGTTTTACACAGTTATGTAAACAGGTACAGTCAATACATGTTTTGATGTACCGTAGTACATTGGTATCACAATTCAGTTCATTACCTACATCCGTCCCCTCCAAAATAACCATGTAAAGACATGTTAGATCATTAGTCACTCAGGACACAGCTGGGTTTGGTGTTTTACTTGTCTTCTTACTAACGTGATGCCCAAAGCGGCTGTGGGGGCCTGATGAGTCTACAGCAACATCGATTAGATGATCTGGGCGGAGCCACTGCAGGAAAAGCAAGAAGAGGAAGGTAATAACAGCAACAAAGGAGAAAATGGAGCCTGACACGGCACCACAGTGAGAGCGCAGTCTCTGCAGTCGCGCAGACAATGGCAAAACGGGCTGCCTGCACACCCGATTGTACACCTGAAACAAACACAGAAAGAGTGGGAGAATTATACAATACTACAAGACTACAATTTAGAACATGTGGGTCAGTGAGATTTTTTTTTTGTTGTTGTTTTAGCAAGGAGGCATTATTCATCAAAAAGTGACAGACATTTATAATGTTACATAAGATTTTCATTTCAAATAAATTCTGTAGAAAATTAACAAAAAAGCATCACAATTATTACAATGATTTCTGGGTGATCAGGATCATGTGACATTGAAGACTGGACTAAATGTCTCCTGAAAAATCAGCATTACCACCATAGGAATAAATTACCATTCAAAATACAATAAAATAGAAAACAGCTATTTTAAAATTGATTCATATTTCACAATATTAGCTTTGGTGAGCATAAGATACTTTCAACAAAAAAAAAAAAGGAAATCTTACTGACTCCAAACTTTTGAATGGTTGTGCGCAACAATAATAATTACACAATAATAAACAACAAATAATTATTACATTCATGCATGTTCTTAAAACTTACCTTTTCTGTGCGCTCGGCAACATTTCTCCAAGTGTACAGGGTTCGGACCTTGCGGTGGATGGCGGCAGGAGACGCCACATTTCCTGTGCGTATTCTTGCAATTACAGTTTCCAAACCATCGCAAAGTGACTGAACTGATGGTTCACACAGAGTCACCAACTCATCAGGCAGGACTTCAGGTATACCTCCAACACGAGTGCTCACCACCTACACACAATAAACCAGTTAATTGTAGCATTAAAAAGTATACTGTATCCATCTTATATGTGGAGCAGTTGTGGCCTTATGGTAAGAGAGTCACACTGGACCGAGTATAGGTTACCATACTTGGCCTTCAAATCAAGTCACTAACATATATTGTCCCTACTATGAACTATATAAATATAATATAATGCTATATACAATATATATAATATAATTATAGAACAATATAATACTCACACAATATACTTTTGAACATGAAATGTCATATGCAACCCATTTTACTTGCATAATGCTACATCACTAATACATTTTCATAGAAAAAAAAAAACACATACATGCAACCCACAGCTGGCTCCCTCCACTATGGCCATACAGAAGGCCTCAGTGAGAGAAGTATTGAGAAAGACATGACCTTGAACAAGAACATCCCTCACATCCTTATGATCCAGAGCTCCCAGCAGACGGACTCTTAATACACACATGAAAAAAAAAGGTAAGCAAAGATATTATACAAATACTTACATCTAGAGAGATCATTGCTCAGGCCTACTGGCTTTCTTACCTGTCATGAAGCTGATATTTCTCTCGAACCTCTTCCAATACGATTCTTTTGGGTCCTTCTCCACCAATCAGAAAGCAGAGATCTGGATGCTTTCCACACAGTTCAGGAATGATTCCACTTAGTAAATCAATCCCTGAAAAACAACAGATTCTATTATGAGCATATTCATTTCTGATTTGAAATTCATTCAGATATTTTAAGGGGACATAAAGTCAAAACTGTCCTGATATCACATTGAATAAAAAGTATCTTTGATATAATACAATTCTTGAAAACAACATATTAAGCAGCTATACATTTGATTTTTATATACATTATGAATAAAAAAATGTGAAATTATTATTATAGAAAAAAAAAACTTTATGAATATATAACATTAATTAAAATACTGATAGAATGATTTTAGAGTCATAAATGCTTTTTTATGAAAATTCTATTAAAATGTTTCAACATTATTTTGCAATACAAATAAAAACACCATGTTCTCCTCACCTTTCCGGTAAACCAGTCGACTGATGACCACAATGGTGATCTTGCTGTTGTCACGACGACTGGGGTCAGGGGTGAAGTCAGTGGGGTCAACAGCATTAGGGATGACAGAGACAATCTCAGGGTCCAGGGTGGCCCGTAGTACAGTGTTCTCTTTGCTGGTGTACGACACGCACACGATGTGATTCGTGTCACACAGAGAGACAGTCAGCAGCTTATTGGTCAGTACAGAGCTCAGGTCCGCGAATCCGAAGAGAGAGTGGTCTGTGAACACAGTGTTCAGTCCCATAGTCTTTGCGTGAAACAGGGCATCATGGGCCATAGCAGAGAAGGAACTGTGGGCATGCACGATTGTGATGCGCTCGCGCACAAACACACATCGGAGTAGCGGCAAACTGTGAAAGCAGGTGGTGGCTGTGGACTGATTATACATGACCTGAAAGTAAGGGATGTGAGTGAGAAGTTTGATATGTACACTGCCGGTCAAAAGTTTGCAATAATAATGATTTTTTATGTTTTTCAAAAGAAGTCTTTTATGCTCACCAAGGCTGCATTCATTTGATCAAATATAATGTGAAAACAGTAATATTGTGAAATCTATATAACGTTTCTATTTTAATATATTTTAAAATTCATTCCTGTGTCTAATGGCAAAAAAACACTCTAATGTGCTAATTTGGTGCTCTATTATTATTAATTATTATTGGTGCTCAATTATTAATAATGGTTATTACTATCAATGTTGAAAACAGTTTTTGCTGGCTAATATTTTTTGTAAAAAACATAATACATTTTCTTCAGTATTTTTTGATGAATGGGTTCAATAAACAGCTTTTATTTGAAATAAAATCTTTTGTAACATTATAAATGGCTGTAACTTTTGATCAATTCAATCTTTCTTTTTGTTTGTACTTACACCAGACTTTTGAATGGTAGTTTATCACGGTTTTTACATTTTGTTTTCAGACTTATTTATAATAATGGATGTTTCTTGAGCACCAAATCAGCATATAAGAATGATTTCTAAAGGATCTATCATAGGAATAAATTATTATTATTTTATGTATGTACAAATAAACAGAGTCTTGGTGAGTTTAAGAGACTTTATCACAAACATTTTTAAAAAATCTGAATTATTCCAAACTTTTTCACTAGCAGTGTGTGATATGGCCCTTTTAAACTAATGCAATATGTTGTAAAACAAACCTGGAGTGGTAGGTAATACACCTTCAGTCCATTGGTCAGGTAGCGAATCCCACGGCGGTCTCCATACGCATGCGTTGCTATCACAACCTTATGGCCCTTCTCTATGAGGCACTGTGAGAGCTGGTAGATGTGACTTTCCACACCACCCATGTTTGGGTAGAAGAAGTCTGACACCATACATATCCTGTGCTTCACGCCCGGCTCATGATCAGAGGAGTGTGTGTCCAGGGATAGAGGAGGTGTTTTAGGTGCATGAGTGTGACCTCTCCTCCTGTTGCCCATGGTGTTGTGAAATCCTCAGTGCTCTGCCATACAAAAGTAGAGATGTAAGTTACACATGTACTTCTGCACAACACAGTTACACAAGCTATATTCCAGTATATTGTGGCTGAACATCACTACAACACTGTTAGACTTGCACCTAATTGATTTACTTAATGAAACGTAATAGCTAGACAGCCAGATAGATGAATTAAAGAGTCTTGAGATTTAAAGCACTTTATGTACATTTAACATATACATTTACATAAATGTAAATTAACCAAAGAGACACTAAAACACTCACCCAGTCAATCACTGGCTGATAAAAAAAGAAACTGAATCCTGAACAAATGAACAAAGACTGATTTAAGATGTGTGCTCGAACTTGTTATATCTTTATCACGTTCTAAATCCATCGTTAATTCATAAAAAAATTAAAAGGTTTCAATTGTGTTTCCCTGGAATAAAATACAAGCAAAACAGTGCACCATCACGTCTGCTATTTCCGTGATGTTTGGATTCTTTTCTTCGTGGTGGTGTTAAATAAAATGACGCAACGGTAGGTGCTGCCCTCTAGAGGACACAGTACGTTTACAGGAAACAGTTTCAGTAAGACTAAAAACAACATTTCCCCCCAGTCTTTTCTTTATTACTTCTGTTAACCTTAAGTTCAAGTTATTTTTAGTTTTATTTATCATTTCATAGTGTTTGTAAGGTAGATCTTTAATTTGTAAGTTGGCCATCATTTATCACTGCAATTTGCTCTTTCAAAAATAACAATCCCATTTGTTTTAAATCCTTGAAACCCTGCACCAAAAAAATAAAATAAATAAATAAATAAATAAATAAAACTAAAACAAGGACTAAAATCACCACTAAATGGAACATTCCAAGCAGTTTAAAGCCATAACATCTTCTCTGCTTGAAACAGAATGTTTTTGTTTGAACTATGAGGAACAGATGTCACCCACACCACAAAACTTGTGAACAAAATGGTTTCACTTTTGTTTTCGACAGGGCGGGGTCTAGTATAATAATATGCTGTACAAAAACAACCTGTCTTTCGACTGCAGTGACAGTCAATGATGTGTTCAGGAGCTCTTATTGGGTTACTCTTTTGCCTACATAAGATATGGCATTTGCAGCAGCTGGTATGCTTTCTTTTTATATTCATATCTTATATAGTGCTTAAGAAATACAAATATCCACTATTTTCTCAAACATTCTTTTGTATTGTATATTTCTACTGTAAATAGTTATTTGTTTTACCACAATTTGCCAACAGCGTTACTGTTTCAGTTGCAGTTACTAAATTCACTGTCTGTCTATGTTGCAGCTGGAGTTTCCTTTAGTGATGTTAGTCTCATGAAGCAAAACAAGAAGAGTAAAAGAGCTTCTGCGTCATTCCCATTTATCAAGCCAGATCTGAGTGCTGCTGAGGTATAATGTCACAAACAACTTCTACATAGTTTCTTTTTTTTTATTTAAAAAAACAAAAAAAAAAAAAAACTTTGTAGTTAGTTTCAGCTTGTTTTGAAGATGCATACAATTAATTGTTTGGGCATGTCCCTGTTTTTCCTGGTAGAATGTTGTTGAAAAACTCAAACAATTTGGGAAGGACTGTTACCAGGTAAACATATGCATGTAATGTAAAGTATAATCAATGATCTTTAAGCCACTAGTATTCGCTTAATATGTAAAAATCTCTCTGCAGCGGTTCAACTTCAAAATACCAGCCACTGAAAGCATTCAGCAAAAGGACAACTCGCTTGATGAGTCAAAGGACATTATCAGAAACCTGGCTTCTGAACTGGACAGATTGATACAGGTAAATATTTGACATTATTTTATGAATTTAATATGAGTTTAACATAAGTTTCAACTGATCTGCATTATGCCCACAGTCAAAGATGTTCAACTTGATAACTCAAAAGTTCAAAAATAAAGGAACTAAAGAAGAGCAGGATGAACACCAATATTATATTTTGCAATGGGCTGAAGATCTCGAGAACACACAGACTAAACAACTGGACAAGCAAGAGGTTTGGATTCACTTTTTTATGAGTGTTTTATGAGTGTGTTTTTGAGTGTTTTATGAGTGGAAAAAAGTGATGACAAGATAACACAGTGGTTCAGGGAAAATTATTAATTAACCCTAACTGCAGACATTATTTTACCACAGTTGTCAATAGTATTTGTTTACTCTTTTGTTTGCTGTAGATTCAACAGACCTGTTCAGAGCAGTTGTCGAACAGTGAAATTAAATTTAACAAAGCAAAACAAATTTTGTCTGACTGGTCTTGGAAACTGAAAGACATGGAACAGGTTTGTCACCTGCATGTTTACCGTGAACAAAGGGATAAGATGTTTCTGTCACGCACAAGATTAAATCAGATATCTCAAATATCTTTCTGCCTCTTTCTGACTATAGAACTCAATATTTCAAAAGAGGGGATGTGAAGAAACACTGAGGGATCTCCACAAAGAATCGAAACAGGGAGAGTCCAGCATACTCCCAGTGATGGACTGGATAATATGGACTGTAATACAGTCAGGAAGCTCTGAGGTAAAGATGAAAATGAAAATTGGTCATGTAAAGAAATCAAGTATTGACAATATTTTTAGACAGTAGTCCATTGCTTTTCAATATTTTTTAGCAACTGAACATATCTAAAAGCATGAGAGTTCAACTGATGTTCTAAACTTTTCATAAATGTGAGTACATTTAGACCTTGGACCTTGGATACAGTATAACTGCTGTGATCTTTGTAACTGTAATGATTCATCAGTTCGTAGGCCGCCCCCCTTACAGTAAATAGTGCATTTATGATGTGTTATACTTAGAGAAACATGTTTTTGTCATTTCTGAATCATATTTTGGATCTATTATGTATCACGGCAATCACATTTTTATCAAAACGAATGTCAAATCTTAATGTATTTGTGGTTTTATTGTTTTGTATGGAAGGAGTCAAACCACAGACAGTGGGTGAAGAGAAAACAGAGCAAAACGCAAAACGCCAAAAATGCAGGTGAAGATTACTTTAGGCTTTTCCTTAGAGATTTTACATATAGTGTTTTACCATGTTGGTAAAAAATGGTCTCAGAGAATGATAAATTTTACAAATGTATGTGTAAAAGGTTATGTCAATGTGTTTCCTTGTTTTCCTTTTTCCCCTAGTTGGATTACGCATTCCTACCCCAGGTATTTTCATTACTCATTGACTTTCATGAAATCATGGCTTCACTTTTAATTTCACTTTTGTGTTGATGCTCAATTTGTCAGGTTTAATCCAACGTTACTTTTTTTCGCAGTTTGGAACTGGATCACAAAATCAACAGGTAAAGCTCAACTGATATTTAGCTTTTATAACCAATGGATAGACATGTAAATTCACCATACAGAGTTTAATTTCAATACTTCAATATCTTCTCATTTTGTTCTTGAAGCTGTTGTTACTCTGGATCCAAACACAGCCAACCCAGAACTCCTAGTCTCTAAAGATGGAAAATCTTTGAGGGCAAAAGAATATGGTCTCAATAGCTGGAATGGGTTCCAATGGAAGCGTTCGAAATTTGATGGCTGGACTTGTGTCCAAGCTAAAGAGGGTTATAATACAGGTAGCCATTACTGGGAGGTAGATGTGAAGAAGAAACATGAGTGGCGGGTGGGAGTTGTGAAGGAATCAGCTCCTCGTAATGGCTATGTGACCATGAACACAAAAACAGGCTACTGGAATCTGCGTCTGCAGATGGGTACTTTGATGGCTTTGACTGAACCAGTCAGCAAACTCAACATACAAACTCCCTCTAAGGTAGGAGTTTATCTGGACATTGAAGAGGGCCACATCTCCTTCTATGATGCTGAGAAAAGAAGACATATTTACACATTTAAAACAGAGTTTAGTGAGACAGGAAACATTTACCCAATGTTTGGCACCGTTGAGACAGACAGAGCGTTGGTGATTTTATCATAAAATGTACTTCATTTAGGTTAAAGGTGGGGTATGTGATTTTCTTTTATGACCATTTTTTTCAAAATCACTTGATATCCTAACCCACTTACAGCCACTGAGTTAGAAGCACTGAAATGAAAATTAAGTGAAACGGGCCGGACTCGAAAAACCCCAGCCAATCATTTCCAAGACAACCTAGAATCATTGGACATCAATCAAACGGTCGTATTGTGACCCAGTCACAATAAGTGCAAGATGCCCAGGTACAGAGAGAGAGAGAGAGTATTTGCTATCTCATACATCTGAGTTTTGCAGATGCATGATTTCATGTCCATGTTCTTTGAATGGGTGGAGTCAGGGCCAGCGTTGGAGGAAAGAAGGTAGGATCTTTTGAGTTGTGTATTTTCAAAATCTGCCGGCCGTTTTTGCAAATCCCATACCCTACCTTTAATACACCTTGTCCTTCCTTCTGTATCAAGTTTAAAGTTGAGATTTAAAAAGAAGGCACACGTTTGTTGTATAGCCTGTGCTTTGTTGTATATACTGTATGTATGCTTAATATGAACATTGTCATGTCATTCTTCTGTTTGTTCATTAAAGAAGTTCTGGCAGTACCTCTATCATGTGTTTTTATCTCATAAGGACTCAACCTACAGGTCTGTCGCCTATATTAAATAGCCAGTCACAATGAATTCTTGTTTCTATGAAGACGTAGCTTCGATTAAATATCCATATGTGAATATGGATATTGGCTGGGTTAGCCTTGCCTACATGCCACGATAGAAAGTATCATACTTAATTTACTCTATTTTAAAACTTAGCATAATGGGGCTTTCACGTGATGAACGAATTAAGAACCCGAAGTTGACTCGAAACTTCAACTAATCAATTCTGTATCTGGTAGCCTACTATACTCTGCACATACTCTGCACAGTATAGTATGGTCTGGTCCGTGTATCATCCATTCATTTGATTTCCAAATTGAAATGAAATCAGCAGAAATGAGAAAACGGCACCTTTATTCGTAAAAAAACAAAACAAAAAAAACATGAGATTTCGACTTGATTTTTCGTTTTTTTAGTTCACAGGCAAAAAACGAATAGCCTGACTTCAAAATTCTTTTTCCACATGTGTGGCCATGACTCATGAGTTGCCCCCCTTTCACTGATCATGAGTCATGAGTCACGGTCATTTTAAGCCAAAATGGGGGTCAACCTTGAACAAATTGCAACAGAAGCAAACTCAACTGATTTTGTATCCTCAATATGTCCCGAGTAAGGAGAAAAAAAGCCCAGAAGAATCCCATTAGGGTAAAGTTTAGAAAAAGACCCAAATGTATCCCATTGCAACATTCATATGCATATTCATTCTTTTTCTCACGTGAAAAGGGTAAAAAAAATTAACTGTTTCTGGGGGATGAGTCTGAGGAAAGAACAGGAGACATGGGTAATATAAGGAGAATGCAGAAGACAAAAGGTAGGTGAAATAAAAAAGTGTCTGGATCAAAAAATCTGATTACGTACACAATGCACTCAATGCCCAAACCCCATCCTGCAATAATAATTAAGCCTAATAAAGGCTGGTTTATACCTACTTCTTCCTGTATTAATGTTGATGGGTAGCCAATGGGTTCCATTCAGACCTTAACATTAAATCTCTTACTGTTATATGTCAACAAGATTAAAAAAAAAAATAAAATAAAAAATAACCTGCTATACCCAATTATTAGATCTGTTTGGGTAATTATGCAAACTAATACGTAATTATATTATGCACCGTTTGTCCATGTTAACAAACAGTTTCAAAAAACTTGTAACATTCTTTGTTTGACGAATGAATGTGATATATTTTGGTCTTTTTCTAAACTTTCCCCTAATGGGATTCTTCTGGGCTTTTTTATATAAGGATATAAAATTAGTTGAGTTTGCTTCTGTTGCAATTTGTTTAACCTTTTTTCATAAAATGACTGGACTATTCCTTATCCTTGAGGCAAACTTTTACTTTCACATGCAAAGGTTAAGAAAATTCCTTCTTTTAAATATTTCTTATTAAGTAAAATATTTAATCAAATTACTAATAATAATTGATAATAGAAAATGTAGGCTAGTTAGTTTATCTGTTATAGATATCCTGGTTATTTTGGGTCACCCATCTTATTAATAGTAAATTTGGTAAGATGTTGTTTCTACTAATAACACTGGTATTGTCATACAGCAAGTTAATAAGTGGGAAAATTTCCTCACCGGCATAATCATCAAGATCAAGATCCAAGGGGTGGACATAGGCCAGTATTAGGGTTGGCTTTAGGGATTAGGGGTGGGTTTAGCGATTAGGAGGCGGAGTTGGGTATGTTTAGGTGTAGCCTATGTAAAGTGGTGAGGAGTTGGATCTGGATCCGACTCCTCCCCGTTGATTTCATGTTCCGCAGCCGCCTACTCTCGCATAGTCAGGCGCATCTCAAACAAGTTTCAAATCATGCGCTTCGGGATCTTGAAAAACTTCGGAACGTCAGTTTCGCGTCAGCCATCCCTACTAAAAACTATGAGGATTTTATCAAAGCTCATTCGAAATCTGCAGGAATTGCATAGAAAAGGTAACGTAGTAGCTAAATCAATAAAACATAATTAAAACTTACAGATAAAAAAAAAATGAAATAAAAATTGGTTGCTTGTGATGATCCTGAGTGATAGAGATGTGTAGACTATTCAATTAAAGTTAAAGCCGGATTGTCATTCAGTTTGTTTTAGTTTCATATCCAGAGTTCAACATTTACGTCATATTTGTGTGTTCTTTTAAAGGACGAGATGTAATGTGGGATAATACAATTCCTTCGAAGATTGTTGAGGTGGAATATGATTGTATGTCTGAACCGTTCACAAAACCCAAATTGTCCATACTGGTAAGTTGTCATCATTAAACAAAGTATGAATCCAACAATGCACATCTAAGTTAGACATATTTATTTTAAAGCTTAGGCTTCAACTTATATTTTAAAAGAGTATCTTAATGCTTACATTAGAAATAGGATCAAAGGTAAATTTTTATATTCACATATAGGATTAATTTGTTAAAGGGATACTTCTGAATGAAAATGCTGTCATCATTTACACACCCTCAAGTTGTTGCAAACCTGTATGAGTTTCTTTCTTCTGCTACAAAGGAAAATATTTTGAAGAACGATTAGAACCAAACAGTTGTGGGGCACCATTGACTTCCAAAGTATTTTTTTTGCAAAGTTTTTAAGGTGCAACAACTTGAGGGCGAGGAAACGTCTAAACGATGATAGAATTATAAAGTATCCCTTTAAATTAGCCTAGAAAACAAATCTCTACCATGACTGCTTTGTTTTGAAGGACAATTCATGCATCAACAAGCCTGTCACTTAATATTTTGTCTATGTCTTTGTATCCACACAGAAAAAAAGTATCACCATGGACACTTTTAAATGCATTACAACAGACCTGGCAACACAGTTAGATAGAGTCACAACAAAGGTACATTACTAATACTGGTACATTTGTTGTAGAAATTTTATCCAATCAGATAATCTCTTGACATGCCTCAATCTCTTTGTCTCATTTCAAAGGCTGCTTAAGTCAATGATGATGCCTCATTTCAGTAAAGTAACCATTACATTCTAAAGTCATAATGAAAAAAAAAATACATTTCACAAGGAATAATGGTCAATTTTTAATGGTTAGGCTACTTTTGTGAAATAAGACATCCTCATTTGATGACATATGCGGCCAACTAATGCACCTTTAAAATGATTCACGGCTTAATGAGCCATCATGTACATCATCATTCTTTTGTCTAGACGCTGAGTAAGTTTTGCTATTTCTGTAGGTTTGTGGAAAGTCCCAAGCTTATAATGTGGTGGATGACTTAAGTTTGGGGGAGTGTGAAATTTTCATTGCCAGATGGTCTGAGGATCTGAAGTGTTTGCGTGGAAAATACAGAAGACACCTAGGCAAGGTAAAAGTGACTCAATATCTGTGTTTGTCCTACACACAGGGTCCAAATTTAAAGCCTTCGAAATGCGAGAATTATTATTTTTGATCAGGAAATAAAAGCTGATGGGCCTGTTACTTTATCAGGAAATGCTTGTCTGTTGAATCTTACATGATAAAGATTAGCTTCTGAAGAACTCAGAACTCCTTTATTACATTCTGTTGCAATACATGTATTCCATGGAAGAGACACCTACACTTTACACCTACACTGTATTTCCATATCATGTCAGTCTACTGCTTCTGGTGAACTCCATAAAAAGTAGTGTGGAGTATGTACTATACTTGTGTCAACAGTATAAAGACTATACAGACAGCTATCAGAACCATGACAACACATTAATTCAACCTAATGCCTTGGATAATCATTCAGTCTCTGCTGTAGGGATATATGACATTCATAATGCAAATTGCAAGTATTGCTGCAGATACAACAAAAAGATTGTTAAAAGGTAGTTAATGTTTAAATATTTGTATTTCATCAGATATCCAATGTTGAGAGATTCAGAATGAGTCTGGAAGGTCTAAACACCAGAGAAGATAAAGTTCAGAAACTGACAGAAGCTCATAAAGATTTTTACTGGTTTATTTATATTTTGAAGTCACTTCCAAAGGTTAGTCATGATAAAAAAAAAAAAAATTACTTGATCATACTGTCATTTTAAGCCATATGAATGTGGATTTATCTGCCTTGTTAATTTTCTCTCTTTTTTTGTTGTTGTTTAGTCCTCAGTGTGTCAAGAAGGACGTGCTAGAGTAGAGCTGTTGAATCTTTACAGACTGTGGAAGAAAGGACAGCTGATCAGCATGTTTCCTATCATGGACTTTATCATGAAGACACTACTCAAGGAGAAGGTATCACGTTGAGATCATGTTTCTTTTTTGTTTGTTTTCTTGTTTATATGTTACTCCACCATTATAATCATCCACATGTGTAAAATTGTTTATAAGCCTTCTATTTAAAATATAATTTAAAAGCAACTCAAAAGCAACTGCTTTTATTGGGTGTCTCTAGATCTTATGGTCCTTCCTATTAGATTTGACTGCCGTTTGAAATAACACAGTTTCATCCCAAGAAGTTATAACTGACGGACGTCTTATACGTCAACATCCGCCTTTTTAGGGTACCCTTAAACGTCGGTTACATGACGATCCCGGGCCGTCATACAACTGACGCTTTACCTTTAACGTCGGTTTGGTGACTGGGTAGGTTTAGGTCTGGGGTGGGATGAGACTGCGCTGTTTGAAACCACTTTAAGCTTAAATATAGAACTGACCCTAAACCACCTGCAATTGCAGATGGTGGCATAGATGATCTATGTAAATAACTCTTGGTTTCATGACTTTAGGATTCCGTTTTAAAACAGAGGCTTCAACATAGATCAGCATTGATGGAAACAGGTGGGAATTTTGTATATTCATGTGTAATATTCACCTTAGAATGTGTTGGTGGTGTTTTCTGTAAGCAAGCACATATGGTAAGTTGTGTGTTTATACGAAAAGGGAAAGAGATATCACTTTCTGTATGACAGTACATTCCTGTAAAATTCCCAAATGTCTTGCGTTATTTTTACTTATTTTTTACTTCTAATTCTCTGTCTCTCCATTTTAGGTTCATGTGTACCACTGGAATTTAAACTTCATCTTCTAAAAGATTTAATAGTGAAATTCTCACTTTAGCATTAATGCACCATCTGTGTGATCAAACGGAATGACAGCTCTCAAAGAATGGGAGCCTGAGTGGGCCAAGAACCATCACAAACAATAGTAACAAACTTGCACAAAAAGCCGATACAGCCTGCTTGGAAGAACTATAGACCTTATTCAGAGCAGCGCCATGACAGGTATGAAAGTGAGGCTGTGAGGGATAGACTTGTAAGGAAACATTCTTAAAAAATAAACAAAAAAATAAAATAAAGGACATTCCCTTGACTGGAGTAAAATCCCCTAATGACGTGACTGTGAATGAGTATGAGTAAATATTTGCATAAAAAGTCAGAATAGGTTTTTTATTATTTTATTTTTTTTATGTAATATGTTTAGAAAATGAAAAATATGTTAATGTGAAGCCACTGTACTGCATATTTGACATTTAGAGAGCCAAATGTGAATGTATGTATTGGTTTCAACTGTCCCTGCACTTTCAATTTCATTATGAATTCTTCGATATGGTTTCTTGTAAATAGCAACTATAATGATCACAGTTATGCATTGACACTCTGTACTTGTAAAGCACCAATGTATTCAAGTGTTGCAGTGCAACAGCTCTAAAGCCACAGTAACCTTATAGGTTAGGCACTTATGAAAAGTCTTAACAGTTTACTGCTAGTAGTTTGGCAAATTAGACTAGAGTAAATCAAATAGGTCAGAAAAAGTATTTTGAAGGTGAAAAAGTTAGCTGCCAATGCAAAATCACATGATATATTAATAAATGAAAATATTTTGACACATTTGTTTACTTCAGGTATGTGGGTTATTTAATGTGGGTATATTTTTTACTTTCAGTTTCTCTTTTTGGGACTGTGGTTGTTAATTATTTTCTGTGTATTATCAGAAGGTTTTAATTAAATAAATAAAAATACACATTTTTATTAAAATTGATTTGAAATTTAAGACGTTATTAAAACCTTGAGTTATAATATGGTCATATAATATGGCCACTAGAGGTCATAGGTTCGTTTCTCAGTGTTGTCCTGTGAAGTGCACGGTCATACTTTTTCTGCATATATAATTTAGTCTTTCTACATTTTTAAAAGAAATTATGTCTCAGGTTAGGTAAAAATCAACAGACAAACACAGGGCTCTTTAGTCATCACTCAATGTAGTATCTTTATTATCAGATAAAATCGTGACATATAAACCAGTAAATGATCATTGTATCTGGTGAGAGGTATTGCACACAGCATAACATTGCTATAAATCGTTTTTAAATGATACAGTCCATCTAAATGGAACTAAATTATGGAACTATATATTTTTTAAAACTCTTTTTTTAATGGGCTTGAACACCATTGGTAGTAGCAATTCAGAACAACTCAAAAAAGGATGTGAATGTTATACACAAATTAGTGGATTTTTAAACAATAACACAATTATTTCTATGGCCCAGGATAAGAATGTAACAATAAATGGCAAATGTATAGATAAACATAACTATTAAACACAACCGACAGATGAGGCATAAATTGAGAATGTGATGTTATTTACTGTGTGTGGATTTGTAATAAATGCTATGAAAAAAAAATGACTAAAATCAAGATGTTTTGCTCATATTCCTAAACCTTTCTAGCTTCAAAACATAAATGTTTGACATTTAAAAAAAAGAATTAAAGTTGTGTTAGGAAAATATGTCTAACACTTTTCACAGCGAGAAATTAGCTACTTTTTAGAAAGTGGCTAATGTTTATATTTTTACCTTATAAGATAATTATATGATTTTTTTTTTCAGTTTCTTTTGCATTGCTTTTAAGATTAACTTGGATCTGGGGTACCACAGAGGGGTGCTATGGGGCTTAATTTTGGGAAATACATATTTTTTTTAAAATATTACAAATTCTTATGCATGAAAATAGCTGCCTTTATCAGTATAAAGGGGAGCATCATTTGGGATCGGATTTTAAATAGTCCTGATCCAGAAAACATGCATGTATGCTTGTCCGCCTGATGATGTGGCACTATTTGGAATCAAAGAATTTGATTGAGTTTCTGTTTGGTCAGTCATATAGTTAGATCATCCGACCTGGCTCTGCTGCTCCCTTTGCTAAGACGACTTAATGATCTTGCTTCCTCTGTTGTCTCTAATTCCAGAGCTACAAGTGGAACATCCATCACCTCCTCAATGGCCTCCAAGGCTTTTGATTTTTCAGAACACTCTTTCTCAGGGCCTCCAGTTCCCACAGATTCTTCTTCTTTCTCATCCCACTCCCTAGAGCCTTTCAACTCCTCTGGATCCTCTATCTCTAATGATACCCCATCCTTCCCCAAAGTTTTCACCTGCACAGAGTCAACTGACAGTCCTAGAGCTTTATCTAAAACTTCCTCAACAGTATTAAATGCAGTCTCAATAGGTCTATTCTCATTTAGATTTTCTAAAACTTCATCCTTACCCATCCTTACATCATCTAGACCACAACTTCTTCCTGCATCCACTAAATCCTCTAGAGCACCACCCGTTCCTATATTATTTACATCTTCTAAAGTACCCACTCCTGTATCTTCTACGTTCCCCTGAGCGTTGTCCTTTCCCAAATCCACTTCTTTCCCAATGGGCTCTATGTCAGATACATTTGACCCTACAACCTCCCCTAAAGCCTCAGACTTTTGTTCCCCCAAATCTCCAGCAATCTTCTCATCATCTAAAGTTTTTACCTCCTCTAAAATGTCCTCATTTACAAAAGGCTCAATCTCACAAAGTTCTCTCTCTTCACCAAGCACCCCAATTTCTGTCCCTTCCTCTACCACATCAGGTAAACCCTCTTCTTCTCTTAACCCCTTGTCCTTATAGGTGTTATCCTCCTTTCCCCTAAATTCCTGTGAGATTTCATTCTCTTCAGCTCCTGAAAATTTTTCCTCTTGTGTTGGCTCAGCATCTACCAAATTCTTTTTCACAGACTTTTCCTCAGTTGCCTCTCTACTGGCCAGTTCTCTTAGATCTATATCCAGACTCTCCTCAAGTGATATCAAATATGTTTCCTCCACACTCTCTCCCTCTGATTGCTCCTCCAGTACTTCTGGTAAAGCTGTCTGAGTCCTTAAGCTGTCTACCTCATCTCCTTCCCGAAGTAGCTCCTCTGGGAGCTCAGATAGTGTCTCTGTGACCTGAATGAAGGAAGGTCGAGTCTCATCACAAATGATTGTCTCCTCTACAGGTGGAGCTGTTGGCATAACGGCCTCCTGACTCCTTTTCTGCTCCTTCTCCAGTTGAGGTGAGACGAACTGTCCCTCTTCCATACCGACCTCAGCTAGTGGATATATGTGTGCAACCTCGTCTACCTTCTCCTCTTCAAGATGCCTATAGCCTTTGCGTTTTTGGACAGGGGTGTTCAAGAGAAACGGTAAGCTTCTTTCCGGTGGTCCGAGAGGTTCCAACTGAGCAGGAGCTGGTCGATGAAACACAAAACGGATCTTCTTCAAGCCAAGGTGGCTTATCTCCACAAAGTTGAGGAACAAGGAAACGCAAGCAACTGCCAGCATAAAAATGATGAAGATAGTCTTTTCGGTGGGCCGGGAGACGTAGCAGTCCACCGTGTTGGGGCACGGCCAACGACTGCACTGGTACAGTGGCAGGATGCGGAACCCGTAGAGGAAGTATTGTCCGACTACAAAGCCTACTTCAAACAGAGCTTTGAAGATGATGTGGCAGATATAGGTGCAAAGCAAGGTTCCCTCGAGTCTGAACTTTTTGCTACTCTTCGTGCTGGTCTCCTTGGTGGTGCGAACACTTCCCTGATCTGTCGCTAGGGGAAGACGCTCCTCACCTATTTCCTGTTGGTGGCTAACCTCAGCTTCTTCACGCTCCTTGCGCTTCTCCTCCATGTGAATGTAATGGACAGCATGGCCGACGTATACAAGCGAAGGTGTGGATACAAAAATGATCTGTAACACCCATAGACGGATGTGAGAGATCGGAAAGGCCTCGTCGTAACACACGTTCTCACAACCTGGCTGCTTAGTGTTACATATGTAATCAGACTGCTCGTCTCCCCAGACAAACTCGGCAGCCGTGCCCAGAATTAAGATGCGGAAAATGAACAGCACCGTGAGCCAAACACGGCCAATCACAGTGGAGTGCTCGTTTACTTCCTCCAAGATATTACCCAAGAAGCTCCAGTCTCCCATGGTTGTATATTAGCTGTGTACAAGAAAGACAAAAATGAATCAGGGAGAAACAAGATGACACAAGGTAGCACTTTATTTTACAGTCTTGTTGCCATGTACGTACTTATTAATTGGAATAACTGGGTAATTACTAAATACTAACCTTGAACCTACACCAAAACCTAACCTTAACCCATCTAATAACCTTATATCACCCAGTAACATGAGTGCACATACTGTTAAAATAAAGTGCAACCCAAGTGTCTTTTACTTTATCCAGTGATACATAATAAGCCTGACAGATACGTAATAAATACATAATATACACTTTCTACAGAATTTTCAAAATATAGTTAGTGATATCACAAAAAATACTTTCCAAGTGTACCTTCTCACTAACCTGTAAACTTTCTTTTTAAACAAAACTAGACACTGACCATTTACAAAGACGACCAGGAAACAACTGTAAGACTCAGATATGCCATTGCCAAAACACTTCACCAATGGGTTCACATTCAACAATCTAAGCCATCTGTACATCTTAGACATAAAAGAAAACATTTTTTACGGACAAAAACTATACATATAGAAGCTTTTGCATTAAAAGGAGTGCCAATGTGAACTTTGCTCAAACGGTCACCTTTGCAGTGGTGGATTCAATGCAGTCCAGTTCTGTCCGTTGCTCCTGGTGCCCTGTGGGGCGAATTGAACTCCTGTCCCCCAGTCACCCAAACTCAGTCCTCGTCCTTGTCGCACCACTGAGCAGATGTGAGCGAATGGGCTATGATGGCTGCTTTTCATGCCTGCCGTAGAGTTTAAGCTGCTAACTAGATGCCCTTTATGCACCAGACCACGAGTGTTGATGCAAAAGACAATAGGATCAACAGACCCGCAGCCAGAGGGGCCAGAGGGACAGGACACCATCCACAGGCCCAAACCAAGAGCACACGCTAAAAAGTAAATAAAATAAAACTGGGGCATGAGGTCCACAGCAATGGCCAACTTCATCATGATATAAATGCTGTAAGGATGTATCAGATCCTGTATCAGAGAAAAAATCTGTGGTCAAACTTCCTGTTCCGTTTACTTTTAGTATACTTTTAGTGTTTACTCACACTTTGGTGTGAGTAAAAATATTTTAGAAATGGTTTATAAGAATTTTGTAGAAAGCATTATGTCTTTTAATATGACTATGTGGTATGGAGTCCTGACTGTTAAATCAAAGCAGAAATTGTCTAGGGTGGTTAACATAGCTAGTGCAATCGTAGGTAAAACACAAAGACAATTGAATGAGATATACTTATTGAAAGTTAAAGAGAAGGCAAGGGTTATTATTGAGGATTTATCTCACCCCTTGCACTCCAGTTTTCAGTTGCTCCCATCAAGGAGAAGGTTTAGACAACCTAGGGCAAGTAAAAATGTGTACCAGATGTCATTTGTGCCAACTGCCATTCGATTTCTAAATGCTGAGAAGCCATAAATACGAGTAGGAGTGGATATATGTAAGCTTAAGTATAGCTGCATGGTAATGTTACTGTTTTTAATTTATGTATGTATTTTTTCCTTATGTTTTTTGGTGTTGGTGTCCTTGTGTGTGATGTATAGTGAAGCCAAAGACAAATTTCCACTTGTGGACAATAAAGGAACTAAACTAAACTAAACTATAAAATGCATTATTTTTGAAAAGAAAGTGCCAGTAAAAACATTAGCATCGTTACTTAAAAATGTAGCTTTCCAATCGCAGGAACACATTTTAAAACTTAAAAAAAATATTGAAATCTAAATTATTTTAAATTGTAATAATATTTCACAATATTACATTATTCATTTATTTTTCATTCATTTATTGGTGACCAAGGAGAGATTTCTTTAAAAATAGTTTTTGAATGCTGGCAGAAAACAGAGAAAGTGAAAACGTAGATCTGTTTTATGATCCATGGGAAACCATGCCACAAACTTCATGGCATGGTTGCTCATGTTAGGCGGAGCAGCATTTTGGTATTACAGTGTTTGTATTTCACTGTATGAGTGGGATACACACAGTAAATTATCCACCCACAAATCTTTAACAAAATGTTGCTGCACTTCAAGCCAAAAGACCTTATGACAACAGAGATATTTCACAAACAGACAGCCTTAGGAAATGGTGATAATAAAGCATTTGGGCACACACATGCAGGAAAGCTGGGTGTTGGAGGTATAAGGTTTAATGGTTTTGTGATAACGGGGCAACAGTGCAGCGCAGTGGCATATTTATGATATCGGCCAGGAAGCTCAAACACACATACACACATGGATAAACTTCAACAATACCCTGTTAAAAAACTTCCTGCGCAGCTGAATCATTGGCCAGACACATTCTTGTCAGTGTTGGTTCACACCAAGATTTTAAACAGTACGCAAAGCACCAATGTTTAAAAGTCGGGAAATGTGTATAGTCTGAGTTATTTTGGCGTTTTGGGGTTTATATGTTTTGACTGTTTCTTTTACTGTGGCAGTCCTGATCAAGAGAGCACATGAAACAGTTGGCAAAATCCTATACTTGGGAATGGTTTATTTAAAGTTTGGGATTGTTTAGCACTTATCTAAACTATTGAATTATTGTTGTCAGGGGAAACAGTTTGTGCTACAAGTTTCAGAGGGAAAACAACATGACTGACAGTCAATGGGCAATGTTTTATGCTACATAGACGGAGAGTTTATTCCAAGATACACAATTCATTTCCCCGTACTGCACAGTATCTCTCATAAACATTTGACTGGTTGTTGTGTACATAAGGACCAAACATCAAGATAAAGAGAAGAGCACGATTAACTAACTGCTTAATAGAAGACTGAAGCCTGTGTCACTTATGTCGTCCTTATATATATTTGTGTGTGTGCGTGTGTGTTAAAGGCTATATTGAAAACAAACATAGTGGACAAACACTTCACATTTCATCATTTAATAAAATTATGATGCCAACTGTGTCATCAAAATGTTAACATGTTGCCCCCTCACCATTAATCAAACCTGCCTTTGATATAGTAGGTTGCACATCATATATGATATAGGGAAACAATAAACGGGAAACAATAAAAGGTGGAACTAGAATTATATCAATACAGAAATATTAATAACAGTAATGCGTAAAACAGTAAATAATAGTAAAGAAAAAAAATCTAAACGTAGTTAATGCTGTGTAATACTTCAGTGACTTTATTGTATTCTCTGCATTTTAGACCCTAGTAATTGTTCCCTAGAGGGGTTTGTGTGTTGATATAGTGGACACTAGCAGGATAAGCCACACAGGACTACCAGTGAATAGTGATAGGATGACACAGAAAGACATGATGTCATTCTAGAGCATTGAGCCTATGGAGCATGTGCAGTCAGGCATGAGCCCACATCGTGCCAATGCAGCAGACACTCGTGAAGCTATAGCACAGCTATCAAATGCTGCTCACATTACATTGCCTGTGAAATCTGATTTATTGATTTATGTTTAAAATCAGCTTTTGTATCTGGAAATTCCTAACGCTGACAACATTTAGTGTTACATGCTCACCCTAACATCAGTTAATTTAAAAGTTTGCAGTCTGTCATCATTTGTTTGCAATTGGTACTTTGTTGGATGACTTATCTAAAAGGCTACATTCATACGTTTTTGACAGGTAAACCTAAAGTATTCAAAACTAATGCATTTTGTGTATTCCAGTAATTCACCGTCCTGCCATGAGAAAAATTAAGTATCCTTGAAATGTACTTAATTAGTGGTGCTTGCTGAAAGCAAGGCAACACTATTACTATTGTGTTTTTTGAGTCGGCCCAAAAGTTTGGCACGCTACTCCTCCCGCAGTTTTTGTCACACACCCATGAATGAGGTCTCAAAACGTGCGGAATATTCGGGAATGGTGTGCTATGACTTTTCTAAGCGATCGGGGGTACGATGTTCGCCCGAAGGGCGAACAAATTTCCCAAAAATCCCATAGACTTAACATTGCGACAAACTTTGACGACTCATAGCTCCGAGCGAGAATTTCACAGAAGCCTGCGATTTACCACATTTGAAGAGGCTGACAGGCTCTGTAAGAACATACCTCACAATGGGGTAAAAGTTGCACCCCTGGGGGGCAGGAGCTGCCCAAATTTTCCCCCATTGACCCCCATGTTATTTAAAATTTCTAGGATAGCATTATACTATTCCAGGAAAAAGTTTGGCGCACTCCTACGTCCACAGTTTTTGTCACAGACCCATGAATGAGGCATCAAATCGTGCGGCCTATTGAAGAGAAGTGTCCTATCACTTTTATCAGAGATCGGGGGTACGGTGTTCGACCCAGGGGCGAACAAATTTCCAAAAAATCCCATAGACTTAACATTGAGACAAACTTTGACGACTCATAGCTCCGAACAACGATTTCGGAAAAACGTGTGATTTGCCACATTTGAAGAGGCTGGCAGCCTCTGTAAGAACATACCTCACAATGGGGTAAAAGTTGCACCCCTGGGGGGCAGGAGCTACCCAAAATTTTCCCCATTGACTTACTATGGTGAAGGATGTCCCATCAAATGCATGTGTTTTTCCTACTATGGTAAATTGCATAGGGATTTTGTATTGAACATAGCTCTGGATCATAGTGTCATAGAGACAAGGGGGCGGGCTCATTTTACTCAGACGACCAATCAGTCTCTCAGGATCATTGTGAAGCTATTAAGCCACGCCCTAGCAACCATTTAGCACACCTTAGCAACAACTCCCATAGACTTCCATTAAAAAATATCAAAGGGATATCTCAGGATATAAGTGTCATAGAAACATAAGGGTGGGCTCGTTTGATTTGGGCCAGCAAACAGCCAATCCTGAATCACCTCAACACTTACTGGCCACGCCCTAGCAACCATTATCGAGGACCTTAGCAACCAAATTTCAAAGAGGGATATCTTCCATTCTGAATGTCACAGAGGCATGGTAGTTGTATTATATCAATCAAACTGACAAGCAGCCTTTGGAGATTCATGATTGGCAGCTGCCAAGCCACTCCCTAGCAACCAAACAGAGTACCCTAGCAACCATTTTACAAGAACTACATCTCTACATCAGAACATCGTATAGAGATGGGGGTTGGTTTATATCATTCATACTGACAAGCAGCCTTTGGAGTTTCATGATTGGCAGCTGCCAAGCCACTCCCTAGCAACCAAAAACAGTACCCTAGCAACCATTTTGTAAGACCTATATCTCTGCACCAAAACATCGTATAGAGATGGGGGTTGGTTTATACATTCACATTGACTTTTGAGCTTCATGATTGGCAGCTGCCAAGCCACTCCCTAGCAACCAAACAGAGTACCCTAGCAACCATTTTGAAAGACCTATATCTCTGCATCAAAACATCGTATAGAGATGGGGATTGCCTCTTTTTACTCATGCTAGCAAACAGGACTTGCTACATGTTAAGCATGCTAGCTGTGAATAGCTACATGCTAATATTGATTAGCTTAGTGCTAAATCATGCCATGAACAATATAAAAACTCTATAATAACCATATGTGAACACTACCAACCACCTAGTAATACCATAGCAACTACCCAGAATACCCTAGCAACAACCTAACAACACCATAGCAACCACCCAGAACACCCTAGCAACCGCATAGCAACACCCTAGCAACCACATAGAAACTATCCAGAACACCTTAGCAACACCCTAGCAACCACCTAGCAACACCCTAGCAACCACCCCAAACACCATAGCAACCACCTAGCAACACCTTAGCAACCACCCATAACACCCTAGCAACCGCCTAGCAACCATACAGAACACCTTAGCAACACCCTAGCAACCACCTAGCAACACCCTAGCAACCACCCAGAACACCCTAGCAACCACCTAGCAACACCCTAGCAACCACCCAGAACACCCTAGCAACCACCTAGCAACACCTTAGCAACCACCGAGCAACACCCTAGCAACCGC